GAGTTGCACTCTGAGGGTTAGGGAGATGGGAAGAAGTTGAAATTGTGGGGGCATCCCTGGAGCTGGGGAGAGGACGCAGCGGGGTGGGGCTGGGGTGAAGTGGTAGGGGGCCAGAGGGAAGGTAAAACTGCCTGAGGGACAGGCTAGGGGAGAAACCTTGGTGGCCTTGGAGTTAGGGAGGTGTAGTTTTCCATACCAGAATTTTGTGACCCATCTCGTGACAGCTTCCAGGTCCCTGCCTTCTCTGTTTTTTTTTTTTTTTCTTTAGTGTTAGTGTTTAACACCCTAAGTAAAACTCCATCTGTCCAACATTTTACTCTATGCTTGCTTACTTTTCATTCACTTCTTAACTCACTTTGTTTATAACAGATTTGTTGAGATAAAATTCACTGTACTGTAAATTGGCCTGGTGGAAGTTCATATTCAGCTGGTTTTGGAGTCACAGGGTGCAGCCAGCGCAGCCCTGCTCTCCATAGTGGCCACCTCATGTTTCATTCATTCCACCAGCAGTGTAGGAGGGTTTTAAATGTTCTGAATCTTTGCCAACATTTCCTTTTATTTGACTTTTTACAATAGTTGTCCTATATCTTGTGGGTTTTTTTTTTTTTTAATAAGAGAGACGGAGAGAGAGAATTTTCTATTATTTAATTTTCAGTTTTTGGCGGACACAACATCTTTGTTTGTATGTGGTGCTGAGGATCGAACCCAGGCCACATGTATGCCAGGCGAGCATGCTACTGCTTGAGCCACATCCCCAGCCCTATCTTGTGGTTTTGATTTGCTTTTCTCTATTGGTTAATAATGTTGAGTGCCTTTTTATATGCCATTGACATATCCTCTTTGAAGAAGTACCTATTCAGATCCTTTTCCCATTTTATTTTGTTGGAACTCAGGATTGAATCCAGAGGCACTTTATCACTGAGCCACATCCCCATCCCTTTTTATTTTTTATTTTGAGACAAGGCCTCACAGTTTCTTAGAAGCTTGCTAAGTTGTTGAGGCTGGCTTCAAACTTGTGGTCCTCTTGCCTCAGCCCCCCAAGTTGCTGGAATTATGGGTGTGTGCCACTGCGCCCGGCTCTTTTCCCATTTTAAAGCTGGGTTTTATATCTTTATTACTGAGTTATAAGAATTCTTTGTATACTTAAAATATAAAGTTTTATTTGATTTGCAAACATCATCTCCTATTCTGTTGGACTGTTTCCTTTGCTTTCCTTTTAAAGTCAGACAGGAGACAAATCTCCTCTTCCTCTTCCTTTTTCTTTCTTTCTTTTTGGCTGGTGTTGCTGGGGATTAAACTCAGGGCCTTGTGCACAAGGCAAGTGTTTTACCACTCAGCTACATCCCTAACTCTGGTCTGTGAATCTTTTTGATTAAGTTTTATCTGTAAGTCAGGAATCCAAAGTCATCCTTTTGCAATGAGAATACCAAGTTTCTCTAGCTCTGTTTGTTAAAAGGACTATTCTTTTCCTATTGAATGATCTTGACACTCTTGTTAAAAGTTAATTGACCATAAATGCAAGGATTTCTTTCTGGACTTTCAGTTCTGTTCTGTTCATCTGCTTGTTTGTCCATATACTAGCACTACACCATTTTCATTGCTGTAGCTTTGTAGTAGGTTTCTTTTGTTTGTTTGGTACTTGGATTGAATCCAGGGGTGCTTAATCATTGAGCCACATCCCCAGCCCCTTTTATATTTTATTGAATAATAATTAACAGGGTCTTGCTAAATTGCTTAGGGCCTCGATAAGTTGCTGGTTACTGAGGCTGGCTTTGAACTCGATTCCTTCCTGCCTCAGCCTCCTGAACTGCTGGAATTACAGGTGTACGCCACTATGCTTGGCTGTAGTAGGTTTTGGCAAAGTATAAATTCTCCAACTTTTTTTTTCAAGATTTTTGGGTCTATTCTGGCTTCCTTGCATTTCTGTGTGAATTTTAAGGATCAGCTTGTCAATTTCTTAAAAGAAGGCAGCTAGGATTTTGCAAGGAAGTGTGTTAAGTTTGTAGATGGACTTGAGGAGTATTGCCATCTTAATATTGCAAAAGACGTGGACTGCCTTTCCATTTAAGTATTCTTTAATTCCTTTCAATAATGTTTTGTAATTTCTGAGTACAAATATACTTTTGTTCAATTTATCTTCAAGTACTTGATTTTTTTGTGTTATTGAGAGTGAAATTTTTTTATTAATTTTATTTTCTAATTGTCCCAGTTACTAAAATTGGCCTCTGCCCTGATCAGTACACCAACATTTCTTGCACTCTAATAACCATTTTCCCTTCTAATTTTTTTCTTTTTGAACTCCCAGTCTGAGAAACTTATTTTTTTAATAAGTGTATTAAACATCACACTTGACAAAGTGAGCCAGCCTCCTTTTTCATTTTCTAATTAACACTCATATTTTCCTATTGTGATTTTAGACAGCTTAACCAACTGATTTGTATCAGACACACATTGTATGGCTGATGTCTGAATCTAATATCCAGACGTTCACAGGGTGGAGTGAAGTAATTTTGGAGAGGCACTTTCAGTCTTGAATCATTACACTTGTAAATGTTTGGCAACTTTGGTCATTTTAGCAGACTGACCTCAAATTCCATTTCAAAAACATTTATCTTTTTTCCTAACATAGAAAGGCCCTACTTTTTTGACTGTTCACCTGTCAATTTTTTTTTTTGTTGTTGTTGTTGTTGAACATTCAGAGCACGACAATACAAAATCATTAACATTATGCTGGACACATTTGCACACACATGTAATCCCAGCAACATGGGAGGCTGCAGCAGAAGGATGGCATGTTTGTGGCCAGCCTGAGAAACTTAGTGAGACCCTATCTTAAAAAATAAAGCCAGGCACAGTGTATACACTGGTAATCTCAGCAGCTTGGGAGGCTGTGGCAGGAGGATCACAGTTTTAAAGCCAGTTTTAGCAATTTGGTGAAGCCCTAAACAATTCAAATATAAAAAAGAGCAGGAGTGTGGCTCAGTGGTGGAACACTCCGGGGTTCAATCTTCAGTACCAAAAACAAAACAAAATACTGACAACTTGTATAACTCTCTTCCTTAAAATTTCATAGCCAAAGGAAGATTTGAGTAATTTTAGTCAGGTTTTTAGTTTGTTTGAATGTAGCAACTTTTTTTTAACAGTTACTTCAAATTTTTCCGTAATTTTTTCTTGTTAGTCAGCTGGGCCTCCTATGTTACCTAGTTGGTGTGTTAATGCTGGAGATATTTTTTTAAACCATTGTTTTATTTTTTCAATGGTTAACATTTTTATGGTTTTTGGAGATAATTTTGGTCTTAGTGGAGAGTTGTAAATATAATACAGAGAGTCCATATGCTTTTTACCCAGCATCCACTTGGGTTATTATCTTATATCACTGAATATTCTATAGCACAGAACATTTATCAAAACCAAGATATTAACTTTAGTGCTATATAGACACATTTGGATTTAAAAAATATATCCACTAAAGTCCTTTTTCTGTTCCAGGATCTCAAATTGTGTTTGGTTGTTTTATCTCTAATTGCCTCTATTCTCCGACCGTTACTCAGTCTTATCTTTCATGACCGTTAACACTTAAGTTATTTTGTAGATTGTCCCTTAGCTTGGGTTTTCATCTGGTATTTTCTCATGATAGATTGAGATTGTAGTAGGACATCACTGAAGCAATAGTCCTTCTTGGGATATTTTATCAGTGAATATCTAATGGTATTACGTATTACTAGTGATGCTAACCTTGGTTATTTGGTTAAGTTTTTGTTTGCCAGAGTTTTCTATTGAAATATACCATTTTCCCTTTGTAATCACTAAATATTTGGGAGGAGATGCTTTGAGGATATGCAAATGACCTGTTCCTGGTTAAGCTCTTGCTTACTCACTTTAACATCCATTGGTCCATCTTGCAATTACTACCATTGCTATGGTTTGGACATGGTTTTATGTGTTGGAAGTTTGGTCCCTACGTGGTGATATGGGAGGTGATGCAACCTTTAAGAGGTAGGACCTAGTAGGGTATCCTTGGTGTAGTTTTTGTGGGACCCTGGTTGTTAATTAAGAGAAGGTTGTTATAAAAGGAGTGAGCCTGGCTATGGCTTCTGGCTCACCACGTGATCTTTTGCTCTTGCTGGGGCTCCTGTTATGTGATGAGCCAGTGTGAGGTTCTCACCAGATCCAGTTTCATGCTTTTGAAGGTCTAAAACTGTCAGTTAAATAAATTATAATTACCTACTCTCTCATATTTTATTAAAGCAGTGGAAAATGGACTAATATAACCATGGCGTTCTAATGGTGATTTTCTTTTTTCTTTTCCTTTTTTTATGGTGTTGGAGATCAAACCTAGGGTCTCACACATGCTAGGCAGTTGCTGTACCATTGAGCTTATACTTTCATTCCCTAATGGTCTTTTCCTATTTTTTTGCATTTCTTCTATGTTTATTGATTTCTTCTATATTTATTGGAGTTCTTCTATATGGAAGAGCTTCACTTCCCACCAGTTTTGTTTACATATTTATTTATCCAGGTAATTATGTCAGTATGGGCTCATGGATATTTATTTTATTCTGAGGGTTGTAATCTAATACTGTGGTTGTTTGATTTGGTGCTTGAGTGGTCTGAGCCCATCTGGTTGAGTTTGGAGTTAATATGTTTATGAAGATGAAGACAAACATATTGGTGGCCTAAGATAGTTGGAGACTATTTTGTTTTACTTAACCTCTAGCAGAATGGTGGACAATCCAGTTAAGACTTTCTTCTTTCATGTTTGGATCATAATTTGCTGCTTATTTTGATAGCTTTCTTTTCGGATTAGATTAGTGAATCTCCAAATTCAGCTCACTCAAAATTAGGTAATATAAAAAATGAAATACATCCATTATGAAATGAATTTAGAATCTGTTTGTTAAATGATAAAATTTAGATTTTATTTTAGGCTTCAAAATTCCTTACACTAAGCACATGAATTATTGTTATAAATTATTTTACATTATAAATCTTGCTTTTAGGAAAAGAAGAAATATGAAACCTTTCGGACGGAGGAGTCTGATGAAATCTCTCTTCCAAAAACCTCCAGAGACCAGGAAATCCCTACTCTAGCTTGTGAATTCAAAGGAGACCATCTAAAGGTGTTAACTGAATCCCAGCTCAATAGTGATGCCAGTGGACAAAATGAAAGTGAAATGTTTGATGTACCTCTCACCTCCTTGACTCTAGGTAATGAAGGATCCCTGACATGTAACACACAGTCCCTTGAAGAAGGGGAAGAGTCCAGAACTTACATCAGGGATGACAATGATGAAATCAGGCTGAAGGTGAACTCAGGAGACAATGTTGGAACTAAAGTAGAAACCCCCAAGAGTGTTACAGAAGTAGAGGAAAACACGTTGGTACCATGTGGACCTTCAGAAAGCACACTGCAGTCTGATTTTTCCTGTACTCATCAGGAAATAGAAAATATACAAATCAGAGAAACTCAGAATAGGAAAGAAGATAAACAAGCCCTGGGCTGTTCTTCAGAGATGCTTCAAAGTGTTGGTCTTCAGAGTTCTTATGAAGCCAGAGAAGTGTCTCAGCTACCCAGAGTGAAGAAACTGTATCCCCAGTTGCCAACCGAAATTGCTGGAGAGGCGCCAGCCTTGGTGGCAGTGAAACCCTTACTTTGTAGTGAGAGACTCTACCCAGAACTTCCATCTCAGCCAGAACTGGTACCATTTACTAAAGAACAGCTGAAAATCTTGGAGCCTGGTTCATGGCTAGAGAATGTTGAGTCATATTTAGAAGAATTTGACAGCTTGGCTCATCAGGACAGGCATGAATTTTATGAGTTACTTTTGAACTATTCACGATGTAGGAAGCAGTTGCTGCTGGCTGAAGCTGAGCTACTTACTCTGACGTCTGATTGCCAAAATGCTAAAAGTCGACTCTGGCACTTTAAGGAGGAACAGCTGTCTGTACAGGTATTTTACCTACTGTTCTGTACAGCTTTCAAGAGCCTGGGGAATTTGCAGTGGACCTGCTATTCTTTTGATGCCATCCGGGCCTGCAGTCTACTCATGCTGATCCTGTCTTAACCCAGAGTGTTGATAATACAGGGATCACAAGGTCACATACTACAGGGACAGATGTATAACCTGTGGGAGTGAAGCTGACTGAGTGGGACAGTGGTTACTGGGAAAGCTTGTGCCTGGTCTCAAGGGGGCAGCTGTCCTGGAGTTCTAGTTGATTGTAGCTATGAGAGTGTGATGGTCCAAGATTGCCACATCTTCACGATTTTACCAGAAAAGCTAGAAACCCACATTTTTGTGTGAAGGATCCTAATTGGCAGTGTTGGCACTTGACTAAACACATGCACATACATGCAGTCTAAGCCACGGCAAATCATGTGTCCAGGTCAGATTCAGCCCATGGACCATTAGTTTGAGATCTTTGACATAATCCCATGAACATTCAATGGGTGGAGAATATCAGGCTTGAGAGGAGCTGAGAACAGGGAAGTCCATTAGATGTAACCCTTTGGAGTCCAAGGTGTCCATAAGAAAGCCATTTCATAGTCACCTTGGAGAGATGGCAAGGAAGAGAAGACCACTCCACTCTTGACAAGCTTGACTTTGGAGGGAAGCAGGAGGAGGTACTAGGGGAGAAACAGGTGATTTTCCATTCCATAGCCCTCATTCACTGGGAGACTTGGGTAACTTTCTTTGAGGATAGGAAGGAGACTGTGGAGAGAGAAGCATTTGGAAATATTGAAAAAGAAAGGGTAGAAACAAGAACACAGCTGGAGGAGTTAGTATTGAAGAAGGAGGGTGGTTTCTTTTGAACACAAAGAAGAATGGGGCTAGATCCAGAGAGAGTTTGAGGTCAAGGGGACATCACATTGACTTCAATATTCATTAAATAGAAGGTAAGATCATGTGAGAGTCTTAGGGACAGGCTCTATTGTTTTCTTGCACTTTTCCCCACTGACTTCTTAGGGTTACTCTGTCCGTCTCTGAACTCGTCATTGCTTTATACTCTTTGACAGATGGTCGTGTATTTGTTTGTGTTATTTTTTACACAGTATCGTTGTACCTGCACCACCATTATGAACTCTTTGAAAATGGTACTGAAGCCTGTGTATCTTCTGCCTGCTGCCTGATTGCTTCGAATGCAGAGTAACAGTTTTCATATTTTACCCTTTAACCCACTGGTAGGGTATCTGTGCAGATCAAGTGAAAGTTTCCGGCTATCATCGCTACCAGAGAGTAGAGATGAATGAAAATGCACTGGGGGAGCTGAAGAAGCTATTTGATGCCAAATGTGAGCACCTCCACCAGACCCTAGCCCTTCATTCTTACACTTCTGTGCTCTCAAGGTTGCAAGTGGAGTCTTACATCTACTCATTGCTCAATAGCTCAGCTGTTCTGAGGTCCTTAGCAGTTCACCAGCAAGGCCGAGGTGTGTAAGTACTGGAGATCTCGCTCTTTCTTAGGTTCTAAAATGGAAAAAAGAACTGAGGAGTACAATCTGGTTGAATTAACTGTGTGCTGATTGGTCTTAACGAGGAGTCATTTGCACTTGCAGTTTTATCTTGCCGCCTCCGGTGTAGGATGGAGACCGGTCTTAATGATATTTCTTGGGAGCAGGGCTAGGCCTCCCTTCCCCATGGCTGTCTTTCTCTGCTTCTCTGGGAGGCCAGAAAGCTCCCTCTCTACCAGTAATGTCTCTTGTGGTTCTAATCTAGTGCTTGTTATCAAGTGGAGTCCAAATAGAGCTTGATTCTAAAACTAATACTTTTTTCATTCTGTCTCTTCCACTTTGTTTTTGCTTGTCCAGTTTATTGGGTTGTTTTATTTAATTTTTAGCAGAGGATATATAATGTTCTGAATTTTTCATCTTATGTTGGGTTTTAAAAAATTAGCCATAGCCATATGATATATTAAGCATTAAATATGCTTATTGAGTTATGTAGTTTTTGTTGGGATGCCAAGAGCTGGGGGTAGGCCAGAGATCTGCTGGTTTTTAAATAGGAACTAATACATTTTGGTAGAGTTGAGTTTCCTTTGCTTTGAAATACTCAACTACTTAGTAGAAATTTTTAAATATCTTTTTTTTTTCTTTTTTTGGTGATGTGGAGATTGAACCCAGGGCCTTGCTCATCCTAGACAAGTGCTCTGCTACTGAGCTGAAGCCCCAGCCCTGAAATTAAGATCTTTTTTCATTTTGCTTTTATTAGTGCATTAGTTATCCATATAGGTGGGTTCATTTTGACAAATTTAATTTAATTGACCCTATTTCAGTCCCCAGTGTCCCTGCTTCCCTTTTCTCTCTCTCATTCCCCTTCTTCTACTCTACTGGTCTTCCTTTTATTCATTTTTAAAATTAATTTTAATTGGTGCTTTATAGATATACATAAAGGTGGAATTCACTGTTTATCTATGCACATAGTTTAATTTTGTCAGATTTTATTGAGCATTTCCTCCTCTCCTGTTCCTCCTCCTTCCCTCTCAATCCTTCTATGCCACAGGTGTTCCCTATATCTTTATGATATCCAGCCTACCCCCACTCCTGTTCTGCTTTTTATCCTTAATTTCTTGCCCCCTGCCCTTTGCTCTAGCTTTTACATATGAGAGAGAACACTGACCCTTGATTTTTTGAGTCTGGTTTATGAAATTAAGATATTTTGATAGAATTTTTTCTTTGGATTTTTATCTGAATCAAATATTTTAAATAGTTTGGTTTGTTTTAAGCAAAGATACCAAAAATTTCTTCCCATAAAATGCCATTCATGTGGGACTCATTTAATTCTCTCTTTAATTTATAGCTTCTAAACAGATAGACAGCGTTCCTTCTGATCTGTGTCAGTTGAAGGAGTGTATTAGTGTCTTATTCATGTTCACCAGGAGAGTAAATGAAGATACTCAGTTCCATGAGGATATTCTTCTCTGGCTGCAGAAATTGGTAAGGGAACAGAAATAGACACAACAATCTTTATTTTATTTCCCTAATAACTTTTCTTTAATCATGACACGTGGTAATAAGTATTTATCTAGTGCATTATTGAGCATTTTTTTCTCTCTCATAAATGTGGTAATAAGTATTTATCTAGTGCATTATTGAGCATTTTTTTCATATATATATGTGTGTGTGTATATATGTATATATATATATGTATATATATGTGTATATATATATATTATTATTATTATTTTTTGTGGTGCTGGGAATTGAACCCAGGGCCTTGTGCATTCAAGGCAAGCACTCTACCAACTGAGTTCTAATCCCAGTCCCCTGTAGCTAATTCTTTTTGACATTGTATGTTTAAAATTGAAGTCATACTTAAATAACTTGTTATTTTTTTTTTTGGTACTGGGGATTGAACCAAGGGGTCCTGTGCTGTTGAGCTGCATCTCTGGCCCTTTATTATTATTTTGAGACAAGGTCTTGCTAGGTTGCCCAGGCTGGCCTTGAACTTGTGATCCTCCTGCTTCAGCCTCTTAAATAGCTGGGTTTCAGGTATGCACCATTGAAGTGGCTTAAAAAACTTCAAGAGGAAAAAAAAAAAAACCTTCAAGAGAAAGAAGTGTATCAGGATTTGGAGCATTTAGGAATGATGTTAGGTTTATTACAGAGGGAGTGGGTATTCGTTAATCGATTCTCTTTTTCAATGGGGCTGGCTGCCTTGTGTATGTGTTTTTTAGGTTCATTCTAGAATTCTTGAAATTGAGGTGATGTTCCAAGCATATATATTTGGTTTTGAGAAACTATTACCAACTAAGAATAGATTAGATGACTTGACGTACATCAATTCACATGTGGCCAGGAATGTTAGTGATTTTTAATTTGCCAGAAAATAAAAATTAGACTGCATGGAAACTACTTAGGATGTTTTTATCATGGTGCTTATAGATTCATTGGCCTCTGGGAGAAACTCACTCAATAGTCTATCTTATGACTGGCTACTCTTTAAAGATTGCATGTACTTAGAGGCTGGGAATGCGGCTCAAGCGGTAACGAGCTTGCCTGGCATACGCAGTGCTGGGTTTGATCCTCAACGCCACATAAAAATAAAAAATAAAGACATTGTGTCCACCTAAAACTAAAAAATAAATATTAAAAAGAAAAGATTGCGTGTACTTTAACATTGGGTGAATAACTTTGCTAGAGCTCTAGATGAATTTTTTTAAACTAGTGAAGCCATGAGTCCTTTCTTGTTTAGGTATCAGTGTTACAAAAAGTTGGCTGTCCTGGAGATCACCTCTTTCTCCTGAACCATATTCTTCGATGCCCAGCTGGAGTTAGTAAGTGGGCTGTTCCTTTCATCCAGGTATGATGTGTGCCTCCTGATGCTGAGGGAGTGGGAAGGGGTCTTCTTAGACATTTTTTTCCTGAAGAAACTGCTTTAAAAGGCTATTTAGAGTTATTTATATTTAAAATAAAAATTTTAAAATAGTATATACTTGAAGGAGTTATTATGCCAAAACTTCTTGGGTCACCCACAGTTGATGTAGTTGTGATGGAATTGCAAAAGTTCAGTTGTAGCCTGGCTTGGTAGCATCAGTAGTGGTTAATTCTGTTAAACTCTTGTGCAGAAAGCATTTCAGAACTATCTTTTCTGTTGTACTCCATGCAGCTTCTTGCATTAATCCATATCACACCCTATCCTAGTTGGTGCAGGTCAAACAGAAGTCACCAGCATACTAGCAGATATCTCAGGCTTGTGTAATCAACCCTCACTTACTTAGGAGTTAAACGTTCAATTTATACTTTCTCCTCTCAGCTGCTTGCCTTTGGGTCATTTTATTGCTCATTGCAATAAAATGGGTAGATGGGTAGGAGCCAAAATGTATGGGAAGTTCAACTTGTCTATATTTCCTTAAGTATTCCTAGTGGCAAGAAGTCTGAATCTTTTTAAAGAGAAGGAGGATTTTTTTTTTTTGCATTTGTTTTGTGTCTCTTTGGATTGGAATAGTGACAAAGAATGTGGGGAAGGAATGGGTCAGCCTTAACAACTTACAACATCCCATGTTGTTACAGCTATTTGATTCAGCTGCTCAGCTTCTCTCCTCTGAGCACAGCTGAGATGGTGCCATAACCCGTGAGTTGTGTCTGTTCTCGTGGATTGGGTGCCAGTTTCAGTTTTGTTCTCTTGACAGCAGCTTCATTGTTAGAGTGCTTGTGAACTAAGATTATGAACACTTGAATTGATTTTCTACAGTATGCTTTTTCCTTTTCCCATTTCAGATCAAAGTGTTGAATAACCCATCAGGGGTCTTTCATTTTATGCAGTCGCTTGCCCTACTGATGTCTCCTGTCAAGTAAGTGTGGAAGAACTTTGTGAAGTAGAAATTGAAAGGCTCCTTTCTGTCAAAAGACTGGCTTCCTTATCTGTCCAGATGCAAAGAAGAACTGCTAAGAGAAGTGTTAGCTTAGAACTTAACATTGCAGATTTTATTTGGGTTTGATGCCCATGGCCCCAAAATGACCCTTTTAACTGCTTATTAACCTTTTTTGGGTTCTTCTTTTGAGTGAGTTTTTCTCTTGTATGTGTCATTGTGAAAGGTCCACAGACTTTAAAAGAGATGATATATTCCTTAGAAGAAGATCTTGTGTGGGGGTGGGGGGGCACACACAAGAGATAAATGCCAAATTGGGTTGCTGCAGCAGAAACATTGAGACTAGAGCTGAGTGGAGTAGTCAAAGAGGGTTCCATGGTGGATGAGCTAAGTTGAAAGAATAGGTTGGTTTTCACTGGGAGATCTGTAAGTGAGGAGAACACTGTGAGCAAAGGCCCCAGGTCTTGTGATTGTACAGAGGACAGGCAGATCAGCTGGGCTGGGGTGAAGGCATGTGCAAGAGAAGATAATAAAAGGTAAATAACTGGGGGGCTGGGGCTGTAGCTCAGTGGCAGAGTGCTTGCCTTGCATGTGAGAGGCTCTGGGTTTGATCCTTAGCACGGCATAAAAAAATAAATAAAATGAAGGCATGATGTTCATCTGCAACTACAGTTTTTTTTAAAGGTAAATAGCTGGAGGTGGAGGTTGGAAGATAGAAGACTTTGAAATTAAGACTGAGGAATCTAGATTCAGTGTGGTCTGTCCTTTGTAGCAAGGAGGATTTTTGAGTAGGACTAAGAGCTGTATCTGAGGAAGATTAGGATGGACAGGAGTCAGAAGAAAAGTATGTGCTTCTGCTTAATTGGGTGGTTATAGACATCTGGCTCTCCTGGCTCTGGAACTCAACCCACCACCATGGAGGTGTCCTTGTGTAGGTGGCCTTGAGCAGTGTTACTACTACCTGCTCTTGAGTCCTGGAAAGCCTACCTCTCTCTAGGTCTGCATCAGGGTCATGGCAGTGTGACAGAGGAGGGAAACCTAAAGGGCATCTTCCTGGGAAAGAATTTACTAGCTGATTAAACAAAGAATGTGGGGAAGGAATGAGTTAGCCATAACAACTTCCAAGTCCAGGTGACTGGGAGGGTGTAGGCAGCACTAACAGATAGAAAATACAGAAACAGAGCTAGTTTCTAGGGACAAAAATTTGAGGTCATTGATGTGTACAGGTGGACGTGAACAAGTACTTCATACTGTGGGCAGCTGGAGTCCAGGACTGGAGCTTGTCCTATTGAAAGGCCAGCACTAGGGGTGTGGGGCTGCAAGTTGTGAGAGAAAGGTTTTGTTGAAGAGGACTGAGTGAATATGCAGAGAGAGGAACAAGGGACTGAGGAGAAGAAAAGTTTTGGTTAATCTTGCTCCTCAAATGCAGCCAGCAGCCTGGGGAAGCCCAACTTTGTCTCTCACTGCCTACATGGGGGGCTGCTTCTGTATGTGGTAGTATGTTTTGGCACACAGGTGTTTCTGCATTTTTGTGTACTTTTGGGCCCTAAACAAGTTTGTAGGTTACCTGAGTGTTACCCTTTTGTGTTCAGTAAGGCATGTTTCCGACATGCATTTCCCTGGCAGCACTTTTAAGCCTGGTTTGAGTGGAGGTGCTGCAGCAGGCTTTCTGAACTGTGAGTTATGCTGCTGTAACTGCTCTTCTGCAATTGCTCATCATTGCTAATTTAGAATGGTTGTGGTGTCTCTACCAAAATCAGTGAAGTTTTAGTTTTTTTTTTTTTGTGTGTGTGTGTGTGTGGTACTGGGAATGGGATCCAGGACTTCATGCCTCCTAGGCTAGTGCCCTGCCATTGATCTACACCCCCTTTCCTTTTTAAATTTTTATTTTGAGACAGGGTCTTGCTAAGTTGTTGAGGCTGGCCTTGAACTTGTGGTCTTCCTGCTCCGACCTCCTTAGTAGCTGGGATTACAGGCGTGTCCCTTTTGCCTGGTGGGTTTCAGTGTCTTTGATTATCAGCAGGTCTTATTTCTCATTGACTAATTTAAACTGTTTGAAGATTAGGTTAGGCTGCTGGGGTGTGGCTCAGTGGTAGAGTGCTTGTCTCCCATATGTGAGGCACTGGGTTTGATCCTCAGCACCACATAAAAGTAAATAAACAAAATAAAGATACTGCATCCATGTATAACTAAAAATATTAAAAAAAAATTAAGTTAATGCCAAGAGTTCTTTAGGGTATAAAGATGATCCAGAATGTACTTGTGGAGCTTTCTATGTTTATGTGATTGGAGTAATTTCCATTGTCCTCTAGAAATCGAGCAGAGTTCATGTGCCACATGAAGCCCAGTGAGTGGAAGTCATCCTCTTCAGGGCCTGCATCTGGGACCTGGACACTCGTGGATGAGGGAGGAGAAGAGGTAACCATGTCTGCATTATTTTAATTCATCATTTTTGAATTCTTTTGTGCTAGAAATAAGCACTTTTCACATATTATTTAATTCTCCCAACAACCCTGTGAGGTAAGTACTGTTGTGATCCTCATTTTACAGATGGGGAAACTGAGGTGCATGTGGTAAAGTAACTCATCCCAGATTGAATGGTCATTAAATATGGAGCCTCCAGAGCCAGTGCTTTGAGCCCATGTACTGTACCTTCATTCTTCTCTAGAGTATCCTTCTGTTTGGATAGGAAGATCTGGAACCTGGACATGAAATAGAGCCAGACTATGTGAAATTTATATTAGAATTTTCTTGTATATAGTAACTGGTTCTTGGAGTTGGGAAGTTTTGCTTACACATAATCTTGAGTCTGAATAATGAAGAGCTAAGACTCTAACTTATTATAGACAGCCTATCCAGATCTTCTCATGCGAAGGGCAGAAACTAGTTTTCTATGTTTGATGAGATTTTAAGGATCAAAATTCAGCTTCTTGAGATAATGCTTGTTAAGTTTTCATTCTGCTGTATGCATCCTTAGTGTATGTGTGAGGAATTTTTACTCCAGCTAATTTTCAGCTCTAGTGCTTCTTTGTGGTCTGAATCCTGATTTGGTGTTCTAACGTAGTAGGTCCATTGACCAGATTTACTAAATCCGTCTTTAGAGGGAGACAGGTCTACAGTGTACAATTCTCAGAATGAGAGCCATGGCAGCTGGGGATTGCGAGTGTATGTCCTCAGGTGCTCATTCAGAATGGGACTCCCCACCCTCTTTACAGTTGTTTGATTCCTGAGACTTGTAGCTGGTAGTGGTAGGTAATGTAGATGGTTACAAACACCTTTGCTAGAGACTGACTTCTTCAAGAGGCTTCCCAGGAGCTGGTACAAATTAGTCTTTTAAGGAGTGGAGTAGAAAAAAAATTATATATATATATATATATATATATATATGTACATATATATATTTATAATATATAATTATATATATTAATATTATTTCTAGAGTGTTCTTTCTTAAAAGAGTAGTCTTCTTTTCTCATAGGTTTCCTGAATTTAATCTCAGAGACAGATAATGATTAAGGACCCTGCATTAATAGTTGGTTAGAACTCACTAAATGTTGAGTGAATTCAGGAATTTGTGGAGTCTATGAGAAAGTTTTGTTTAATCAGAAAAGGCTGTAGGGAGGAAGGCTCTCTGGATCATCCATAGCAATGGTTTTTATATACTAGCTCTGTATTAGAATCACAGTCAACTTGTAAACTTTGCTCAGACCCACACTAAGACATCCAGATGTTTTAGAGCTTGCATGGTGGTTCTTGTATACTGCCAGAGTTGAGATCTGTTCTATGTAGAGTTTCTGAGGCTCTTATTTGTTAGCCATTTTGGACACTGTACTAGTCTGTTTTGTGATACTGTAATGAAATACTTGAGGCAAGCTAGTTTTATTTAAAAACAGGTTGGAGTTTTGTAGGCTCAGTTTTGGAGGCTCAGATATCCCCTACTCTGTGTGAGCACTGTTATTTTTATCCTGCTGTCAGTAGCACTAATTGACAGCCGACTTAAGTCATCTGTAACAAATGTTAATTGTTCCCCATAAGTGTGTGAGTATTGCTGTAGACCTTGATTTTGGGAGAAAGAGAATTGTAGCTAAAATAATTTGAACTCTACTACTTGGTTCTTTAATTGATGTTGTCAAAGCACTGAGCCATGCCGTAAGGTCCCTATCTGGAGGAATTTTTTTTCGGTCTTCTTTGGGATGAAAATTTAATGAGAGCTCTTTCAGCCTCTGGAGGATGGATATAACCCAGATACATATAAAATTATGCTTGTAATTTCAGAAGATTTACAGGCTACCTGTGAAATTGAGCCTGTAACTCTCTGTCCTGGAAGAAAAGTCTGTGAGGATTCAGGAGCATACTATATGTGTGCCATGGAGACCTGTGATAATTTAGCTCCTGTAACTCAAGACCACAGTATGATCAGATCAAATTAACTGATGTGACTTTGCATCTTTTTTTCCTAGGATGAAGATCCTGAGACTAGTTGGATTCTCCTTAATGAAGATGACTTGGTTATCCTTTTTTCACAGTTTCCATTCCATGAACTCTTTCAACATCTTCTTGGGTTTAAAGCAAACGGTAGACTAACTTCTTTTGTCATAAAGAAAATATAGTAGTAGCAAGCTCAAATGTCAAGTCCTGCTTCTTTTATAGGCTCCTGATTTTACAGATTTTCCTGTGCCTGCCTAGTCCAGACTGCCCTTGTCTTGTGCTTGTAATTTCCCACTTAGTACTTAAATGCAAGAAGGCTGGCTAGTTCACATGTTGCCCAGTTTAATGAATTGTTTTTAATTTTGTATTTTGTCTCGAGTTGCCCATTTTGTGTTGACATAGGAGCCAGAGTGATGGGATTGTTAATTCCTCCCCATCTTGGCTTTGTTTTCTTATTAAAATATTTAGACCTGTATCCTTCACCATTTTTTAAAATACCAATTACCATTTTTTCTTTTATCTGATTGACTTCCAGGAGATTATTTACCCGAAACAACAAGACCTCAAGAGATGATGAAAATTTTCGCATTTGCCAATTCATTAGTCGAACTTCTGGCTGTGGGGTTAGAAACCTTTAACAGAGCACGCTATAGGCAGTTCGTGAAGCGGATTGGTTATATGATCAGGTAATACTGCATTTGTGCATCTGTTTGCTTTCACTCTAGTAAGACACAAGTACTGCATAGTTGGGATGATGGGCATTTTACATTTTAGCTCTTAGTTCTTACAAAAGTAAGAATTATTTTTTATTCCCTCTACCAGATGGGAATTTTATAAATGTTCCCAGTCAAAATATTTGCTTGATCTATTCATATTTGTATGTGCCTATACATTGTGTGTGTGTGTGTGTGCGCATGTGTGTATAAACATATGTACACACACACACACAAACACACACACACCACATGGGCTATTATTTTTTCCACCTACTTCCCTCCAGAAAAAAAACTCCATAAAGCTACAAAACTTCTCCCTTTTTCTCCTTTTGTTTCCAAATCAAAATTAATTTTAGTTCACTTACTTTAGATATGTAATCATCAACTCTATGAGTTTAGGTAAAGGTTGCAGAATACCTTTGAAGTATGGGCTCATTTTTCAGATGTGAAGCAAGTCTTTGGTCCAGAGTAAGGAGAGTGAGACTGTGGGAAGCGGGATGACTGGTGACTTGGAGAGTAATTTCTTAAAAGCTGAAAGCCTGTCTTTACTTGTTTTTGTTAGAAATCTACCTAGTCATTCATTTTCTGATCCTTATTGATAAATAAGGCAATAAGTAAAATTTGTTCTTCAGCTCACATATATAACGTATGACTGCATGTCTACTATGTGCCAGGACTGTGGCTTTTTATTTTATTCTCTTAATAACTGTAGGAAAGATCTTATTATTACTGTTATAAGATCAGTGTTCACTCCTTACATTATTATGCAAGTATTTCCATGTGTTATTATTGTAGGGTGTTGTGATTGTTCTTCTTTTGTTTTTCCATCTGATTACTTTTCTTTGTGTTGATTGCAGATTCCTCTCATACTTTGTAATTGCAGAATGGTTTTCTGAATGGCCCTCCGCAGTGAGGCCTCTTCAGCTCCCAGCTACCCCTTCCCTTGGCCGCCCCTCCATCTCCTGACATACCCTGTTCCCTCTCCTTCTTTATTTTTCTCAGTGCCACTTTCAACCTTGTGATAGACTCTTTCACTTTATTTTGTGGGCTGTTTGCCTTCCACTAGAGTTGGCTCCTGGAGCATAGGGGTTTCATTTTGCCCGTTATGCTACTTTCAGAATTGGAAGATAGTAGGTGCTCAATCAATATGTGCACAATCCTTCAAATGTATTATGAGGATGCTGATAGTGAGTGAATGAAAGTTACGGTCTTGTCTTTCTTCCTGCTCAGGATGACCCTTGGCTATGTAAGTGACCATTGGGCACAATATGTGAGCCACAATGGAGGCTTGGGATCAGCCTTGCAGCCCTACTCCTTGGAAAAACTACAGGTGGAATTTGATGAGCTGTTTTTGAGAGCTGTCCTACATGTGCTGAAAGCCAAAAGGTAAGACATGATACTTTATGGAACTTCCTGGCTAATAAGAAAGAGCAGAAGAAAGTCAGTGATTAACATGGATCAATGTCTTAGTCTGTTTCATCTATTTCTTATCTTGGAGAAATTCTTGGACTTTAGTGTTCCTACCTGTAGTTTATTCCCTGTTGGTCAAAATGATATCTGCTTTAGGTTTCTTTCTCTCTTAAAATAACTCAAATCTGAATTCTGTTTTGCTATCCATGAACTTTTGGGCATCCATAAACAGGGCAAGAATTTTACACCTAAAGGAATTTCATTACATACCTAATATAGTGAGAGATTGTATGTGCTTAGTGCCCGTTACAAAGTATTTACTGAATTTTATTTAAGTTGTCTTACTATAAGGGTTTTAAAATTTAGAAATGTTGCTGGATGTGGTGGCTCTTCAGTGTGTTTAAGTGCTCTAATGTTCTGAATGCAGAGGGCTCTATTTGGAAGTATGGGTCAAGCTATATTGTAGAAGCCACTGGATGTGAAAGTGAGAGGTTTCAACTTAATTTGGTAACCACTGAGGAGCCATGAATGGTTTTGATTCCTCTCACCCAGTGCCCATGTTGCTGTGTGTACATGCGTTCCTGTACGCCACCTAACACACATATCCACATTAGGTAGCAGCCTGTCACCTTTGTCTTAAAAAGATCTTTGATTCAAAATGCAGTTCAGGCTTTTGTTATTCTCTCTGTGCCTTTGGAACCCCCTGTGTAAATTGGGGATAACACCAATAATTATTGCCCTGGTTTTAGTGAGGATGGAGTGAGTTGATGTTATGTGCAGATTGAGTGTCCCTAATAAAAAATCTCCCAAATCTGAAACTTTTTAGCACTGACATGTTGACCTCATGAAGTTAAATGCACCAAAAATATCATGTAAAATTACCGTTAGGGATATGTGTATAAGATACATATGAAACATAAATGAATTTCATATTTAGGTTTGGTTCTCATACCCCATATATCTTATTATGTATGTGCAGATATTCCAAAATCTGAAAAAATTAAAAATCTGAAGCACTTTTGGTCCCAAGCACTTGAGTAAGTGATATTCAAATATGTGTGTATATCATATATCACATAACCTATATCATGTGTATGATATGGCCATTAGAACAATACCTGGCATAGACTAAATGCTTGATGAGTTTTGCTGTTATTGTTATGCATCATTGAGGTGTTTATGACCATGTTAGAAAAATTGTGATAGTATGATTTAAGAATTTTTCTTTTTTCTTTATTTTTTTTCCCCTGAGAATGCTGAGGGTTTGTTTCCACTTTCTTAGTGTGGTGAAACTGAATAATATATAAAGTTATTCCTGCTCTTTTTAAAACACACAGACTTGGCATTTGGCTGTTTATGTCTGAAATGCCCTTTGGGACGCTGTCAGTTCAGATGCTCTGGAAGCTATTCTACCTCATGCACCAGGTGGAGTGTGGGAACCTGCAGCAGCTCTGCCCTGCCCTCCAGCCGGCTGAGTGCAAGAGGCAGCTCCAAGGTACAGCCTCCCCTGGGGAGGCAGCGCCAGCTCCCCGACTTCCTGCACTTCTCTGTCATTGCCTTCTAACTCTTGGGACTAAGAGAGTATTTTACTTTGTGTACTGATTGATTTTGAAATTCAAGACACTGCTTCATTGCTTGTGTCCAGGCTCTGTGCTACACACCGTGGCAGATATTCAGCCCATGCTGTGTGTGATTCCAGGCCATGCAGCAGCCTGGCCTCCCCGAGGAGCTTAGGTCCTGTGCTGGCAGTTGTCTCTGTGGACTTCAGGCTCTGGTAGCATGTTATCTTCTCTCTTACTGCCTTTTTCACCTGGCACAGAGTTACTGTGATGCAGCAAAATAGTTTCCTCTACCGTATCAGCTTCTAACTTTGAGATTGTCTTTACACTTGGCCTTCCTGCTCTAATTTGCTATTTTTGCCTCTTCTCATTTGCTTCATCTTTCATGTCCCAAATTTTGTTAAGAGACTTGATTTTTACTGTGTTTATGAAAGCCTAAGATTTTTTGTTTTACCTTTTTGTTATGTTTTATAATTAATAAACATCATAAATTCTTATTCTTATTTATTTATTTTTTTGATACTGGGGATTGAACCCAGGGGTGCTTTACAACTGAGCATATCCTGTTCTTTTCTAATTTTTTATTTTGAGACAGGGTCTTGCTAAATTGTCAAGGCTGGCCTCAAACTTGGCATTCCTCCTGCCTCAGCCTGAAGTCCTGAGATTACAGGTGTGTGCTACCACACCCAGCAGAAATTATTTTTTATAGCCAATTCTTATTTGTCCTAATGGCTATAAGTGATTCTCAAGTCACAGATAATTCCTAAAGAATATATTTTTAACATTTTAACTAGTGGACTTTTTAGCAGGAATTGCTAAAACTTGGCTGGTTTCATTTTAACTTCTTTTTGTTTCCTTCTTTCTAGTGTGCTCAACACTATGGCCACTAGTAGAATTATATGCAAATTTGATGATAAATATAGAAATGTGTTTATGTTGTTTTCCTTAAAGTTAATGTTTTAAAAGCCAATTAGAAAGCAATTTCTCTCACCCATTTGTTATTTTTATAGAATTCTTTAAAAATGTAACGCTTTTCCCTTGTACCTTCAAACATTCTAAGTTTAAATGATTTCTAATTTTTTATTATTCTGAGAACACTCTGTATAGTAATTTCCATTATAAATCTAGTTTTGGGGACAGGAAATGAAAATTGGTTTGATAAGTGCCCCAAGGAGTTATTTGAAACTGCAGGAAATTTGGTGAACTACCTTTGATTTCTCAAATGTGCAAATATGTGAAGAGAATTGTTGGCTTTTTGCCTTCTTACTGTGAAAAGTTCCATCAGAGGAATATATTTCCTAAATGAGCTTTATTCCCTTTTCTCTGTAAATTTTCCCTTGAAAGCATCTAGACATTTCTATCATGTCTTGCAAAGTTGTTAATACTGCCTCCTAGCAACAAGATGTAACATAGCATCCACAGAAATAGCAAACATATTCTGTATTGTTTATTACATTTATGGTATTTCAGTTATGATTATAACTAATATCTCTCCTTAATTTTTACTTATAAGCCCATCACTTTTATTTGTAATCTCATGTTTATGCTGAGTAGTTTGTTAATCTTAATTTTATTAGTAGTATCTTCATTTTTGTGATTGGTCATTATCCAGTAGTTTCAAGCATGCCTGTGACGTTGACAGTGTCACTTTGGTGGGCAAGAACTCTACCACTGAGCTCTGCCCCAGCCTATGTAGTATTGCTTTGGAAGGTGACTTACCTAGTGGCAGTAGTAGTGCTTTATAGTTTGTAAAGCACTTAACTGCTAGCATGTCATTTAATTTTTTAAGTAGTATTTTGAAACAGATGAGGAAACTGAGGCTTAGAGGTGATAAATGCCTCCTCTTAGTGTGCTGGAATTTCGGGGGCCATTTGTTCAGCCTTCTTTCCTGATACCTGTATAATCCATTTCAGAACAAAGAAAGACTTTTTGTATCTTTAAAGTTTTTAAATATCTTTTAATTTTATATTTTCTTTCTCTTTAGAAGAGTAATTAAACCACATGATTTTTTTTTCTCTCTCTACTTTAATTTTCTTGACATGAATTTGCAGACCCAGAACATTTTGTGAACTTTGAGAAGTGTCTTTCTTCTATGAATAGCTCGGAAGAGATTTGTCTTCTGACTACCTTTGCTCAGATGGCTCAGGCCAGAAGAACCAACGTGGATGAAGACTTCATAAAAATTATTGTTCTGGAGATATATGAGGTTAGAATATTTATTTTTATAAATCAGCAAAATTTTTTTTGAGTTGTTTATTTGTTGATTTTTTTTTTGTACTGGGAATTTTATTCAGGGGTGCTTAAGCACTGAGCTACATCCCTAGCCCGTTTTATTTTTTATTTTGAGACAGGGTCTCAACTAAGTTGCTTAGTGCCTTGCTAAGTTGCTGAGGCTGGTTTTGAATTTGGGATTCTCTTCCCTCAGTCTTCCAAGTTGCTGGAATTATAGGTATGTGCCACTGTGCCTGGCTTGGTGTTGCTTTTTTAAAAAATATGACTTATCGAGCTATTGTCTGCACTCAGAAGGAGATAGAGAACCAAAGGAGCTTCCTTTTGCTGTAGAGAGTTTTGAAAACATGAATTATACTCTGCCATTTTTCACTACTATCTCTTGACAGTTGATGCATGGCTTTTGATAAGGAGTAGACAATTTATCACAGCCTGGCATTTGTAGTTTTTTGTACTGTTTTCCTTACTGTTCCTCAGACTCCTTTTTTCATCCCTGCCAGTAACATGGAAACCTGGCTTCCAAGCCAATTTAAATGAGAGGGTTGAAAGAATATTGAACCTAGAATCAGAAAACCTGAGTTTTGGCTTGACCCTACTATTAATTACCCATCTTACATCAGAAAAGAAAACTACTACTCTGGGCTTTATTTTCCTCATCTGCAAAATGACAGAGTGGGATGAGATCCTTGCATTCTTTACTTTTTCTCTGAGCCATCCCTGCTGATGGAGGAGAGTGAACTTGGATTCCCTAAGAGTCTAGGGACTAACCCCAACTGGCTGCCAGTATTTCCACTGGAGATGTGTGTATATCCAAAAAGCCATGTTCATTCTGTACTTTAAGCTGTTGTGTATCTCTTTAAATAAAAAAATCATACTTTCTTCAAAGTATTCAAGTGTACTCAAGTAAAACTATATTTGGAGGAGATTGTCTGAGTTTATTATCCCCCAGTATTCCAGTTTGAGAATGGCAGACCTGGATGATTTTAAGTTCTTTCCAGAACTCTGTTCAGCTGTTCCTACATTTACACTTGTAACCAGGCATGAGGTTAAAACCAATGGATCTGGAATTCCTATCTTTATAGTCTAAAAAAATTCGAAGAGATATATTTTCACGTACATTAAATGACATTCTCGGGATCTATTGTTAACATATATTTATTCTCTTGAGTAGTGTTTTCCAGTGTTTTGACCATGAGTCACAGTAAAAACTACATTCTATATTATATTCTGACCCTAGTGTGCATTATTGAAATAGCAATTAATTTTCCGGTGATATACTCTTAGATTTTTCTATTCTTTTTTATTCTTTCTATTATCTTTCTGTTCTATTTCATTATATAGTTTGAAAGATGTGGTTAAAGAGGAGTTAGTTTAACATTGATATTTTAAAAACTTTTGCAGTTAGGGATCTTAGGGATCTTATTTTGGAGGAGGGATTGTGTATTTCCATTAAATGCATTCTGATTTTTATCATTTTAGTGATTTCCTCAAGTTTAAGTAAGTTTTGACATAAGGGACTATTTCATTGTTACTGACAAACTTTGGGATCTACTTTTTTTTAAAATTTTTAATGAGATGGGTCGAGAGCGCACTGTGTTGCCCATTCTAGACTTGAGTTCCTGGGTTCAAGTGATTCTCTTGCTTCATCCTCTGAGTAGCTAGGGCTACAGGTAAGTACCACTGAGACTGACTCAACTCTCCTTTTTAAAGGAATCCAGTACTTAAAGTCATTGTTACAAATGTTATCATTTTCAGGAATTCCCTCTCCTCCTGAGTTCCAACCTCTTGTAGATAGTTTGCTGTCTAACCTTCTGACATCTTTTTGAACAAGGTGTGAACTGAGACTCAATGTGAATTCTTTGTTTTATCTGAGAAAACTGTGGAAATGTGTTTTGATTGATAATTGTTATTTAAAGTGCTAACTCTGCTCCTCCTATTTACCTTTAGGTATCTTATGTCACCCTCTCCACCAGAGAGACTTTTTCAAAGGTTGGTCGAGAGCTTTTGGGGGCCATTACAGCTGTTCATCCTGAGATAATTTCTATCCTTTTGGATCAAGTTCAAGAGACCATTGACCAGGTTGGAATGGTAAGAGCACTGCCTCTTTATTTGCTTTTATCTTGTTTTTAATCATGAAATAATGGCACATTGGCTAAAATAGGAAGGCTGTTGGATTTGACTGTGTCACTTAAGGGCATAGTAGTATGAATAGAACTAAAATTTACTGTTACTATGTGCCAGGCTCATAATTTGTTTGCCTTTCATAATTCTTAAATTTTACTCTTGGAAGAAACAACTGTGACTAAGAAGGCCATGTTCCAATCAAACACAAAATTAGAAGTAGTAATTTAAGTTGAGCAGGACACAGATATTGCTTATTTCTGTCATTTATTGCAATCCCTTTTGTAATTTCATATAGTTTTTAAAAACAACTTTATTTGATAATTCATGTACCAGAGAGTCCACCTATTTAAAGTGTACAAGGGGCTGGGGATGTGGCTCAAGCGGTAGCGCGCTTGCCTGGCATGCGTGCGGCCCGGGTTCGATCCTCAGCACCACATACAAACAAAGATGTTGTGTCTGCCAAAAACTAAAAAATAAATATTAAAATTCTCAAAAAAAAAAAAAAAAAAAAAAAAAAAAATAAAGTGTACAAGGCAGTGGGTTTTTTTTAGTAAATTCAGATATATATAGCTGTCACCATAGTCAACTTCAGAATTTTAATCACTTCACAAAGAAACCACCTACACTTCAGCTATCATTCTGTTCCTCCTTCCCCCTCAGCGTGAAGCAACTGCTAATCTGCTTTCTGCCTCTCAGTCTGCCTATTTTAGACATTTAATATAAGTGGGATAATAAGTATGTGGTTCATTAGGAGTGGTTTATTTCACTTAACATGGTGTCCTTAAGGTTCATCTGTGTTGTAGTCTTTGTCAGTTTCTTACCTTTTTAAGCAGGCACAATATTCCATTGTATTTATATATTACCTTTGTTTATTCATTCATCTGTTGATAGGCACCTGGGTTGCTTCTACTTTTTGGCTATCATCAGTAATGCTGCTGTTGAACATGGATGCACAAATGTCTCTTTGAGATTTTGCTTTCAGTTCTTTTGGGTATATACCCAGAAGTAGAATTGCTGGGCCATATGGTAATTTTACTTTTAATTTTTTGAGGAACCACCATCCTCATAATGGCAATGAAAGGCGCCTTTTCCTTTTAAGAAAAGCATTGTGTCCCACAATTATATTTGTAGATGATTGTATTGCAATAAAAAGTCCTTTATGTGCTGTTCAATATAGCAGCAATTTTTTGGTTACACCTTTTTGAGTGACGATTTAATGGAATGAATTCCAGACAAATGTATAGTGAGTCATGTGTTTCTTCTTTTTTAAAAAATATTTATTTTTTAGTTGTAGTTGGACATAATAGTTTTATTTTATTTATTTATTTTTATGTGGTGCTGAGGATCGAACCCAGGGCCTCCCACATGCTAGGCAAGTGCTGTGCTGCTGAGCCACAGCTCCAGCCCCAAGTCATGTGGTTCTTTTAGTTGTATTGAGCTCATGATGATTTCTCTCACGTGTTTTTCTGTTTTGGGCAACATTTTCAACTTGGCCATGATACTTGTAGTAGGAAATTATGTCCATATATACTTAATTGTAAATGTAAATCTTGGAACCATATTGTTTTTTAAAGTACATTTATAAGGTGCCTCCATTGTCCGTTTATAAATGTGGTACTCTTGTGCTCTGTGAACTTGCTGAGGTTTTTGGACGGACTTATTCAAGCCACTGTGCCATCAGATAAATAGGATGGCTTTCACTTTGGGTTGATCTTAATTCAGCCTCTAGCTCCAGCGACTGGGAATGAGCTATGGTTGGGGTCCTGAACTTCCACTGACACCCTTGGGGTGTGTCAGAAAATAACTTGGTGTTCTGGAGGCCTAGCCTGAGAGCACTGTGTGGAGATTGCTCTGAGTTAGGGTAATAGTTAATAAGAACCAAGCCTTTGGGACATTCTGGAGTTTCAAAGATAGGCTTACTTTAGAGGACACATTCTCTTTTTGTTAGTGAAATCTGTGTAATTCCCTAGAACCTCTTCAAGAAAAATTTGTGACTTTTTTTTTTTTATTTTCAGTGAAAGCATGAGTATATTTTAGAATATGTGATGTAAATCCTATTTTGTTGAATAAATTCTTACTACAACTTTTACTGATTTCTTATTGCTTTGACTGGAACCTTCATTACAATATTGAATGAAAGTAGAAGGGCAGACTTTCTTGTCTCAGATTCTGTAATAGGGAAGAAGAGTTCAAAAGTTGACTTATCATGTGGAGGTTATAGCTTAGTGGTTGGAATTTGCCTAGCATGCACAAGGCTGTGTTCCAACCCTAGTGACAACAGAAGGATAACTATGAAGTATAATGAGGTTTTTCATGGATGTTCTATGTTAGGCTTGATAAGTTTCTTTTTCTAGTTAAAATCTTTTTTCTTCCATGAGGAGGTATTCAAGGACTTTCATTTTTGTATCCATTGAGCTGATCTTAGGATTTTTCTCCTTTGCTCTATTAATGCAATTAATAGATTGCATTGACTGGTACCTACAAAATTTCAAATTTTGGTTTCTCAAATGTTGAACCATCACTGTTTCATAAAATTAAAAAAACAAACCTTGATTGTACTATATAATCTTTTCTAGATATTGCTAGGTTCACTTTGATAGTAATTTTTGCATGTATTCATGAAGGTTTGATCTGTAATTTTATTTTCTTGCTCTATCTTGATGAAGCTTTGGTTCTGGGATTATGTTAGCCTCATGAGTTGAGAAGTACTTCCTCCTCTTTTGTGATGTGGAAAAGTTTTTGCAAGATTGCTATTAATTCTCCTTTTTTTCCCTTTTTTATTATTGTTTTATTTTGAAATAATTATAGACTTCATAGGGCTTTTAAAAAGGGCCTACGAACAAAGATAGCCCGGGTACCCTTCATCCAGTTTCCTCCAATGGTAACATCTTTTTTTTTCCTTCAATTAAAAAAAAATTATATTCTCCTTTGAATGTGGTAAAATTTGCCAGTGAAATCATCTGGGCAGGAGTTTTCTTTGTAGGAAGTCTTTTGATAACAAATTGAATGTCCTTAACAGAACCAGGATTATTCACATTTTATTTTTTCTTGAGTCGCTTTTTGGTAAGTTACATTTTAAAGGGATTTTCTTATTTGCTCTAACTAGTTCAATGTATCAGCATAGAATTGTTTGCAATATTTCCTTGTTAATCTTTTCATATCTCTGGAGTCTGTCATGAAAGTGATAACCCCACTTCCATTCTCGATGGGCAGATACATACTATAGCACTACTTTATGTCACTGGGATAGATGCTTTTCAGGACAGATCTCAGGGCTGTGGGCATTGTCCTATTACCACAATTTTGCTGTTTCTGCCAGATACTTGCAAAGTAAAGTAGGACTTTTGTTAGAATTGCCATTTTACCCTTTTATTCATAATATTCAAGACTTTTATTAATGAATCTTCATGAAAATTTGCACTATAGTATAGACATACACAAACAAAGATTTTTAAAAAAGGGACTAGTCTTTCTAAAATCTATTCTTTTTACTTTTCTCTCACATTTTGTTTTGTCTCCAATTTAGAGCTTGCTGATATATAGTTCTAGGACTGGAGGTGAGGCTCAGTGGTAGAGCGCTTGTCTAACATGTGTAAGGCCCTGGGTTCCCTCCCCAGCATTGTAAAAACAAACCAACTAACAAATAAAGCCCCCAAGCAAGTAGTTGTAGGCTGGTGTAATCGGATATGCTAGTCACTAGGCCTTGGAACATTGCTCTAAGTGTAAATTACTTAACTGAGTTTGAAAGACAGTATGAACAAAATAATTTCATACATCTTAATAATTTTTGTGGCAATTTCATGTTGAAAATATTTGGGAGGTCCTTCCTTCCCCTCCTGTGTATGATGGAAACACCATGGCTGCGGCAGCCCAGCTCTCCCTGACACAGTTATCAAGTGGGAATCCTATATGAAAAATATTATAGACAGGTTGATACAGGCAATACTGGAAGGTTGTTGGCTTCAGATGCTGCTGCTTTTCTGAAAAAGTCAGGGCTTCCAGATTTAATACTTGGAAAGATTTGGGATTTAGCTGACACAGATGGCAAAGGCATCCTGAGCAAACAAGAATTCTTTGGGGCTTTGCATCTTGTAGCATGTGCCCAGAATGGACTGGAGGTTTCACTGAATAGCTTGAACTTGGCTGTTCCTCCACCAAGATTTCATGATACCAGCAGTCCTTTACTAACCAGTAGAACCCCTGCAGCTGAGCTTCCATGGGCTGTTAAAAGTAAAGATAAGGCCAAATATGATGCAATTTTTGATAGTTTAAGTCCAGTGGATGGATTTTTGTCTGGTGATAAAGTGAAGCCAGTGTTGCTTAACTCTAAGTTACCTGTGGAAATCCTTGGAAGAGTTTGGGAGTTGAGTGATATTGACCATGAAGGAAAGCTTGACAGAGATGAGTTTTCAGTTGTAAGTAACTTAATGTTCTTAAAATAGAAATATCATAATGGTTTTATCATGTGAAAATTTCCCCTTTTAATTAATCCTTAAAGGAAAACTATGTTTATCAAATTGTTGGTATAAACATTTTTATCTAGAATTTATAGGTAGTTAATAAATATTTTAAAATAAATGAAAAAACAAAAGACAATATTTTGGACATTAGTTTAAATAAAATATTAAAATTGATTTTACCTGTTTCTTTTGATTTTTTTTAAAAAATGTGGCTATTAGGAAAATTAAAATTCTACATATGGCTTGCATTGTATTTCCATTGGTCAGCATTGTTGAAGACATGAAATGAATGGCTATTCTGATCTCTCTCCCTTGAAACAAACTTTATTACATGAATACAGATTTATTTAGTACACATAGATAGGTCATTTAAAATAGTGCTGTAAACTTTTTATAAACAGGATTTTAAAAACTTGTTATGATGGAATATTTCAAATACAGAAAAGAGAAGAAAGAGTAGTATAATGAACCCCTGGGTATCCATTATCCAGTTTCAACAGTTATCAACTCTTTTTTTTTCTTTAAGTTATATATGAAATTGTCAAATTCTTGATTGATCTTGTTTCATTGGTTCCCCATTCACTCCTTACCTCCCCTTCCAACTGCTTTGAAAAAAATAGAAATAATCTTTTAAAATGCTACAAATGGAATAAATATTTATAGTACATTTTAAAAAATAAATTGAATGACCATCCCTTGATTTATTATTTTTAAATTTGTATCTTATTATGGTGGTTTACCTAAATTGAAGCATAACCGATTTACATATTGAGAGATTATCTTTATCAAGATTACCTTTATACTTTTGGTACATCATCAATTTTAATACTGATTTGATTTGTTTGTCTGTAATTTCAATTTTACTCATCTAAAAGTCAAATAAAACTCTGCTTCCTTTTGAAGAAAAATTTTGGCAGCATCATAATGCATTGTGATAACAGAGGATCATCCTCAAATCCTGATTTTAATTATGATTGTTTTCTTTTTAATAAGGTTTCATTATACTTGTTTAAAGAATTGCCTTTGTATCTCTGGCGACCTTCTGCTTCGGAGCTAGCTGTGATTCGGGGTTGGTTATTGAATCACAACCTGACAGCAGTGAAGAACAAACTGGCCTGTGTTATTTTAGAAGGACTGAATTGGGGATTTGCTGAACAGGTATGTGTTAAAATCATCCCCAGAAATGGGGGATTCTATGAGCCTCAATTTCAGGGAAGCATTTTCTTAGAACAGTAACATTTCCAAATACTATACCCAAGGTCTGCACATTTTCTTTTTTCTAACATTTTATTTTTTTAGTTGTAGTTGGACACAATACCTTTATTTATTTATTTGTTATGTGGTGCTGAGGATCAAACCTAGGGCCCTGCATGTGCTAGGCAAGCACTCTACCGCTGAGCCACAACCCCAGTCCCCTGCACATTCTTTTAGTTGTATTGGAGTCTAGGATCTTTAATTCTGTTTTGCAGAGTGAGCATCTTCTAAATGAAGATAAATATTTTCCACATGGATAATTCTTCCTTTTATCCTTAGAACACATGTATCTGTTGTTTTATCCCTGGCTAATTACTGCATTTACTCCTTATTGCCTCCCTGCCTCTGGTCCCTTTTTCTCCTGTAATTTCTCTTGAATGTCTTTGCCAGAGTTGTTTTCTAAAACATCATCAATTAATTAGGAGCCTGAGTTCTGAGCCAGTCTGCCTGGGTTCTAATTTCAGTTCTGCTACTTCCTCATGGTATGACACTGAGCAAGCTTCCTGCATTCTCTGGACCTTAGTTGCTCATCTGTAAACAGTGAAATTAGTAGGCCTTCCTCATAGTGTTGTTGTAAGAATTTAATGAGTAAGGACATGTAAACATTTAGGACAGTTCTTGGAACATGTTAATTACTTGATGTTGTAGTCATTATTAATAGTTTATTACTAAGGATATCATGTCTCCAAAGATGCCACATCAAGTGATTTTGACTATTTCATAACCTTTCCTGTCTCTTTACCATAGGCTTATTAGTTAGCTCCTTGGTAAAAAATATTAATATCTTAAAAGAAAAATTGGGGAGAACTCAGCCATCTACAACTCTTCACCAGCTCTGTTCTGGGCAAGTCATTTAATCCTGGCAGTTGTCTTTTGTGTTTTGCATTAATCTGATGCCTGGTATTTAGACTGAAGCCAGGGAGTTTTCCTCTCAGGGGCTCCCTGACCTCCTAGGACTGGAGAGCTAGCAGGGGCAAGCATCAGGGGCTGTTCTTCACCTTCACATTCTCCTGTTTGTGAACAGAGCCCCCAGGATCCCTTCCGCCAGAGAGCTGCATTAAGATTTCCCTGTGAGAGTCTCTTCACTCCTGCCTTAGAATTGGGAGCAACATCTTCTATGCAAGAGTTAGGAACTGACTTTTTCAAAGCTGCAAAGGAAGATGGGGTGGGAAATTTGTAGGCTACTTGAGGCTCTTGAAGCATGTTTTATCTGTGTTGTTATTATTGTTACTATTTTTGGTACTGGGAATTGAACCCAGGGGTGCTTTACCACTGAGCTCCATTCCCAGCTCCCTTTTTTATATTTATTTTTAAAATTTGAGATAGGGTTTCACTAAATTCCTGAGAACCTCATTAATTGCTGAGGTTGTCCTTGAATTTGTGATCCTCCTGCTTCAGCCTGCTAAGTCACTGGGATTATAGGATTATATGCTTTACCTATATTATTGAACATCTTATTATTATTGATAGGGGAACAAGAAAAGGGAATGTAGACTTAATTTGTTAGTTGTTTTCCTTTTTAATTAATATCAAGCATTTTCCTGGTTTGTGGCAGTGCCCTTAACTTATAACTTATACCACAGTCTTTGTAGAGATCTAGAGTCGGGTGGGGGATTAGATTAAAATACCAGTTTTAGTCTGGGGTGAGGAATGACTCAGGTTCAGACCTCTCTTGGTGCAGTATAATTGCTCTTTAGATTTCAAAATTTTTCCTTTTGTCATTTATAACTTCACTGTTTTAGGGGATGTAATGCTTAGAATATTTGGTTTTTGTATCCAAGACCCTGTTTTACTATTCTGTCTGTATTTTGGGTCAAAGGTATTTTAAAAAGTCAAGTGGGTATGTTTATGATTATTTCTCTCTTTAAAAGGGTATTCTTCATCTGGATCAAACAGTTCATTCTGAAGTGGCCTTAATGGTTCTAGAAGCTTATCAGAAGTACCTTGCGCAGAAACCATATGCTGGGCTAATTTCTGAAAGTATGAAGCAGGTATTTCTTCCTCTTTTATATTGAAGACATAAATTTTTGTTTACAAATAGACTGGGCATTTGAAGCTACAGTATTGATCCTTAGATTTTTCTAAGAACATCACTGGCAGTTTAAGATATTAACATTGATTTCTATGGTTAAAGTCTTCTTTCTTAAAAAGTAGCTCCTTTATGATCATTTTGGTATCATACAGTTTAAGTTGAGCAGCAGTGATGTATGCTGGAGCTCACTTCTACTAGCTCAGGTGAACTGACTGTTAAATTTTCAGAAACTTTGCAAGCTAGATTGTTATTTTAGTCTGCTTTTTCACTGTTGTGACCAAAAGACCTAACCAGAACAGTTAGAGGAGGGAAAATTTATTTGGGGGCCCACGGTTTCAGAGGTCCATTGATGGCTGATTCCATTCCCGGGACTCAAGGTGAGGCTGAACATCATGGCAGAAGAATGTGGTGGAGGAAAGAACCTCAGGACATGACCATCAGGAAGCAAAGAGAGCTCTGTTCAACAAAAGGGCAAAATGTATACCCCAAAGGCATGCCCCCAGGAACCCACCTCCTCCAGCCACACCCTACCTGCCTACAGTTACCATCCAGTTAATCCCTGTATGGGAATAACTACTGATTAGGTTAAGACTCATAACCCAGGCATTTCACCTCTAAACTTTGCATTTTCTCACGGTGAGTGTTTGGGGGACACCTAATATCTAACCCATAACAATTGTTAAACTATTGGTAGCTTGAAATTGATAGTGGTTTTTATCCCACACAAATTGGCAAATGCTTTGCTTAAATAAGACCTTTCATTCTTAATTACTAAATTAAAAATAAATTTTTAACCAGCACATGATTTCATGAATATCAAATTTTATATCACTTCTCTTTTGATCACATTCTCAAATTGACTAGCAAGGAAGTACAAATGGTTATTTGTGAGTGAGAAATTGCTTTAATGCATTACCTCAGACATTAATTGTAGGCCAGCAAATAGTATATTCTCTTTCAAAGCCACTATTGATCACAAAAAAGGATGAGTAGATGTGGTTACAGATTTAATTTGTGTGCAACTAATGTGGTTTAAAATAAATAATTGTTTTAGGTTTCATATTTGGCCAGTATTGTTCGATATGGAGAAACCCCTGAGACCTCATTTAACCAATGGGCCTGGAATTTGATCTTGAGGTTAAAACTGCACAGAAATGACTATGGAATACAGCAGAATTGCCCAACTGTTCCCTTCTGCAGCATGGTGCCTGACATGACAGAGTCACCTGCATTTCATCCTCTCTTGAAGGCTGTGAAAGCTGGCATGCCCATTGGCTGTTATCTCGCCTTATCTATGACATCTGTGGGCCACAGGTATGGTGTTTGGGTTGAACCTCTAGAGTTGCTTAACCTTATGGGTAGGAGTTCTACAATCTCATCTTCTACTTATCAAGAGCTAAGGTCTCCATTAAATCTATAGGGAGGTAAATTAGAGCTAAGTAATAAGCCTGGATCAGTGGTATCAAGGTAAAGTGCTTTCCAAATATACTCAAGATCATTTACTCTCACTAAATAAATAAATGTGTGTATAGTATATGTATGTATATATACACAAAACCACACATGTATACACACACATATACACCCACAAAATATATTAGAACATATATTTTAAATAATTCTGTAGAGCTTCCTTATAAAAGGTAAGGACTTTGTCTTGTTCATTTTTATGCCTACAGAACTTGTACTTGATATTCCACAAATGCTGGTGGATTGAATGAATGTGGGAAGGAGCATCTGGTGTCTGAGTGGGAAGGGTGAGAGGAGGGGAAGAGAGGAAATACTCCTGAATGAATCCCATGATTCCTCATGGAGAATAAAAGAGATCACATAGTTGGTAGGGTCAAATGTTGGGAAAGATTTGAAAGCTGGGTAAGAGAGGGTAGAACTGATGAGAGAAGGATAGACTTGTTTAGCCTTTAGGAAGGTATCTTTTACATTGTTTCCAGTAGGTCTAGTGTCATAAACAGTTTTCTGAACTTTTAAGTTCCTCATCTCTAAGATGGGAATAATAAAGATAACAGACTTTATGAGTTTCAAGTGAAAAAAAAAATATATCTCATATTTAGAACAGTGCCTGACATGTGAGTTCTTTGAGGACAGTCTTCTGAACTTGTTTCATGATTATTTCTCTAATTGCTAGTATCCATTCTGGGACTATAGCTCTTTAGTCCTGATATGGGTTCTCTGCAAACATGCTGATCTGTTTAGTACTGATTACTGAATCCTGAATGCAAACAAGGATGAGAATAAGTGTTTCCTTTTGAGGTTCATTACACCGTAGTCATCTGGGATGTAGATGTTCTGGAATAGAGAAATAACTTAAAAATAATCTTATGCATGAGATTGGGGTTGGGGATGGAGTAGACAGGAACATAAGTTATATATGAATATAATATTACAGTATGGAGAATAATAGCCAGAAAGTCACTCAGCATCTTTCCCATACTAGAACGTTGCTTTATTTACTGTTTATTTTTATCTAGTATTTTTCCTTTGCTCTTTTTTTTTTTTTTTTACAGTTATGATGTATGTGTAATTTTGTGGCTTGTTTTTCACTTTTAATATAGTAAGTATCTCCCTCATGGTGTAGCCTTTGCATTATTGTTATTTGAAATGATTTTTTTCCTCTGGAGGTGAAACAATGTAACTAAACTGCAGAATTAGGAAAGTGGAGGAAAAAATCACTCACTTTTGCCACTCCAATACAGTGAATATTCTGATGTGACATCATCCCTGTTTTTCCCTCTTTATCTAATTTTTTTACTACTAGTTTTAATTACAAGTATAAATTTTTATGGGCTTTTCCTCTATTATCATTATAGTGGAAATATTTTCATGTTGTCTTTGGCCGCCATATGTATTATTTAAAAGTGACCCAATAAGATTACTATTGAATAGATTTTTCTTAAATTTACTTAATTCATTTCTGTGTATAAATTTTGTAGCTATAAATAAATAAGAAAATGAATCTTAACATGGATTATCATCCACATTTTTCCCTATATTTGAGATTATTTCTTAAGTACAGAAAGAAGATTTTTATGACATATTGGTTCTAGAAGCCGGGGACAGTGATTACACGCCTGCAATCCCAGGTACTCCAGAGGCTGAGTCAGCAAGATCCCAAGTTTGAGGCCAGCCTTAGCAACTTAGTGAGACACTGTCTAAAAAATAAAATGGTCTGGGGATTAACTTAGTGGTACAGTGCCCCTGAGTTCAATCCCCAGTACTGGGAGAAAACATGGTTTTAGGAGAAATTTGCCAGGTTATATTGACAGATTGATCTCACTTTCAAATCTTTCTTTTGCTGGAGTAACTTCTAGGAATAGCCAAACAAAGAGCCCCATAGCTCTTATAAGAAGCCCTGTTTGAGAAGCTAAATAGGGGAGTGGCAATCTCTCTGAACTGGAAATTTGCAAACCTGGGTTCTCATTTTGACCCTTCCCTAGTAAATTATGCAAATTTGGGCACAATATTAATCCTTTCTCATCTATAAAACAGAAATATAGATAAACTTTTAAGTTCCTTTGTACTTCAGAGTTCTGAGTCTAGTATTTTCTTGTGGAAAATGGAGATTAAAAGATATGTTGGAGACTGAGGTACTCCACAGTGTATGATCACTCACTGGAAGAACAGAATTTAAGGAACTAGCTACCTTATATGCTCATTGCCTTTTTGTTCTCCATAGCATTGAGAAGTTCTGTGCAGAAGGCATTCCACTGTTGGGAATTCTGGTCCAGTCGAGGCATTTGAGAACAGTGGTCCATGTCCTAGATAAGATTCTACCTTTGTTTTACCCTTGCCAGTATTACCTTCTGAAGAATGAGCAGTAAGTATGTTCTGTCTGCGGCAGGAGACACTTTAGAAATGGCCCAGTGAACAAATATGACTACATTTGATTTCTGAAGTAAAATGAAGAGAATGATATTTCAGCAATGTATTTTTTAGAGGCAGAAAACTTCTGCGACCCAGTTTAGTATGCAGGTTAATGAACAATGATTCTGGTAACAATTCCAATTTAGTGTCACAAAAGGCATCTCCTTCTCATTTAACTTGAACTGGCTTATTAGAATTTATTAGTATTTAAAAGAGCAGTTATTTCCTTGAGACACCTGGGAACAGTATTCTTGACATTAAGCAGTGATGGCTTTGTCATTGGAACAACAGCCAAACATGCTGTTTTTCATCGCCTACGGTGTGCATAGTGCAGTGTTGTGAATAAATAAATAGGAAGTGGGAAGAGGACCACCTGTTCAGGAGTGGGGAGCTGAGCATCTGGCTGGGCCTCATGAAGAGTACTGAAAGGGGAGGTGAGGCCCTTTGTGGACCCCATAGTGAGGACAGGTAGTACATCCAAGGAGGGCATAAGGGGAACATTCCAGTTTTTCTGTTGCGTATTTTTTCATTCAGTGTGTCTCAGACTTGCTTGGTGATGAGAGTCACCAGAAGGGGCTTATTAAGTATGGATTTCCAGATTCCTCACTTGGAGCTCTGACTTCAGTAAGAAAGGATTAGGGTCTGGGCATCTTGGGTGCTAGGGAAGTTTGGGAATCAAATGACTTGGAACACATTGTTGTTTTTATTAGTGGAGGCGGGAGTGCAGAGGAGTTGGGATGCTTGGGGGTGTTTTTCTCTAATGCTCTTTACCCTGCATGTGTTTGTGTGTCTTGGGCCTCTTCATTAAACTTCTGTAGGCAGACAGAATTCCTTTTAGCCCACATCAAATGTGAAAAGCTTATTCTTCTGAAATTCTTGAAGATTTATCAGAACCCATAATAGAGCTTTGGTCTAAAAATGGGGCCAATTTAACATTTTTTCTTTATCCTCATGAGTAATTAACTGCTGGCAGTTCTGCTAACTCCTGATCAGAAGGTACAGTGTGTGATCTGTGTGCTTTGCAGGTTTTTGTCACACTTCCTCCTCTTCCTCCACTTGGACAGTGGTGTACCTCAGGGTGTCACGCAGCAGGTCACTCACAAGGTGGCACAGCACCTCACAGGAGCCAGCTATGGGGACAACGTGAAGCTTCTCAACAGCATGATCCAGGTCAGGGCCCTTGCAAATCCCTAAATACACTTTCCCCCATCTTCCAACCCAAAGCCTGTGGTGTGAGCACATTAATGATGTGGTCATTTAAAATAATTTGTACAGTGCTTTTGGCATAGAGAAGCCCAACTGATTGAGGCTTTAGTGGAGGTAGATGGCATTTTGTTATTGTTTTGAAAATGGGAGGCTGGTTATTACCTTTCACGTCACCCAAGCCATTTCTGCACAGGCGCACATATCTGTAAGCACGCAGCCCAATGAAGTGGGTCCTGTTGCCGTGTTGGAGTTCTGGGTTCAGGTTCTCATAAGCCAGCATCTTTGGTACCGAGAACAACCCATCCTCTTCCTCATGGACCACTTGTGTAAGACAGCCTTTCAGCTGATGCAGGAGGACTGTGTACAGAAGTTACTCTACCAGCAACATAAGGTAACCTGTTAGTTTACATTTTCATCATTGGCTAGATAATAGTTTTCTAAAAGCTTCTCCTAAATGCACAGTTATTGGTATTACCGTGTGGTCACTACTTTTTTAAAGCTTTGCTTTATGGGCATCTTGTCTTTCCAGTCATATCCATTAGCACAGATCCTATGCAACTCAAAGGAAAGGACACTCAGGAAAGGACCTCTGTAGTGCACTGCCTGGAAGAGTTGGTGCAGCTGGCTCATTTTTGAAATCTGTGTTGTATCATCATCTTTCACTCTAGTGGGATAATCACTAACACTCTTGGAAGAGTCAATGATGAAGTTTTAAAAAATCCTGTTCTCTTTGTTCCACCCCTCCTCCCTGGTGTAGAATGCTCTAGGTTACCACTGTGACCGGAGTCTGCTCTCTTCCTTGGTGAGCTGGATCGTGGCAGGCAACATCACTCCATCTTTCATAGAAGGCTTGTCCATGCCCACTCAGGTATGAAGTCCACTGAGAGGACCATTTGTGATCTTTGTCAACTTCAATGTTGTTATCATCCTTATTAATCTATTACTAATAGTCTGCAATTACTAACATTTGTTTAGCACTTAGTACACAGAGGTATGCTTTTCCACTTGGCAGCCCTCTGCCAAGCCCTGTCTATTTTAGAGGTGTTAACAGAGGTTGGGCCAACAGCTTGACTGCTGAGAGGTTAAGAGTGGCGGCCTGGAGCCAAATGGCCCAGGTTTCAGTCTTGGTTCTTCCATTTGTTAGCTGTGTGCATTGGGCCACCTGCTTACGTCTCCGTCTTCAACTGTCAAATGAGAATATGATTGCTTTAGGTAAAGCATTCAGAGCCATGACTAACACATAGCACTAAGTATTGGCCCTTGTTATTGTCATCTTTATTACTGGTGGCATTATTTTCCATCACTATTACCACTTCTCAGACTGTATAATAAATCATGTCTCTCTTTCATCATTTAAATCACTGAAATCAACATTTCAGTCTTACTTCCTGTTCTTCCTCATATCTCTTTTGATTGAGCAGAAACCGGCTCCTTGCTGTCACCTAGACCCATCTCTGCTTCCCCACCTCCATGCCTCTGCCTCAATTTCTCTCAGAGACCTGCTTTTCCCACCTGTCTATGCAGAGCCTTCTTTGATCCAGCCCTTTGCCTCCATGCAGTCCTCACCACTGCTCACAGTTTTGGTTACTTATATATTAGTCTTGTCTACTCTAATAGATTGGACATTTCTTAAGGACAGAGCCCATGTCTGGCCCTCTTTTCTGCCCCTCACGCATACAGAACTTGTCCAGTAAATATTGTTGGGTGAATGAACATCCTTCTTGAAGTAGACTTTCCAGATGAGTTTAACATTTTCCAGTTGTCTATTTTTGTTTTATTCTATAAATGTGACAGGAATATAGGTAGGTATTAAATATGTGTTAATTTTACAAACTAAATATTTGCTGACTGAGATTGATCATTGAAAACATTTTTTTCCCTGCAGTGCTGGGGATTGAACTCAGGCTCTCATGCATGCTAGGCAAGTGCTCTACCATTGAGCTACAGCCCCAGCCTTAGCAAAGATTTTAACTTCAACTCAGGATGATTGTATCAGTTGAGTTAGTGGCTCATTTCCTTCCCCTTTCTCTGGTGTCATCATAGGTCTGGTTTGCATGGATTGTGCTGAACATGGAATCCATCTTTGAAGAGGACTCCCAGCTCAGAAGAGTTGTTGAAGGGGAATTGGTTATAAACTCTGCTTTTACCCCTGACCAAGCTCTGAAGGTGCAAATAGTAGTTCTGCATTCGAGTGGTGGGGTGGCTTACACTGCGGTGCTGAGGGATTTGGGATTCACCTTAACATGTGAACTTCTGTGTTTTCTTTTCTTGTGAATATTTGGAAATCCCAAACACCCAACCAGTATTTAAAACATTTGTGTAATTGAAGTGTATACTTGGCTTCCCAAAGTTCATTTAGCAACTGGCCTCATACTCAATAACTTAGAGGTGTGTTCATTGCTCAAGTGAAGGGGATTGCTGTTTTCTTGAAGCAATTGCCATTGTCTCCCAGGTGCATCAGAATCCCCTTGAAAACTTGTTAAAAATTAGATTCCTGATCCCAGCTTTTGAGAGTCTGAATTGTAACCAGGAATTTCTTTTTAACTCCCTAACTGATTCTTAGGCTCACTAATGTGTGAGAAAGACTGAAATAGGGCTTTGGATTTAAAGACCATCTTCTTTTTTTTTTTCCTTTAATTTAAATTAATGGTTTTATTTATATCGTTATCATTAAAGACTGTCTGTTTTAGATGCCATAGTATATATTTTGAGTTTGCTTTTGAGTTTCAGAGCCTCTCCAGGAATTCAGTATTCTTAGAAGTCCTTTTAAAATCTAAAATTTCAAAAGACTGATAGAGTTTGACAGTGAGATTGACTTTTGTTTGATTTTTCATATCATTCTATGGCCTTGCTCTATAATATTTTTCATGCAAGAGAATTTCATAAATAGAAGTTAGTTTAGACTAGATGACTCTTAAGACCCATTTTGGTTCTGGGGTCTGTGAAATGTCTTGACAGCAAAAAGTTGCTGCATGTGCCTTGCTACCAAGGAGGTTAATGTGGCAGTGAGTGGGCTGGAGAAGTGAGTTTTGTGTGACTTTTTTTTTTTATTGAATTGAAAACAAAATGTTTAGTATTGCATTTGGGTCACTTAGAGTAAACTGTCTGTGTCCGTTTCTTAGCTAAAGCTTCTTCTTTGTTGTAGAAAGCCCAGGCCCAGCTGAAGCTCCCGATCGTCCCGTCCCTACAGAGGCTGCTGATTTATCGCTGGGCCCACCAGGCTCTGGTCACACCTTCTGATCATCCTCTTCTGCCACTCATCTGGCAGAAGTTCTTCCTCCTGTATCTTCACCGCCCAGGACCACAATATGGGTACGGTACCTGTGAGTCCATTCCTGAGACTGTGCTCTTACAGTGGAGTGTGAATCAGCATCATTCTTTGGTGACTTTAAACTAGAAGTCTTCCTCACTCTCTGTTTAAAATTTATTAGAATAGATCTTTTTTGAGTTTGAGGTATCTTGAAGCAGCTTTTCTTTACCATTCTTTGTCCCACACTCCGACTCTGTGCTTTAAACCTCTGGAGATGGTAAAGGGAAAGAAACTTCTTCAAACAGAGGCTCCGTGTGTGACCACTGTGGGACTTGGGCAAGGTCTTTTAGACAGGGTATTTTGAGTAGCTTAGGGCCTTGCTAAGTCTGGTCTCAAACTTGTGATCTTCCTGCCTTAGTCTCTGGAGTTGCTGGGATTATAGACATGAACCACCACACACACCTTCCCTGCCCTTTTTATTTTTGATTTTGAGACAGGGTCTCAGAAAGTTGCCCAGGCTGACCTTGAACTTTTGATCCTCTTGCATCAGCAGTGCCATCATGCTGACTTTATTCTTTTTAAAAGTACTTTCATATATAGTTCCACCTTCTCTCTAGGGGATATGTTCCAAAATCCCCTGTGGGTCCTTGAAGCCATGGATAGTACTGAACAATAGATATGCTGTTTTCCTTATATACACACATACTTATGGTAAAGTTTAATTTATAAATTAGGCACAGTAAGAGAGTAACAATAACTAATAATGCATTAGGACCATTATACTGAATATATACTGAAATAAAATTCTTTTAAACCTAAGCATTTTTTATTTCTAGAATTTTCCATTTAATATTTTTGGACGAGGGTTGATTGTAGGTAATTGAATCCACTGAAAGCGAAACTATGAATGAGGAGACACTACTGTACATATCTTGTGGCATCCTCAAAATATCCTTTGAGGTAGAAGTAACAGGTATTGATTTAGTGGTGTGTGGATCCAGCCATAGTAACTTGCCTAGCTGATTGACTGCCAAATAGAAAGAGGATCTTGTGTTGAAATGTTATAGATCTGTGCTTTTATTTTTTAAGGTTACCCATAGATGGTTGTATTGGAAGAAGGTTTTTTCAAAGTCCTGTTCATATCAACTTGTTGAAAGACATGAAGAGACGCCTGACTGAGGTGGCCGATTTCCACCATGCTGCGAGCAAGGCCATCCGTGTTCCAGCAGAGGGCAGTGAAGGGCTACCAGAGAGCCAGGATGTCACCCCTGGTTACCTGACTTCTCCAGAACTGCACACAGAACTCGTGAGGTGTGATGGTCATTTAGCAGTTTCCCTTTGTTGTTTGCAGCGTGGGTCCTGGGCTGGCACAGTTAGCTGTGGTTCAGTCTCTAGATGTTACTCTTACTCCTGTGAGATTGAATCCACATGCTTTGATTCATATTGGCATATTGAAATGTTTTTCCCTTATGTTCCTCAAGAGAGAAGTGATGCAGCCACTTGGATATAGCGGGAATCTGAGTGATAATCGGTGTTGACAACCTCTTCTATTTCTCCTTATTTTTTTTTTTTTGCCAATTTTAAATACAGTTTTATTTAAGACATTGCATTTTCCACTTACAGTGTTTATGAAGTGCAATGGTATTTTCTTTCTCTTCTGTTTCTTCATGTAAACATAGAAATAAACCAAAAGAAATTGATCACAGCAGGCACACAACTAAAGCCTTCTAGAAGAGCTCTTTAGAAATCAGTGACCCTGTTTGGGCTCTATAAATGTGGTTCATAGAGTCACCCTGTGGGATTCAGGGTTCCACCTGGGGTGGTGGTAGTGGTGGGGTCAAACTTTATCAAAATGGGAGGTTGGAGAACTAGGAAGTAGGTTTGGGTTTTATTCACATTGTTCCCTCACCTTTCATCTATAAATTTAATATAAACCAAATATTAATCTTATAAATAGGATTTAATAAAAATGACTCTTAATAATTAACTCTGACTACAAAAATAGCTTGGTGGGGAAAGCCAGCATTTTATCTGGCACTGAGGCCTCAGGCTTACTTGACCTTAGCCCCTCAGGATTTGTTCTCAGCCTTCAAAATAATTTCTCCCCTTGCTTGGATGAAGGAAAACTCATTTTTTTAAAAACCAGGCTTAATCTCTTTGAACATTTCAGATCAGCCAACAAAGACTTTGATACTCCTTCTGTCTCTCTTAAATCCACCCCCTGTGGTGTTTATAAAGTGGCCATCTATCTCACTGAGTCAGAAACTGGAAGCGAGAACTACACACATACCAACCTCTTCCCTTTGGGCCCTCACAGCCCTTCCATGTCTGACTTCTAGACACCCTGCCCTGGAGGTAAAGGACCTAGTCTTCCACTTCACTGAGCATGGCCACGTGCTGATTTCTGGTCATTTGTGTGTGCCAGCTACTTTTCTAGTTCTGTTGATGGAAACAACTGCTCAGAATGTCAGTGACCTTAGCTAGTGGACTTTGTGCCTCGTAAAAACAAAAATAAAGGAAACATAATTATATTTTTAAAAAAGTTTTTACTGGAAAATCAAGTTGTTGTTTTTTAAAAAAAATTTTTTTTAAAGCCTGACTTTGTTTATTTCTTCTTAATGGGAACAGGGTGCACACATGGCAGTGAGTTTGATTTATAATTCCTCAAGTCAGGAGCTGGCCATGGAGTCTCTGGCTGGCAAGTTCTTTCAATGCAAAAGGTCTCTGAAAGAGAAAATTTGATCATTTAAATGTTATTTTCACTTTTCCAAACACTAGGGCTTACTGTGACTGAATTGTTCAGGAAAGCAAAGCTGCAAATTCAGATTCTAGGGCTGTGGTATAATCATCTCCTTCAGTTACTTTTTCTGTACACTGTGTTTAACCCTGTGTTAATAATGGAGCTCCCAAAGACCCTTCTTTAGACCTTTTTTTTTTTTTTTTAAGCAATTATTGCATCAGATTTTAACGATCAGGGACAGTTCTCTACTGCTGGACCATGAGTTTTTTTGGGAGGGGTAGTGGTTGTTTGGTATATTTTCTGGATTGTGGGCTTTCTTTACCCTGATAGACTTGTGCCAGAGGTCTTAGCAATGTAAGAAACTTCATCTGAACATTTAAAAACTCACATAACTTATGTTTTTATCTTTTAGGCTCTTCAATGTATATATATTATGGCTAGAAGATGAAAATTTTCAAAAAGGAGATACCTATATCCCTTCTCTACCAAAGCATTATGATATTCACAGGCTAGCAAAAGTGATGCAGAATCAGCAGGTGAAACTATGGCATTGTCTTGTTGAGCATTTCTGAATGTCATTTGAACCAGTCATAGTTACAATCTCAGGGTGAAACCACTTATTGATATGGAAGTGGGTGGTCATGGGAATGGTCATTATTTCTGTAGGTTTTCTCAATATATAAGTGATTGTGTTGAGAGGATATTCCCTTTTGAATCTCTAGCCCCACTGTGACTTCACCTGGAGGCCTAAACTCATTTTTGAGCTTTTTACAACTTCTACATAGTCTTTCTTTGACTGTTTGTATTCTTTTTTATTTTAAATTGTCAGCAGCAGAACACTTTTAAGCAATCATCTCTACCATAAAAAAGCTCAGGGAAAGTTTAAAAATATTTTTATTTTTTGCAGTTCAGGATTGAGCCCAGGCAGGACCTTATGCATACTTGGCAAATATTCTACCATCAAGCTATATACCCAGCCATTAGTGGAAAGAATTTTAAGCATTCATAAGTTACACAGGCGGTCAGTTGCAGGGAGGAGACGAGGAGCTCACCTTTGTCTTTGAAGAGGTTTATTTCTTGATGTCCTTTCTAGAACCACTTGATTCTAGTCTCTGTGTGTCCTAAGCTGTTTTCTTTCTGGCACCCAAAGATGTCTTTGATCCTTTTTCAGATCCAAACCTCTAATCTCTGGTTTCTTAAAGCTTCTGTGGCCAGCTTGAGATAGGGCTGAGGTTGGGGGAGACATGTCTGTCCTATTCTGGATCCTTTCTTCTAGAGCCTGAACTGTATTGGGCATTGACCCCAATGTTGGAATGTGATTTGAGAACCTCTAAGATTTGAGAGGCTTGCCATTGGACCCTTAAGCCTACCCACTTCCACATAATGTGTAATACTTCCTCTCCTGTTGGTTCTGCTGTTTTCCTTCCCTTTCTCCCAGGGGTACTTACTGAGTGCCTTATACATTCCAAGAGTTTAATCTCAAAAATACAAAGAGATGTGATATACTCTCTGCTTACAAGGAGCTTCTTATCAAATGGGGGCCTAAACATATATCACATCTGTGATCAAGACTGGGAGTGGAATGCAGGGTGCTGTGGAAGCAGAGAGGGGTGGCAGTGGTGGGAGACCTATGAAATGAGCCTTGGGGATAGCTGGATCTCTTGCAGACTAGGCAAGAGCTCTCCTGCTGAGCCACTTCAGCAGCCCTCTTCTGAAGTATTTATTTGGAGAGCTATCGAAATAACCCATCAGTGATTAAATGGATGAATTAAAAATATATTGAGGAACAATCAGTAGATTTTATGATGGGCTAATTACACAAGAACTCCAAAATTTCTAGCTTGTCAGTTAGAAATGCTATTTACCAAGTTAGGGAATGTAGTAAGAGGAAGTGCCTATGGTTTCAGAGAGCTTCTTATTCTGCTATATTACAAGCACTTGGACTGGAGGGGAGATACAGATCTAGAATTCAGGAATGAGCCTGGGTGGGAAACGTGGGTTTAAGAGTGATAGAATGTTTAGATTAAGCAGAGGACTGCAGGTGGAATTCTGAGAAATAACATGTAAGGGTCCAGAGAAATAAGGCTGGGGATAGAGGAAAAGTAAATTTGAGATCATGGTGGCCTCAAATCCTTTTAGTGCTGTTCCATGCTCATCTCTTCTTTACATTCTACATCCAAAGTCCTTATGCAAACCTTTGCACAATATAGGTACTTTAATTTTTTTAAAAAAATTTACCATAGCTTTCTTGGTTCTTTCCCATTTATTCTTATTCCTTAGCATTTGCAATCAATTGCTTTTCTTTTTTTAAGTTTTTGCTTACCATTTAATATGCAACTTTTTTTTTTTTTAATCTGTAACTAAAATTCCTGGAATTGTCTTTTGCTTACCCATCAGCAACTCCCACTATTTGCTTTATCTGTCGGTCTCTGTCAACAGTTATTTAGTGCAGAGATGGACAGGGTGACCTGGTGATGGTATTGATTGGAGATGCGTTGTCTACATAGCAGGAGGATCTGCAACAGTCCAGGTGCAGACAGGACCTGATTGGGTGCAGGATTACTTTGGAGCTTCTTCTCTGATCCTGGAATGCCTTGTCCTGTGCTTAGTTTAGAAATAATGATTTAGTATTTGATAACAGTGGCTTATTAAGAAGCCAGTACATTTTTAGGATTAGAGGGATCCTTGGGACTGTGGAACACTTAATGAGGGGGGCAAGGAGATCATTGCCTACAAAACCATATTATGTTTGATTACTTGCTATGCTGTTTGAAGTCATCATTAGTGTGTGTTATTATCTGACATTTTTATTGTTGTTCAGGGTAGCCCACCATTCTAATATGTGACGATCCCCAAAGTAAAGAAATATAGTTCAGAATATGCAAGATAGCCCACTGAAATATGGAAAGAAAATACTAGAACTTGTTTTTTCTCATTTTATCTACTTATTTATTTTATCTTTTTTTATGAGTAAATTCTGCCATCAAGAAAAATAGAATAACGTAATAGATATGCCCTTTTCCCCCTCCCTCCATGTGTCTAGTTTTCTCTAGCCCATCTGCTCTCTCTACCATATTATCTTGGAGGTAAACTTAGAGGTCATTTGATATATAAAGGTTATTTTAAAAGATAAAGATAAAATAGCCCAATAGCATTTATGTCTAGAAAATATTAATAATTTCTTACTATCAAATATCTAGTCATCTGTTCAAACTTTTTCTTACCTCAAATATGATAAAAATTTTAAAATTTATTTTTTGGTGCTGGTGATTGGTTGCAGTGGCACTCTGGCACCAACCTATATACCTGGTCTTTTTTTTTCCACCCCCCTGTGGTACTGAGGATTGAAACCAGGGGCATTGTGTCACTGAGCTATACCCCCAATTATGTTTTATAATTGTGTATTTTGAGACAGGGTCTTGCTAAGTTGTCAAGGCTCACACTGAACTTGCAGTCCTCCTGCCTTGGCCTCCTGAGTCATTGGGATTGCAATCATGCACTATGACCCCTGGCAAAAAGTTATTTTTTTAATCATGGTACAGTTTAAAAAAAGAAGTTGCAAATATTGCTAACATTATTAGTGACCATTTAAAATGCAGTCTATCCTAATGCTAGAGAATTTGAAGTTGACCATCTCATATTGAAACTTACTGGTTTACTTTATAGTTAAATGTATAGTTTTATATGCGAATAATAGTTTGTCAGAATTCAAGTACTATGGTTTTATTCCAGGATCTGTGGATGGAGTATTTGAACATGGAACGTATCTATCATGAGTTCCAGGAAACTGTTGGTGTGTGGATGCAGGCCAAGCTCGAATCCCATTCCATACCCTGCAGCTTGTTGGCACAGCTGGACTTCACTGATCCTTTGTTGGGTGAGTTTTATTATCATCAGCCCCTTTAAAGACTGACTGACTGACTGAATGAATGATTGCATCAGAGTCATTGAGGATTACCTTTTCCACACTTTTATCCCTCTGGTGAGAATTGCTTTTGAGTTTAATGTTAACTTAGGACCACTAAGGACTAGGTTAGGCTGCAAATGAGAATCCAAACCAGAAATGACTTAAATCGCTTTGGGTAGAGATTTTCATTTCTCTCACGTAGAAGAAGTTTGGAGGCAGGCAGTTGAGAGCAGTAGGGTGGGCTCATGACCCCTGCAAGCTTTCAAGGACCTCGTTCCTTCTTTCCTTGCTGTCCCACTGTTTGCACAGATGACATCCACTTCCAGTTCAGGATGGCTGTTTATGCTTAACTGTCCCCTTCACATTCACATTCCAATAAGCAGAACGGGAAATCTTTCTTAAAAATCTCTTTCAAGAAGCTCACAGACTTTCCAGTTATATCTCATTGCCCCAAACTGAGACACAGGGCTGAACTTAGCTGGAAAGGAAGCTGAGATGCTCATGATTCATTTCTTTTTTGATGCTTTAAAAAGAAATTTCAATTTACTTAGGAAACTATGTGTAAAATGCAACTTCAAATGTAATTATTGTAGGTTTATAGTTTTAGTATTCAAAAGTCTATTTTTCTTTTATACTTTTTTTCTGAACCCAGAACCTATACCATTCAAATGGACGACATTTCCAGAATTGTCTACTATTGTTTCTAGAGGATGTTATAAATTATCAGTTTTCTATGCTGGGCTACCAAAAGCCTATTTAACTTATAAAGTTGCTGATGTATTTCATTAACAAAATTATAGAAGATTATAGTTGACTTACACATTAATGTTAATTGCTGAATGTTTTTAAAATATAGAACATAAAAGTAAAATTGTAAATACAGTTGTTGCCCAAAATATTATAATATATAATAGAATAGAATACTGAAGTGATTCAGAAAAAGGCAAAAGAAAATAAACAAAAAAAAAACCTCTCTTATTCCTCTTATTTCAGCTCTGCTTCAAACAGCTTGTTAGGTGTGTGAAAAGCAAAAACAGAACCTCTCTGGGCTTAAGCTTTGCAAAATGAAGGTGCTGACAGTGTTATCTAATACTTCAAAAAATTTCTCTCCAACATCTTTTTCCTTTGCTTTTTTCCCTGAAATAATAATAATAATAATAATAATAATAATAATAATAATAATATTTTTCTTATTATAAAAGTTATGTACTCATTGGAAAAAAAAACAAAAAACAAGCCAGACATGGTGGTATATGTCTGTAATCCTAGCAACTTGGGAAGCTGAGACATGAGGATTGCAAGTTCAAGGCCAGCCTTAACACCTTAGTGAGGCCCTCAGCATCTTAGTGATACCCTATCTCAAATAAATTAAGGTGATGTACACCTGTAATTCCAGTGGCTCAGGAGGCTGAGACAGGAGGATTGAGAGTTCAGAGCCAACTTCAGCAAAAGTGAGGTGCTAAGCAAGACCTGTCCCTAAATAAAATACAAAAAAGGGCTAGGATGTAACTCAGCGGCTGAATGCCCCTGAGTTCAATCCTTGGTTACCCCCGCCCCTACAAAAAAATTTAAAAAGGGCTTAGGGATATATCTCAGTGGTATAGCACCCCTGGGTTTCCTTGGTACGAGAGAGAGAGAGAGAGAGAGAGAGAGAGAGAGAGAGAGAGAGAGAGAGAGAGAGAGAGAGAAAAGAAAAGAAAAGTAGTATAGGAAGATATATAGAGGAAGGTTTGAAAATGGCCTTCCACCTAACTATTCAGATTTTCATTTTCTACTCCTGAAAGTTAGATGAGAAGAATGAACATGTGTTTAGATCTGGAAACTAGTAAATGCTCTCTGTTCATGCCTGTGTGTCTGTAATGCTTTCATTGGTACCCCAATACTGCCCTAAAAGGCTAATTGTCTTTTCTAGAGTTAATACAATAACTTAGTTGGTTTGGGCCACTGTCCTAGTACTTTATGTGTATTAACTCAGTCCTCATATCAGTCCAGTTTGAGTATTCCTTGTTAAGCCAAGAAGCAACCCAAGTGTAGGATGGTTGTTGGGTAACTTGCCTACATGGGCCACATCTAGGAATTCTGGCAGAGCTGTCTGGCTCCTGAGACCCTTCTGTTCACCACTTAATAATATTCCTACTTCTTGTTTCTGACCATCAGTACAGGTTGCAGTTCTAAACAAAATTGGGGCCTGTGTTTCTGAATAACAACTTTCAGGTTTTTTTCAAAGGAGAGCAGATTAGGTGATGATTGTATCAATGATTGAACTTGTTATGGTTGTAGGAAAAATTTGATGAGCATACTTATGACACTGATTTATATTTCTTGACCTATTTTCTTGGATTGAAAATTTTTCAGTTGTGGTCCAATATATGCCCTGAATTTTAATTTTTTTCTCTTTCATTTTGTATTTAAAATATTATCCTTGATTTTTCTTTCATGGTAAATTTTATTGGGTTGAAAGGGCCCCCAATTTGTCTTTTAGAGTCATCACCTGTAATGTTGTTTGAAAGAAACTCTTAACACAGATGGTCACAAGTCTTATCCAATGATGACTGTCCAGCTTTGTCACATCTGTGCAAAGAGTGGTGGTTCTAGTGGAAAAACACCAGTTACAAAGGACAGTGCTGTGCTTGATCCTTTTGGAATGTTAACTTTCATCTGTTTGGGGTATAAACAATACAAGTCTCCTTCTGCCAAGTAAAATTATGGCCATTAAATTTTCTTTGATTTTTCTCAACAAGAATAGAAAGTTGAATGTTACATCTGGAATGAGATCGGAAATCCGTAGTCGTTGCTTAAGTACTGTTGACTTACTGATCTGAAGTTTCCTTGACCTCTCTCCTCTGATAACTTTACTATTACAGTTTTTATCCCCAAACTGGTGTATAACAGCAGTTTTCCTAGTGTTCTCAGTTCCACCTGCTGTTGGTATGTATATATAGCAAGGTGCAGAGAGGGAGAGGAGATAAATTTATTAGACACATACTATATATACTATTCCATATTAAGTGCAAGAAATATCAGATTTTTGAATTTTATTAATCAGTCTGGGACCATGTGTGATCTAGTGCAGAATTGCTTGGTATGGATTCACCTTTATTTCTTTTGTATGGAACTGGGCAGCTTATTTGGACTATCAGAGCATTTGCTGAGTGAGTGAATGAATAAGTGACCAACTGACTATGTGACTGCATAAACATGGGTGCTTTTGGATTTTATGCCCATGTCTTCCTTCATTTTATCTTTTATACTTCTAGCCCTGTTGTTCAAATCTTGAATTAGTTTTAGATTTTTCACTTAGTTTTATTCCATAATGTTCATTCCTCCTTCTCCTGTCCTGCAAAGTGTCTTTGGATGGCGGCATTAAGCTATTTTTTTTGCGGGGCGGGGAGGTTACTGGGGGAACTCAACCACTGAACTATATCCCCAGCCCTATTTTGTATTTTATTTAGAGACAGAGTCTCACTGAGTTGATTAGCCATTGCTGAGGCTGGCTTTGAACTCACAATCCTCCTGTCTTAGCCTCTCGAGCTGCTGGGATTAGCAGGTGTGCACCACCGCACCCTGTGTTGTTAAACTCCTAACTGGACTACTTGCCTCTGAATCTATGCTGTTAGCCTCATCCATCGTCTAGATGGTAGCTACTGTGTCTTGAGCTTGCTTAGAGCTGCTCTCTAGATCCCTTTTACACTAACATCAAGTCCAAACAGCTTAGTATGTCATGCAAGGCTGTCACAAGTAGTAATTTAATATCATTAACTTTTGCTCTTTAGTTACCATTATATTATAAAATTTTCAAGGACAGGGATTCTATTGAATTGTAGCACATGCCCCTGCTGAGCTCCTAGCTCCTAGTAGAATGTTACTAGACTCATGTGTGCTTACTCAAAACTCACAAGAACCAGAAAATAATGATTTTTATGGCCCCTTGTGGTTTAAGGAACCAATCTGGGGATCTCTAGCATTCTTTATAAAGTAATAGAGCACAGCTTTGTACCATTTGGTATAGTACTACTTACTAGTACCCATTACCTTGTAAATATATTTTTTCTTTTAGCCAAAGAAAGGATCTTAAGTAACTTGCGGAAACACGAGGCTCCCCAACCTCCCCTTGTTCTGCATCCCATGAGGCCTCCTGTGCCAGTTATTTCCTCGACTGTCCTGCTGAGTCACAAGGAAACTACCCAGCTGGTGTGCACAGACCTGAACGTGCTGCAGCAGCAGGCCAGGTAAGACCATGTGCCCTCTGGGGTCATGCTCCCGGGCTTGGCTGCCTTGCCAGCCTGGATGATTTAGTACCTGACTGGCGTTCTCATGGGCGCTCTTACCGTGAGGTAATTTGACCAGACTGGCCCAGGCAGTTCACTTGGTGAACTGAGCCTTGACAAGTCTTTGAATTTCATGTTGAAATTATGTTTGCTTTTCTTGTGGACTGCCAATCTGACTTATTTTCTGTGGGGGCACTTCTGAGTGACAGCAGTATTGGCCAAGATTTTCTTATGCTTCCCTGAGGAGACTTTCTGATACTGGAAAATGGTGTTGGAAGTGGGGATGAAAAGAGTGTTGCTTTCTTTTGTCACTGCTTTGCTCTATGAACTCTTTGTTCTTTAGAAAATTGACATAGTCACTTGGTTGACGCATGAGAAAGTCCTTCAGTGTTTTTAGTTCACACGGTAGACACGGAATACACTGTTCAAGGTTTTGATGCTAGCTTACACTCTTGTAAGGAGCGTATGTGGAGAAGTCTCTTTTATTAATAGTAAATGAGCCTTATTTTTGTTTTTGTAGATCTTTTGTTCCTTTTTATTGGTAAATTATACACAACAGTAAGATTCATTGTTATATATTTGTATGTGCACATAAATATTACAGTATAATTTGGTCAATTTCATTCTCCTAGCATCTCTCTAAATAAGCCTTATTTTTACAAAACCCATATAAATCAATTTTTTATTGATGTTTTTTTTCTTGCCTCCGTTTGATCCCAATGTTTATTGTGTACACTTTAATCCCAATGTTGTGTGCATACTTGTGTATCTGCCCATTAACATAATAATAAATACAGTTAGAACAGTATTGACATCCCCTATACATAGTTTGCTTTTTTAAGTCTTTGATATTTCAGTTTGAATTGCTAATAACTAAATGTTATTTTACTTAAAATTAAGGCATTCTTTTTTAAAAAAGTTTTTTTTTTCTAGTTGTAGATGGACAGAATGCCTTGATTATTTTTTTTAAAAACATTTTTTTTTAGAAGTAGTTGGACATACCCTTTATTTTATTTATTTATTTTTACATGGTGCTGAGGATCGAACCCAGGGCCTTGCACGTGCTAGACGAGTGCTCTACCGCTGAGCCACAATCCCAGTCCCCTTGATTATTTTTGTTTATTTTTATGTGATGCTAAGGATTGAACCCAGTGCCTCACACACGCTAGGCAAGTGCTCTGCCACTGAGCTGTATCTCCAGCCCAAGGGCACTCCTTTAGGATGAATAAATTAGAGGTCTTCTTTGTTCTCGTATATTTCAGGATCCATTTTAAAAGCCATATTAATATACAACACATTCTAAATGGAGATTTATTTGAGTAAAAAGTTGTGCCACTTTACCAGAATGCTTTTTCTTTTTTTCTCTTGTTTCTTAACTTTCTGGTCAGTTGGTCTGCTAGGAGTTGGTTTGGCCAAGCCATGGCACATACACACCTTTTGTCTTCTTGTTAATTGTTTTATGTTATAGTACCGGCTGGGGTAGCTGGAAGCCTTTATCACTTTTCATAGAACCTTCCGGAAGACTTTCTTTTACCTTCTGGTGGTGTTTTTTAGAACTGCAGCTCTTCGGGAGTCTCAGCAGGTTGCCCTGGATGGTGAGCTGTTGGATATAATGCCCAAACAGTACATGAATCGAGAAGAACAGACCACACTACATTTGGAATGTAGAGGCAGCAGTGGTAAGAAATGCCAGGGAGCAGCAGTTGTAACAGTTCAGGTAGGATTGTTTATATTCTTTGTAATATAGAGAATTTTAATTGAGTTGCTAATATTGATACATTATTGAAAAAAAATTGGAAGAACAATAGCCTATGATTTGTGCCTGAAACATTTCATAGTTTTAGGGGGAGTGAGAACACACAGAGCTAATTACACATTTCTTTGAGTACATGAGTACTACAGGATATTCAAATATGAATTCATAGAAATGTAGAATCATTGTGAAGATGAAGATGGGCTTAAACTGATCCTTAGGAGATTTCAATGATGCTGGTTTGGATTCAGTTAGAAAATACGGGGATGGAGTTGCCATGAAGTCACTAGAGGCCAGTGACTAGATCAGTGTATTAGTAGATCAGTCCATTCCACCTGTTTTGTGGAATAGTGGAAAGGTTGGTGTGAGCTATGACAGCTCTGTGGCTGATACCAAAAACAGCAGGGAACTCCTGAGGACCAATATGGGAAGGACAGAGCCAGCAAGTCAGTTGGGTGTAGCTTGCCAACAGGCCATGAGAGACAGACATGTGACTATATGACTGAACTATATGAACTATATGCTTCAGTTGCCTTCTTGTACTTCTTGCGCATCTTTCATTGATGCTAAAAATGAATTCAGTATTTTCTGAGCTGGAAAAGAAATATTTAGAGATAGATACTGCCTGCTGCCTGACCACATTAACACAAAATATCTCTTCTTTGTTTATTTTTGGAAATCAAGGGCAGTTTGTTTTGTTTACCTTTTTATTAGATCTGCATTTTACCTGTTGTTTACCTTACATCAATTTCCATGGGAGACTGTTTTCTCTAAAATGTTTTTCTGAAATAATCTCTCATGCTTACTGTATTTGTTATTACCTGATTTTTTTTCTTAAATCACAGTTTTATGCATTTAAAGTTAAGAAATTTGACCTGGCAGGAAAGATGAGTCCAGCTTATTTTTCTGCATTTTATTATAAACACGTGAGGCTCCTGAAATTGAGTTATCTTTGGCCAGATGCTTTGTGAAGCTAGTTTTCTTTGAGTGTAATTTTTCCCGGTTTCTAATGCTGTGGTAAGACCAAGGTGGAGGTATTTAGGAAGGATCACTTGCTAAACTAATAAAACTGGAAGAAAAGTCTTTCAACTTAGAATGGAGTTTGAGCTGGAGGGAAAAACTGAAGATATGGTTATAACACAAGGGGAGGATCTTATTACCAATTCATATCTTCATAAATACAGTGTTTTTCCACGTTTTAAAACTGCATACTGTATCTTTGCCAGGACTTTAGTTCCAGATAGAGAAGGGAATTCTCCTAAAATGTATTTTTTCAGTGACTAGTAAGATAAGTACTAATTCTGGCTGAAGAGTTGTAAATATTTGCTGCCCCAGTCAGAGAAGAATATTGGCCTAACTGTTGGTTTTCAGAGTATTCAGTGGAAAATACTACCAGGCAGGCCAAGGAGCTATATCCCCAGGCCTACCGGTGACTTGCCTTGTCTGTTTTTACAGACACACTGAAATACTTGAGTTTTCTGTTCTAGAAAGAATAATTGGCAGTTGCTAATATTGCTTGTAAAAAGAGGGGAGAAAATGTAAAAAAGGACAAGAGGGATAAGGAGGGGTTTTTTTTGTTTGTTTTAATTTGAAATAATTCGAAAAATTTAGCTTGTGGTCATAAACCATTATAGATATTCAAGTTTTTTTAAAGCAAGTTTTAATTTTCTGCTGACCTTACTTTTTTGCTCAGAACTCTGACATTGACTTCAGTTTGGAAAGATCCAGAAGCTTGATAACCTTCACTGATGGACCCTAGGAGTTCAGTCTCAACAATAGTAGTATGCATCTAAAGTTAAGAAATATATTGTCCAATAATGCAGATATGCCAGAGGAATTAAAAACTTGAAGACAGTAAATAGCTTTTATATCTTAGACTTAAAAAAGATTTTTATTAACTGGTTGTAGTGGCACATACTTATAACTCCAGCTACTTGTGGCCAGACTAGACAACTTAGTGAGATTCTGTCTCAAAATAAAAAAGGCTAGGGATATAGTTCAGAAGTAGAGTACCTCTGGGTTCAGTCCCCAGTACCAACGAGGAAGAAAAAAAAGATGTCTCTAGAAAGTTATGAAGTAATTGCTAATTGAGGCTGTCCTGGCTGTCTTGGACAGTGTTGCTGACTGATACTTCTATGAATTGAAGATAAAATTATTATTTTGTGTATTCACTAATAGCTAAGAGCAAGGTAGAAGAAAAGTTGAACGCCTCGCCATGAAGGTTGGGCATTATCTTTGCAAGTCAATTGGTGTTACTCTAATTTTGGTCAGAGATTGTACTCAGACCTAACACCACACATTACCCAAATGGATAACTTTGGTTGTGGATAACTTAGTTTAGGGAAGCAAGGTGTTAGTGGAGAATGGGGAGGGTGAATTATGAATGTTTACAACTCATGATGAAACTATCATGTTCTATAAGAGATTTTGTTATTTTTATACATAAAAGTTTATCCCTCTATGTACACGTTTATGTCCAATGTCCACTTCATAGCTATATTCAGTGTTTGATTCTGTTTAATATCTATCATCTGGTGATAATGAACTTCATGAGGTCTCTTCGAGTCCTCTTAAATCACATCTCATTTTCCAGGGATTATCTTCCTCAGTTCAGCCCTTAGGTTGCCAGTTGTGCTTGGTTCTACTCCTGATACCGTTCTTCATATGCCATCATCTACTTTCATTGACTGTGCTGGTCTTTTTTTTTTTTTTTTAGTTGTAGATGGGCACAGTACTTTTATTTTTTATTTGTTTATTTTTATGTGGTGCCAGAGATTGAACCCAGTGCCTCACACAAGCTAGGCAAGTGCTCTACCACTGAGCCACAACCCCCGCCCCTGTGCTGGTCTTAATCTGAGGTCTGTGAATGGTCTGTAGCGATTTGGTACGGTTCCTGAAAGTGAATTTTTTTTTTTTTTTTTGGAGAATTCATAGGTTCAGTAGATCCTGAGTAGTGCATGACCCTCAGAGATTAAAGATAAGTTGCCATATATTGATGATCCTGCCCAGAATTCTCTTCTGAGTTCCAGATCTTGATTTCCACCTACCTACTTACAGTCTACCTGAACTTTCTATGGATACCTCAAATTCCATAGGTCCCTCACGAATCTTGATCACATCTTTACTCTCCAAACCTATTCTTCCTGTAACTTTGCCTACCTGATCTCCCAGATGGAGACCTAGCTTTAGTATCATCTAGTTGCTTCCCAAAATATATTGGTTCAGCTTTTGACGTGGCTTTAAATTGATTCCCTTTTCATCGTGGCCATTGCCATTGCCTCATGCTAGGCCCACCTCACTTCTCCCCTGCACTGTTGCATCAGGCTCCTGGCCCAGAGCCTCTCCTCATCTCCCTTTCCCATTCAACTCTTTAAACACAGATCACATTTCCAGGATAAAGCCCCCCATTGGCTGTCCAGTATCTAGTAGGAACAAGACTGCAGAGCCCTTCATAACTGGTTCTTGATCTTTTGCTGTGGCACTATGTTTACTTCCCAGACATTCTATTTTCCAGCCACTTAGGCCTTCTCCATTCTCCAAACATGATATATATTGTCCTTATGCATAAGCTGCCTCTGTTCCCCTCCTACCTCATGTTCCCGACCTCCTGCTCAGCCTTCAGTACTTGGTGCAAACCCTTGAGGTCTTCCTGACTCCTCTGTTGGGTTGAGATGTTCCCTCTATGCATGGCAGCTTGTGCCATAGTGCTCTTGCAGTCTCTTGCTCTTTTTTTTCCCCCTGCCAGACCAAACTGTTTGGGAATAGGGTTTCCATGATCACTTATTTGAATATTTCTACCATCTGGCATGGTCTTGGCACATAGTAGGTGCCTTGTAACATTTCTTGAATTAATCAGTGAAAGTCACCACACATTGATTTAGGTTGTGTGATAGCTAGTTATATATTATGATTAGTTTTACAACTGTTGCAAGATTTTGAGTTCTATGAGGTGAGGGCCCTTGTCTCAATTGTATTTGTATTGTCAGTGCCTTACGTAGTGCCACCAAATGGATGTGTTTGAAGAAATGGACAGCTATAGATTTATATCCTTTGCAGTAAGTTTCTTTATTTAAACTAGAACTTTGTAGGTATTATTTGACTGTGAAAGAAAGACATTATAGAAGTTGCAACTTTTTCTTAGTAGAATTTAGCAGTCATTCTTCGCTTGCACTTACCTCTGGCCTATTTATACAGCATCATTCTTTTTATACAAATCTCAGCCTAAATATTACTCTACATTGCTCACTTGACTTATTTATTTTTTCCTTTATTTATTTTTATGTGGTACTGAGGATCAAACCCAGTGCCTCACACACACTAGTCAAGTGCTCTAGCACTGAGTCACAACCCCAGCCCCTCACTTAACATTTTTACTCAATTCAAGAGTTTCCCAAGCATTGGATCTTGGAAAGCAGTAAGGATGGTCTTACTACTGCACACCACTGCCTTTTCCAGGCCTGTTCAGAGTCTTTCCTGTCACTTGCTTAGTCACTGAGTCATTGTCACTCAGATATTATGTTAGGTGTTACATTTGCTTACATTACCGTACTTGTCAAAAAATTAGCTTGAGTTCAGAGAAACAGATTCAAAGACACTTAAGAGACCTGCCAATCACATAGTTGATAGTTCAGTTTGAATTCCAACTTGCATTCCTTCTAAATTCCAGACCCATGCTTTTCCCATTAAATGTCACCACGCCATTTTACTTCAGATGCTGCTCCACTTTCTGAAAACTGGCCCTGTGATTCTGAGTTAGCTGATCATGATAGTCACATATTATTTAAATGAAGATGAGTACCATTTTCTTTCTCTTTTTGATTAGAGAATGTATGACCTTAGCCAAACACTTTGGATTAGATCAGTTTTTTTTTATTAGTTGTTGATGGACCTTTATTTTATTTACTTATTTATATGTGGTGCTGAGAATCGAACCCAGTGCCTCACACATGCTAGACAAGTGCTCTACCACTGAGCCACAAACCCAGTCCCAAGATCAGTTTTTTAAAAGTAGCTTCACAGGAGATGATTTTACAAATCAAATGTAATTTTAATAGCTTATTTATCAAGATTTCACATCATTAGATTCAATCATTAGATTGCTTAATAGAATTCTTCTGAAAAGGAAAATTCTGGAAATTTCCAGCACTCTGCAGGTCTTTGAACTATGTATAGCTTGTTTTGGGTATACAAAAAGCCAAGTGTATTTTATGAGAAGTGAGACGTGCCTTTTCTGTGGTCACCCTTCCCAATGGAAGCTTTTAATACTCCAGAGATATTCCCCGAGGAAGTGGTGTGATTTATTATTGGGTTCCTTTGGCCATATTTTGGTATTGTGGGGCATACTTGTTAGACCCAGGATTGATTTATTATGTGAAAAATTTATCCATTCCTACAAATGAAAGATGGAAAAGACCCACTGAGGGCCTCCCATTATTGTAGAAACTTGCTGAGGAATGTACTTTGTCCAAATCTTCAATTTCTTTGTCTACTTAAAATGTCCCAAGTGGAGGGGCTTCCACCATGCTGCTTTGTTCTATTGTCTCCAACTTCTTGTCATTATGAACTGTGAGTTAGTCTTTTATACCTTTGTTCTAATAAGCAAAGAAAATGTTGAACAGTGGTGGGAAAGTAAAGACTTCTAATAATAACATTGGTGAGATTTATAGAAACGAGTCTTCATTATTTTCATGATCATTGAAAATAGGTGTGCTCAGTGGACTGTCAAGAGCTGTGCCCTGCTGGGTTCTGTGTATTGCCATTGCCTTCCAGGAACTCTTGTTAAAGAATTCATGAAAGTCACTTTTTTTTTTAAATAGTGTTGGGGACGGAACCCAGGGCTTCGTACATACTAGGCAAGTTCTGTACCACTGAGCCATATCCCTAGCTCTTATGAGAGTACCTTTGACAGGGAAACAGGGAATCATTGAAATGATTTGGTGAATTAAATATTTACACTGTTACAGACAACAGATACCTGTAATCATGTAGTGGGTCTGAATACTAGGTTTGGGTAGCTGTGTATAGAGAAAATGTAAACCCACTGCTCACCCACGTGTTTGGAAGACCATCAGAGGAGAATGAGGATTTTAAACTCCTGCATTCTGAATATTCCGGCTCTTCAGCGTTCTCTGCTGTGCATATAATATAAGTTCAAACCTCCTGGTAGCTGCTATTCAGGGCCTCCCCAGGACAGCTCCTCCTGCTCCCTGGTCTGACTCTGTTGCATTCTTCAGCCTCAACCCCTGGCTGTAGCCCATGGCTTCTCCTTTTTGTCCCTTTGTTTCCCTCAACCTTCACAACTGTCACCATCACAATGGCTCTTTTTTTTCCCCCTAAGTTAAAATTTAGTAGATAAAAAATAAAAAAAGATATTTTGTTCTCGTGGCTGTCCATGGCAGCCTGGCACTAAAATGGCCCACTGTTCAACATTCTTTGCTCTCTTGGACACCAGGCCTGTTGGTATCACTTGCCAGGCTTCCAGCCAGCTGGACACACTTCCTCATGTTTGTCAGTGAACTGGGAGGCTTCCACTAGTCTGAGTCTCATGCACAGAGCAGCCAGTAGGAAGGTCACCTACAGTTGAGGGATATATTTATCACTAATGATAAAGAGGCCCCTGGATGAGATGCCTTCCTCAGCCTTTGAGACCCCATATTTCTGAGCAATGATATGCTTGGGGTGTGATACCAAGGGAATGTTCATGGGTCGCAGTCTTCTTTGTTTCTTGGGTGTGTTGATTCACACCAGATAACAGAAGTGAGAATCCACAGAAGCAACCACTTGGCAGTTGAGTGTCTTAAAATTCTAAACTCTATCACTGAAAGCAGGGATCCCTGTTGGATTCTTAAAGATGAAATCAAGAGGAATATAGAAGAACATAACGTAATTCCCTTTGTAGTCCAGATAGGCCAATATCTTTGAGCTGGCCATGTGGCATAACAACTATGTCTTTGAACTTGGGGCAGTGTGCCCAGTTTTGGCATTTCCTCATGACATCTTGCTATCAGTAATCTCTAAGACAGAAGCTACCACATCAGGAAGAAGACCCACAGTGGTTCTGTCTTTGTGTGCCATGTGGGCCTAAGATGTCCTCTGTGTCTATCCACATCCACAAAAGGAAATGACAAATGCACAAACACAACCAATCATCATGAGGCTCACCATCAGTTAGAGAAAGTGTGGCGATACCTCCTTCAAGTAGGAAAGACATAATCTTAAAAAACAGTCTTTAGACTAAATTGAAATAAATTTAGTTTTTCTTCACTGAGAATCAGTATAAATTTTATCAGAGACAAGCTTTCAGGAATCACTGAATTGGCCTGTTGTTCCTTCTTTGGCATGCAATTGATTTGGACACCTTTCCATATTTTACCTTATTTTGTTGTTCAGTAATTATATATATTTCCTTCAAAAATGGCAGTTGTTTTGTTAACAGCATCTGTGTCATTCCTGTTTTTATGCTGGGCACACATGTTTGAAGTTGAATTGTGTGTGTGTGTGCTGGGTGGAGAGAACACAGGTTAAGGCGGGGACAGGGGAGGCCGTGCAGTGGGGTGTGATCAACAGAGGAGAACTCCATGTGCCACAGGGAAAGCCTCAGTGGTGGAAGCATTGAGACTGTTTCTGTTGAGGATTTGAGCAGTCAAAACATAAGTGAAATAGAATGTAACCTACAAAAGACTTTAAACCATTGATAAATTAATTCAAGATCATATCAACTTATAAGGTAATCATTTATATAGATATTGTTTTAGTCAGTTTTTTTGCTGCTGTAACCAAAAGACCCAACAAGAACTATTAGAGGAGGAAAAGTTTATTTAGGGGCTCATGGTTTCAGAGGTCTCAGTCCATAGATGACTGACTCCATTGCTTTATGCCTGAGGTGTGGTAGAACATCCTGGCAGAAGGGTGTGGCAGAGGAAAGCAGCTCAGGACATTGCACCAGGATTCAGAGAGAGACTTCTCTCACCAAGAACAAAGTATACAACCCGAAGACATGCCCCCTCCCAATGACCCACCCTATTTGCCTACAGTTACCAACCACTAAATTACTATCAGTGATTGATGCACTGATTAGTTTAAAACTCTTATCGCCCTATCATTTCACCTCTAAACTTTCATGCATTGTCTCACATGAGCTTTTGTGGGACACTTTATATCTAAATCATAAAATAAAAATTTTGACTTTTTTTTTTTAGAAGAAAATAATTTAAGTTTGATTCTTCATAGAAAATCTGAGAATCTTGAATAGTTTTTTGTTTGTTTTTGGTGGTACTAGGAATTGAACTCAGGGCCTCATGCATGCTAGGCAAAAACTGTACCAATGAGCTACATCCAAACCCTTTGCACATTGAGGTCTCCTCTGTTGATCACACCTCACTGTGCCCAACCCCTGCCTTAACCCTGTGGGTTTTTTTTGAGGGGGGGGTAACCAGGAATTGAACTCGGGGCATTGACCACTGAGCCACATCCCCAGCCCTATTTTGTATTTTATTTAGAGATAGGGTCTCATTGAATTGCTTAGTGCCTCCACTTTTGCTGAGGCTGGCTTTGAACTCACAATCCTCCTGTCTCAGCCTCCCGAGCCACTTTGCCCAGCCTGTCAGGGTTAAGTTTTTTGACAGATTTTTTTCTCATCCTTTTCAGGATCAACTGAGTGTTTTGTGTTAAATTATAGTATTAATTGTAATAATACTCTCTTCATCATATGCCAATGTATTTATAGTAAAATATATGTTCTAGAAGCACATAGGGGAAAAGAAGTCCATTGACTGCTTTAATTTTTGTTAGTTTGAAGGCATGTATAAGAATGAAGCAGTAAGCCAACAGCTTCACATTTTGCGAAAAGAAGTGAAACAGTTGCAAGCAGAAGCTGCTAAACCACCTGCACTGAGTATTGTGGAAGCTGCTGTACATGCAGAGAACCTAATTACGTAAGTTCTGGCAACCTCAAAATTTAAAATACTGTTTTGTTCTTATTAATAGTAATTATACATATTACACCCACCTACTACCTTAGACACCCCAGTGATTAAGTTAATAGAAAAATTAGCAAACTGTGGCCTTTGGGCCAAATCTGATCTCATGCCTATTTTTATAAATAAAAATTTTATTGGAACACAGCTGTCTACATTATTTGTAATATCTATGTCTTTTGAGCTGCAACAGATAGACTTTAAGGCCCAGAAAGCATAAAATATTTACTATCTGGCCCTAGGTAGAAAGAGTTAGCAGACCCCTGAATTATGAGATGTGCATTGAAATTTAATGATGGAGGAACTTAGTGCTTAAGTTTGATATCAAAGTCATCTTTACCCAGTAAGTCACCATTGTCATCTCAGGTTTTTGAATAGTTTCCTGTGTAATTGCTTAGGGGAATTAGGGCTCTCAAGTGTAGCTATTAAATTGAGTGGTCGTGTAGTTTTTCTCTTGGAACTCTTGAGTTTCTTCCACCATCTTCTTTTTTTCCCAAAGCCACCAGGACATAGCTTGGGACAGGGGAGGTTGACTCTCTGTCTTTTACTTTCATGTGACTCCACATTTGGTAGCAGTAGACACTCTCCTTAGTAGATTGGGGTGGAGTGTGTTTGGGGACCTGGGAAAGAGGAGGATATCAGGTGAAGCAGAAGTTGATATTTTTGTCACTGGGTAGGCACTAAAAAAAGTGTGGGAATTAGAAGGAACATCTTTATTTTAGGTCTTATTGTATACCAAAATCTTTTCTTCCACCTCAGTCTGTGCTTGGATTCTAAAATTTAGGGAAACCAGGGTTCTGGTATTTAAAATATGTGTTATATAAGGAATGCAAAAAAGTTATTTTATGCACACAATATGACCAATTTTAGTGAGTGTGAGAATGTTAATTGGTCCTTATAATGCAGCTGATCTTTGTTTTCCCTGGGAAGCATAAAGTCATAGCTGTGTTTTAAAGTTGAATTGGGTAAAGGTGTATGTAACACATTTATCACATGAAATGTTTCCAAAGTGGCATTTGCGTGAGGCTCTCAGGACTGTGATGAATATTGTCAGATAAATGTAGAATATGAAAGAAATACTGGCAAATACAGATTCAATTATTATAGACCAGAACTGTGTGCATGTTTTCCCACAGGACCTTAGTGAATGCCTACAAGTTGCAGCCAACACCTGGATTTCAGAAGGTTGGCATTAGCCTTTTCTTTACTGTTGTGGATTATGTGAGCGATGAGACGCAGCGCCACCCCCCTACAAGACAATTCTTCACTTCATGCATTGAGATCTTGGGACAGGTAAGGTTACTATGTTATTTGCCTTGTTCAGATAAACTGAGTGCCTGCAGTGTCTTCATTGCATACGGTTATCATCAGCTTCAGACTTTATTGCAGGTTCATTCTTACCTGATTCAGAAACCCTTTGGGGATGTTGGCCTCCAAAATGTGATTAGAATTATTGGTAAATAAGGGGCTGGGGTTGTAGCTTAGTAGTAGAGCCCTTGCCTCACATGGATGAGGCACTGGGTTTGATCCATAACACCTACATAAATAAGTAAGTAAGAAAGTAAGTAAGTAAATAAATAAAGGTATTGTGTCCATTTACAACTAAAAATATTTTTTTAAAAAAAGAATTGTTGGCAAATAAGAGATTAAATTATTCATGTTTGAAAGTCTAGAGAATCAGATTCTGTGTTATTGATATTAGCAGTAATATTACTGAAGCTCTTTATTGTTTGTAAAATACTGTCTAGTTCATTATTTTATTTTATCATCAAGGTGACTTTGTGTGATTGATTTCATTCCTGTCCTAAAGATGAGAAAACTAGACTCTAAAAGGCTAAGTGACTGGCCTAAAGAATGCATCTGGAGTGCTGAGGCTGATGGGATCCTAAGGCTTCTGACAGTGTCAGTACTCGCTCCACCTCACCACAGCTGCCTCCCAGTTGCTGTTTTGGCCACTATTTATCTATCTATTTGGCTTACAGTTAAATATATGGATGTTTAAAAAGGCTAGGGCAAAGTATCCATGCAGATTTGTGAAAATGTGTCATAAAAGAAAGGAAAGCCACTATTTGATAAACCATGTACTCTCATTGAAATTTAATTGAATGATTACTTCTTTATTGGATACTTACAAGGAAGTGACATAGAATAGATATTACAATCCATTTTTTTCTAAGTTTTTTCCCCTGATCTTCAAGTAATTGTATGCTTATGGTAAGCCATATAGACAGTATAGAAAGTATAAAGAAGAAAAATTTCTCATAATCCTGATCAGCTGGAACTAGTTGCATATCGAAAGTTTCATTATAGTTTGTCTTGTGTATATGTAAACACAGTATGTCATTTCTACCTATATAGGTGTATGTAGAGATACACACTTACAAAGGGACACATACTATTTTGTAATTTCTTTTCATTTCAACATATTTTTAGATATTATTCCATGTTAATAAATATAGACCTGTATCATCACATAGAATTTGAATGTCTGCATAGTGTTTTATGATACAGATGTATTATAATGTGTTGAGCTAATGTTCTAGATGGATATTTAGGTGATTTGTTTTGCTACAATAAGGTTGACATAAATAGTCTCATATATCTTTGTGACTTCTGGAACTATTTTCTTTAGAATAATTTCCTCAAAGTATGATTGCTATATCAGAAGGATTTGATGTATATTATATATTTGACATGTATTGTGTAGCATTTAATGTTCTTACTTCATTGATCTGGGAAGTTTGCACTTATTTACACTATTGTTTAGCAATGTTGAAGTTTATTCTCTGTATCTTAAACAATGTTAGGAATTATCATTCTTTTATAAGTATTGATAATCTGATAAGGGAAGTGGTATATCATTTTCAAAACTTATAATTCTTGAAGTACTTTAAAGTTATGTTATATATGTGTATTATTTATATGTATGTGTATATATATGTATATATGAGAAACATATATAGTGAATTGCTAGCTGTTGTCATTGGCACATTTTCTTTTTTTTAATTTTTAATTTTTTTAAATTTTCTCTTATTTTATTACTTGAATATATAATTTATTTAATAATTTTGAAAAGTAATTTGACACTAGCTAACAAAAATATACATTCTCTCTGAGTCATTGATTGTACAATTAATGAAATTAGTTAGGACAATTAGAGATCAGCAGGAAAGGGTGTGGGAGAGAGCAACAGCCACAGACACCAAAAGTGATCTCAGATACAGAGGGTGCAGAGAGACAACTCCCTGAGTTCCTCCACTCTCCATGGAGACACCTTCTCTAGGCTTGGATTAGTAAACACTTCCCTCTGGCACATTTTCTGTTGGAATATCTTGCTACCTCCCTCCGCCCCCGCCCCCGCCCCCACCGTTTTGTGGTCCTGGGGATTGAACCCAGGGCCTCATGCATGCCAGGCAAGTACTTTATTCCTGAGCCATATCTGAAGCCCCAATTTCTTGCTTTTTGATTCTTTGAAAGAGTTCCTCAAACTATTAGCCTGATGTCTGGAATGTGTTACAAATATGTTTTTCTAATTTGTTATTTTTCTTTCATTTTATAATTCCTTTTGCCTTATAGAAATTAATGTTTGCGTATATCTGTTCAGACTTATCAGTCTTTTTTAAAATTTCTGCCTCATCGGAAGAGCCGGGGGAAAAGATTAACATTAAACAGAGACATGAGGTGGGAGGGAAAGGGAGAGAAAAGGGAAATTGCATGGAAATGGAAGGAGACCCTCATTGTTATACAAAATTACATATAAGAGGTTGTGAGGGGAATGGGAATAAAAACAAGGAGAGAAATGAATTACAGTAGATGAGGTAGAGAGAGAAGATGGGAGGGGAGGGGAGGGGGGATAGTAGAGGATAGGAAAGGTAGCAGAATACAACAGTCACTAATATGGCATCATGTAAAAATGTGGATGTGTAACCGATGTGATTCTGCAATCTGTATTTGGGGTAAAAATGGGAGTTCATAACCCACTTGAATCTAATGTATGAAATATGATATGTCAAGAGCTTTGTAATGTTTTAAACAACCAATAAAAAAAAAATTTCTGCCTCATCAAAGCCTTTTTGACCCTGAGATTACTTTTATCTTGATTATATTTTGTGAAAGTTAATTTTTTAAATGTATTAAAGGAATATCTCAATAAAATCTATAACCTAAAATTTTATTTTCTTTATGTTGTGCCACCATGGATTCTTTAGTAACAACACTAGGCACATTACAGACTTTTGGGTACAGATACCCCAGTATCAACTCCATTGGAAATGATAGGCTTATCTCTGTTGATTTTAGATACCTTTTTCATTTTGTAAAATTATTTTTGCCTTATTTAATACCCCTTAAAAGTTGGTTGCTTAAATAAAAGTGGGGGAGGGGAGGATTTGATGACATTTTTCTTGTTGTTTTTTTAAGGTGTTCATCAGTGGTACTACATCAGAATGCAAAAAGGTACTTCAGACCATTCTGAAGAATAGAAGGCTCTGTTCTCTTCTGTCGCCTTTCTTCACTCCCAATGCTGCGCCTGCAGAATTCATACAACTGTATGAGAAAGTGGTGAAGTTTCTGAGTGAGGACAACAGTGATATGATTTTCATGCTGCTAACCAAGGTGCGAGGTGATTCATTCCTGATACTGTGAAACTGAGAAGTGATCATTGCTTCCCAGTCCATAGAAATGGAAGGACCTCTGGAGGTTTGATCTCGGTGACCAGAGGATAAGAGCCCCTTTGAGCAATCTGACCCCATGAGTTTCTCTTTGGGGAACGGCACACTGGTTGTGTTATGTAGGACTCTCATTCCACATAGTATTAAAAGACTCTCCTTCCCAAGCCCTTTTTTAAAACAGTATAGTTTTGAAAATATTCATAATGGTAGTTTAATAGATCCTCTTTTTAAATTTTCCTGAATTTGAGCCTAAATTGTATTTGATAAGTGAGTTGTAATATGTGAAGTCTCTTGTATTTAGAATAATTCAGCTCTAAACAAATTTTCTTTGTCCTCATTTGGAATAGACTATTTATTCTGTGAGACTAATGGACGAATTTACTTAACTAGTCGAGAATTTCAGAGCTTCACCTATTTTGCCTTCATTTGTACAATTCTCTGACATTTGTGAAGCAGTAAAACTTGGCATTTTTTAGAGCCCAGAGACTGATCTCAATCTATAGTAGAGGAGAACATGTTTTTAAGTGTGGGATTCTGGAAGGTAGTACCAACAGTCTGAATTTTTATTCACTGAGGTAGGTAACATAGAGCTCAGAAACATGGCTGTTAAGACAGTTCCATAAAGTGACTGCTTGGCTGTGGTACTGGAACCAGTGAAGGAGAACTTTTGATCCAGGTCTTAGGGAGGAACCTTACTATAATAAAGTCAGATGGAAATGTGTGGATTTTTCAGGAACAAAATAAAATTATAAATAATAATGGTCAAGAAGATATTCATATTACAAAAAAGCCTGTTGTTAAGAAAAGTCTGCCTCTGAAATCTCAGAGCAAGGTAGAGATGGTTGCATAATGGTACCAGTGAGTGAACTTCTTATACATTCTTTCATTTGCCTGTGTGTACATTTATTTTCTATTTTTATAAAAAGATAAATGTGACTTTTAAACTAAATTTGTAAAGACCTCTCTGTACTTCATTTAATTTTCTAGTGTAAATAAATCTGCTTCTTGTTTCTTTTTCTTTTTAGTTCGATCTTAAGCAATGGTTAAACGCCACTAAACCTCCTCTGTCTGATCGTACCAGGCTTCTGGAGTCCATTCATTTGGCACTTACTGCCTGGGGCCTTGAACCAGATGAAGATATTTTGATGCCATTTAATCTTTTCTGTAAGCACTGGACTTACCTTCTTCTCTACCAGTTCCCTGACCAGTACAGTGATGTTCTCAGGCTGCTGATGCAAAGTAAGTATCTTCATTTAATTGTGATTAACTAGATCTCTGCATATATTTAATGCCACATTTACCAGGTAGCATCCAGAAATGTAAGAATAATGTAAACATAGAATTTGAAAATTACTAATCATCACTGAAAGCACTCAACTAACAGTGCCCAAAGTTGGTATCTGTAAGAATGATCAGCCACTGTCCTGAACGCTAGAATGGGCCCAGCCTGGGCAAGGCAGCTCTCAGGCTTTGGTATTGGTGTCCCCAGTTACACAGTAACTTCTTACCTTGACTTTGCTGCTCTTGAGGTAGGGTGAAGTGGGAGAGGAGCTGCTTACTCTGCAGACAACAAATTTGGCAAGGAAGGGAGCATGTGTTTCATATGCTATTTGGTTTCTCTGTGTTTCCAAGTGGTGGATACATTTTGGGTCATCCCACCCCACCTATTATTTTGACTTATTTTTTACTCCTGCCTTCTGTTCTTGAATGGCAGGCTGTACTTATATTTGCCAAGGAAAAGAACAACATTAAATTTGCCACATTCCCACCATTTCTATCGTCTCTTTCCTGTAATTTTCCAGAGAAGTGTTAGAGATTAAAGGAAAAATAAAAGGGTCTAGGCTTGGGCTGGGGTTATGGCCCAGTGGTGGAGCGCTTGCCTAGCACGTGCAAGGCGCTGGGTTCAATCCTTAGCACCACATAAAAATAAAATAAAGGTATTGTGCCCAACTACAACTGAAACAAAATACTTTTAAAATAAAAGGTCTAGGCTTTTTTATTTTGAAATTTCACTAGGCAGTAATTTTATTGAACTTCAGTCAATGAGATAACATTATTTTTCATTCATATGGCATACTATATTTATAAATATAAGGCAAAACTTAGTTTTGCTCTTTACCAAATCTTTGTATTGCTTAATAGAATTTGTTTAATGGACAAGTTAATGATTCATTGTATTGATTCATTGTAATGATTCATTGTTTTGAAAGATCCTTAAATATATAATCTCTCATTTTCAAAGCACTAAGCTAGAGAGGCAAGTTGCAGAGTGGATGGTGAATGGAAATACATTTGTACAAATTTTAATGAATATGTACATAGCTAATATTTATTATACATTTCAAAATTTGATCAAGTATGTATTCTGGGTTTTCCCCTGAAACCTCTCAAAGAGATTGTGACCTATACAGGCTACCACTGACTCATATTTAGCAGAAAATTTCTACTTATCATGAATTTCTACTTACCTTTAACTGAATTACTCTGATTCCATGACCTATGACCTCCTAATTTTCTTTCCCTCCCCTGCTGCCAGAGCAGTATTCCCAGGGTTCCAGCCTTTGCCCTTCTACCTGTTCATTCTTCATAGATGAGCTATTCATGGCTTTATTGCCGTCTTCTAGGTCTGCACAACTCTCATACCAGTACATTGATTCCAGGCCTCTGTCCTAGGATCCAGACTATAGGAACCCTGGGGTACCTTGCTGTCCCCTTGGTGCCCCCACTTCACATATTGCAGCCAACCTCTCATCTTTCCCCTCAGACTTTCCTGTGAACTTCCATGAACCTGTTTGATTAGGGTTAGGGTTAGGGAGGTATTGTTCTGTCCTGTGGGATGGGAATGTAGGTAGTAGAATGGGAACTAGTTGGGAATACTGGCTGGTGTTCTCCATGTGCTGCCTTTAGGTCTTGGTTTAGGTTTTACCCATTGTAGGAGTAGAATTTTAGCGCTGGATGGACTCTTTCCCAGGAGGCTAGATTCTGGAGTTGCATTCTGCATCCAGTGACCCTTGTCCTGTCACTATTGTTTGTTTCACACCCATAGATAGCTGTCACCCTCCGGCCAGGACAGTGGAACCTTTACCATTCTCCAGCTGGGTTGTAGGCTGGGATTCCCATCTCATTCCAGCTCTAATAGCTTTGCAGAACTCACTTCTATCTGGGTTACCAGGAACAAGGAAAGTTGAATGTTTAGCTATCAGTTTTTTCAGTAAATTTTCTTTACTTTGGTCTCTTTATCTCAGATATTCCTATGATTTCGTTTGGATTTTTATTTAATTATTATTGCTTTGGTTAAATTGAAAACCTCTAATCATGTATTCTTTGATTAAAGGTGAAAAGTGAGTTTTGGAAGGATACTGACTTGTTCTCTCTGTCTGCTCCCCAGGCTCTTCAGAGCAGTTGCTGAGCCCTGAGTGTTGGAAAGCCACTCTGCGAGCCCTGGGCTGCACTGCCCCGAGCTGCCATCAGGGGGCAGCTTCTGCTGAGGGCACTGTGCTGCACAGCTCTTCGAATGTTCTCTTGTCAGACAAGCAGGTGTGTAGCTTTTGGTGGCTGAGGTGTTTGTGTATTTCTTTTTCATTTCCCTTGCTGTTTTTTTTTTTTTTTTTAAATAATTGGAGCATATTTAAAAGTATCCAAGATGCTTTTGGATAACATCTAAAAAGCTGGCTTTTGTGCTCTATCTTTCAGAACGCAATGTTTTTCTTTGTTGTTCCTTTACTACCTTCTTGTCCCCTTTGTCTGCATGTTTTTTATGTCATACTTCTGAGTCCAATTTCTGTCTGTTCCAGATGAGGCCAGGTGCTTTCCTACCTGCCTTAGCCCATCTGACTCAACCCTGAGGCCACTGGGTGGGTTTTCATACAGTGTCTCACAGTCTTGGGTTTTACCAGTTTTATTGCATATGGGTTCATGTAAGAATTTATTTGAAAGAAGGTTATTTTACTTTAGAGAATGAATTTGAAACCCACTGATTTATTTTCATGTTTTCTGTCTCTTTGAAACTCTGTTAAAAAGTCAAAGACCTCCAGTGTGCTTATCCCAGTTAGACATATAATACTCTTAAAAGCAGATATTTCGTAAGCATTTCGATTGGTCTTTTTTTTTTTTTTCCAGGTAGTGGAGACCATACAGTGGCTTTCAGACTTTTTTTATAAGCTTCGGTTATCCAAGTTGGACTTTAAAAGCTTTGGTTTATTTTCAAAATGGAATCCGTACATGGCTGATGTGAAGACACTTTTGGGCTATCTTGTGAAAAGGCTGATTGACTCAGAAATGGCCTCCTTGGCCCAAGACCCATCTGCCAGCAGCAAAACAGGTAACATGTCTTTAGTGCAATGTGGAGTAAGATGTTCTGCCCTTCCATTAGAAGACATTTGAATAGCTACATTAGGAGATTTATATCGACTGTCAAGGAGAGGAGATAGAAATTATATAGTCCAAGTGCACCCTATATCTGTGTCATGCTGTATTCATTACACATTGAATATAGGTGGCTTACTGTAGCTCATCTCTAATCCTTTGCAGGGTGTGGTGCAAAGAGATGGGTTTCTATCTCTACTTCCTTCTTTCTATAATTTATGTAGCTAAGGACAGATTCTGAATATTAAGTATTTGTCCTGGAAAAAAATGTATGTTTTAAAATTAGCCATGACATTGTGTTATAATAAAAAAAGTCTTCAACTCAAATTCATTGCAATAAACGAAGCAAACGTATCAAACATATTTAGTTATACTAACATGCTTATATATCAACATAGGCTTATTGAGTGTACATATACTAAGATCTAGATTTTCTATAAAATGTTACCAATGGTATTGACAAAGCATTATCTCCTAAATGTTTGCAGTTTCAGTGCTGAGATCCCTACATTCAGTAACCATCCAGCTCTTTAAGCCATGGATCTTGGTTTTAGAGGACAGTGAAAGGTAAATACTTTTTCAGATATTCAAAATTTGGGGGGACTTATTTACTTACAGTAAGTAATTAAAGGTTTTGATAAAGGTGATGATTGAAGTATTGGGCTATATTTAAATTTAGAATTTTTAAAAATAAAACTTAAGACTTAAAAGTTTATGGAATTATTAGTCTGTGTGATTAGAGATGTTGTCTTGATATTAATTTTGGAACAGAGTAGGAAAATCATTTCCAGTTTTCTACAATAAAGAAGTTGAATGCATTTTGGTACTTGATTTAAAAATAAAAAGATGCTGTTCTCCTGAGGTTCCTCTTAGGTTTTGATAACAGCACTACAAAAGATGGGACTTCCTTAATTTTCTTTACTACCTGAGTTATTTTTTTGGAACTAAGTTGATTATTAAATTATTGGGTAGAATTATCCTTTAAAACATGGAAATCTGCTGTTAGATGTGAAAGCATTATTTCATGATTATTAAAAGTACTTAGAGTTATATAGCTGTCCAAATACAGTGATGAGTGGGGTGTGTGTGTGTGTGTGTGTGTGTGTGTGTGTGTTTCTTCCCCCTTTTGAAGCATTAATTTGATCTTGAGGCTCAGAACCTGAATGTTTTAACTCAGGTCTCCTGTCAGTTGGTTGTGTTAAAGTTGGAGCTGGAACTCAGGTCCTTGACTCCTATTTCCAGTGCTGCTTCAAGAGCCCTTTAGGGGAAACATGAAAGATTCTAGATTTTCTCCTTGACTGATGTGAAAGCTTCAGGATTTTGTATTGACTGTACATAGACTGGCTATAGTGAAAGGCTGCCTGTTTTATCTTTGAGATGAATTAATAGAATTTATTTTGATAATTAACTTTCTGGACCAGATTCAAAATTTAAAATTTTCATCTAAAGAATTCTTTGGCCATTCCTGTCTGTTAATTTTTGGCCATCTTTTTGTTACATGGATTTTACTTTATTTTTTCATGCTTCAGGTAGAGAAAATTTTTTGTTGAAACGCACCTTAAGGTATTTTTCTAAACTGTTTGAAATGTAACTGAGATATTCAAGGGTATAAATTAGATGCAAAAAGATATTAATTTAAGGATTAGATAGCAACTTCTGAACTTTTAATTGTACCAGAATAAAAGGTCGGAAGGAGAGAAAGTAAACTTATGTGGTTGATGTTACTCTCTACAATTTGCTGCCAGGAATTCACAGCCATTGAAGTGGTCGAGATATGTGTTAGGGGTATGTAATGCAAGATTTTCTAGGACCTGGCCAACCCTAGACTCTGGGAATTAGGGTAATTTGATCAAGGGCACTTTCATTCCTAAGCTTGTGTTTCTTTTCTTTAAAGCACCCAACAGCGACATTACCCTTGGCTGGAGAGTGATGCTGTGGTGGCCTCAGACATTGTGCAGTTGTTCGCTGACTGTGTGGATTTACTGCATGAGAGTTTTAAAGGTAGGGAGGGAGCCTGGATGTCTGGTTAGGGCTCACTTTTTCCCCAAGTTATTCAGTCATGCTTTTGCCTCTGCCTTCTTATTGTATTTTATTTTAATTGATGGGCAGTCAGCTGGGACTGAAGAAAGGCCACTAATAACTATTATGTAATGTTAAGTTTGTGACTTCTTTTTGTGTGAGGTTGCTCTGAGTTTGTCATTTGCTGGAAAATTTGCAGCCATCCCCTCTTCAGATGTTGCCTGTTGCTAGTATTTTGAAGACCTCCCCCATCTTTCTCCTTAATGGTTGTACTAATTTACATTCCCACCAACTATTTATAGGAGCTTCTTTCTCTATATCCTCTCCAGCACTCATCTTCTGTCTTTTTAATAAAAGGCAATCTAACAGGTGTGATGTGATGTTTCCTTGTGGATTTAATGGTTTCATTGCATTTCTATAATGATAAATGATATGAGCTACTGGTCATTTGTATGTGTTTTTTTCTATGTTCTGAGAAATGTGTGGAACATTTCTTTTGAGGAATATTGAATTCCTCCAAGGTGCCAGGTGAATGAGGCACTAAATACATGAGACTAAATGAATACATGCTGAGGGCAACAGACTGTAAGAGTTAAAAGGCCATATGTTGCCCAAGTAATTAAAATACCAGTTCTTATTATTATCTGCCAGTGTTCCCCCTCCTATACATGAAAATCTTTGAAATTGGATACACATTGAGAACTTTAGATTTTAGATTTTTGGTTCAAATTCATGTTTTCTAATTTTTTTTTTTTTTTTGAAAAAAGAAAAACCAACCAGAAGCAGTGGCATATGCCTAGAATCCCAGTGACTGGGGAGGCTAGGGCAGGAGAATTGCAAGTTCAGGACCAGCCTCAGCAACTTAGTGAGACCCTGTCTCAAAATAAAAAATAAAATGGGCTGGGGATGAGGCTCAGTGGTCAAGTGCCCCTGGGTTCATTCCCCAGTTTAAAAGAGAGAGAGCACGAGAGGGCACATGAGAGAGTGAGAAAGAGAGGGAAAAAAACAAGAAGAAAAAAATACCAAAGGTCCTTAGCTGTATTTTCTTTTTCAATTCTAGACAAGTTGTTGCCAGGTGATGAAGGAGCCCTTCGGTTACACCTGATGCATTATTGTGAAGCGTGTACTGCACCCAAAATGCCAGAGTTCATTCTGTATGCTTTTCATAGTGCATACCAGAAACTCCAGTGGAAGGACCTGCATCCCGATCAGATGCTCATGGAGGCCTTCTTCAAAGTGAGCCCTTCACCCGTGTGTCACACCATGGAGTGGTCTGCTGCTGGGGAGCAGCCTCTTCCCCGTGGTTCTGTGCAGGGACAGTGTGTGCCAAAGAGGGCTGTGCACACATTGGGTGCCTCCTCAGTGGTACTTGTGGAAAGCAGCAGGCTGTGGAAATAATTTCTTTATGTATGTTAGTAGAGGATCGGAAAATATCTATAGAACAGCTTTTAAAACCCAGAGAAACATTGTGTCTGTAATATGTCAGTCATTTTCTAGACTTTATGTTGGGTGAGTACATAGTTTAATGACTTAGTCTTGCTCGATCTTGGTTGGTGTTTCTGTGTATATGATTTTTCTAGAATGGTGTCATTAGAACAACTTGTTAAATGCTCTATTAAAGAAGATATGAATTGGTACTCAAGCCATTAGTTTCTTTTAGCAAATAAGTGAATGACAATACTGTAGATGATAAAGTGCAGTGTAACAACGGACACTGCATCATAATTATAAAAAAAACCCTGAAATGGTCTGAAAATAGTACCAGTAAGTGTGTGTGTGAGTCTGTAGTAGAAGCAATAGTTAACAAAAAACAGTACTGCAGTGTTACTTATATACCAGTCAGGCATTTGGCACAGTTTTTGTTGTTCTTACTAAGTTTCTGGTTAAAAAAAAAAAAAAAAAAAAAAACACAAAAACACTTTATAATCTAGGTTTAGGTTTATAATCTTAGCTTAGGTTTTTATGATCGTTTCGGTTCATTTGTTTGTTAGTCATCATTTAATTTGTGTTGACTCTCAATGTCATATTTATCATTAAGGCACCCTAAGTGCTTTAGTTGATACATATCTATAGTTATTTTTGATGATTAGTAAATATACTGCAGCCTTTTGTGCTGTGGTGAGCCCCGCCCAGTGCTGCTCTTTCCCATCATTCTTGTGTAGCGAGCTCCAGGGAAGCTGAGGGTATTCGTTTTAGAGAAATATAAGATTGAAGAATGATTTTTTTTTTTTTAAGAGAGAGAGAGAGAGAGAGAGAGAGAGAATTTTAATATTTATTTTTTAGTTTTCGGCGGACACAACATCTTCGTTTGTATGTGGTGCTGAGGATCGAACCCAGGCCACACGCATGCCAGGCGAGTGCGCTACCGCTTGAGCAACATCCCCAGCCCCTGAAGAATGATTTTGTAGTTGCATTTAGTAAATAATGCACACACTAAATAGATGTTTAATCACCATTATGAACATGAGAGAAAGTTGTTTTAAAGAACTATAAGATGGAATTTTAACTAAGAAAGAGGATGACCTTCACTGTAAGACTGATTGAATAGTAAACCCATCTGACAAGGGATGCTGTAGATCCATCTATGTCTAAGGATATTATTCTGATGATAGATGGCCCTTGACCTGCCCAGAAGCTGGGAATCTTTTTACTTACTATATCTTGTTGTCATAATCAAGTATGCTTTTTTTTTTTTTAACACAAAAATGAGGCTGAGGATGGAGAACAGATTATAAAGGAGGATGAATTGTTTTCTAAGAAGGAAGAGAACTAGTAGTTAGTGTACTATAATACAGTAATGGGAAGGTGTAAATCACTGATCATGAGTTTATGAAGAGCTTTTATTCTTTATTTTGAAAGAAAAATCTTATTACTTAGCCATGTTTTGTTTTTAAATAAATTACAATTATTGAAATAGGCTTATAAAATATAACTCATATAGTTTATAGAATATATCCCCCCAAAAAACCCTACTAAGAATTTAAGCACTATGTAGTCATCAAAAATTATAAAGACCAATAATATGAAGATATTTTTAATAAATATAACATTACATTAAGTATTATATATTGCAGCAGGTCTCAGTGTATGATCCTGGGGACAGCAGCATCAGCATCACCTGGGAACTTGTTAGCAGTGCACATTCCTGCTGCCAACCCATATGTGGGAAATTAACAGCTCTGGGGGTAGGCCCAGCCATCTGTATTTTAAGATCCTGGTGGTTCTGATGCTCACTCAAGTTTGAGAACTACTAACTAGTAGAGCTCAATTTTCATCCTGTCTCAGCACACCTGAAGATTCTGACATACTCTTGCATCTCCAGTGACTCAGTGTGGCAAGGAATCTCCACCAGGGTTGGGGTTAGGGGAGGTGGTTCCTTGCCTGGTAGGAATTATTAGAATCCACCAGGCACAGTGGTGTGCACCTGTAGTTCCAGCATTTAGGAGGCTCATGCAGAAGGATCCTTTTAGCCCTGGAGTTAGAGACCAAGCCTGAACAACATAGTGAAACCTTGTTTCAATAAACAAAACAAAGAATTATTGAAATTTAAAAATGCATGCATGTACAACATGGAAGGAAAGATATGACAAATGTTTATCTCTGGAAGTTAGGATTATGGATGGTATGTATAATCTGGGGAAAATGTTTTTAAAAACAAATACATGAAACACTGATTTATATACATTTTAAAGATAAGTCAGACAGCATAAAGCAAAACACTGATTTTCATCTATTTCCTTGAAGGTGGAACGAGGAAGCCCCAAGAGCTGTTTCTTGTTTTTGGGAACCGTGCTTTGTGAAGTCAATTGGGTTAGTGTGCTTGCTGATGCCTGGAACCCCAACCCCCAGCCTGAAACCCGGAGCATGATTGTCTGCCTCCTTTTCATGATGATTTTACTGGCAAAGGAAGTTCAACTTATAGAACAGACAGTAAGTTTGGGGGGCTTGTGATCACACGAAGCTCTGTAGCTCCTCAGTTTCTACTGGGTCGTGGCTTTTCGGTTGTTTCCTTAGTGCCTCCCTCTGTCAGCATGAATAGGTGCGTGGCATATGAGCTGTGCCTTTAATGAGATGCTTGCTTTTCTTGGATCATCCATTGCCTAAGTCATGGAGAGAACCTCACTAAGTTAGAACACATCAATTTATTTTATTTTATATCTACTTCCTAGTTTGTGCTCTGTGCTTCAGTGTTGGCGTGTGCCACCAGAGCAGAGTTCCTTTGAAAATTGGTTCCGAATAGTTTTTTAGATCTTAATATTAGTGGGTTTTTGCCATGACTTTGGTTATTGCCATTACTAATGCTCCTAATGAGTAGATTCTTACTTGATATCTGAGATTCTGTGCTTTGATAGAACACCTTAGTAGCTTTCTTATGGAGTAGTTAGAATGACATATTTCTCAGAAGATGGGACTCTGGAACTAAAGCCATCTGTTCCATGTTTTAGGATTCGCCTTTACTTAGTCTCCTTGGACAGACAAGCTCGCTCTCATGGCACCTTGTGGACATTGTGTCATACCAGAGCGTGCTAAGTTATTTCAGCAGTCACTACCCACCAACCATCATCCTGGCAAAGGAATCTTCTGCTGAATTGATTGTGAAGCTTCTGAAAGTGTCTGCAGGACTTTCCATTCCTACTGACAGCCAGAAACATCTTGTAAGTTGAGAGGGTGCTTTAAAAGGCAGGGCAAGGTCTTCAGGACTGGAAGTAGCATAAGTACCACTGAGGACAGTCTCAGACGTGCTGACTGCTCAGCAGAGAAGGTTGGGGGAGTGTCATTGTGTATTCATATTGGTCCCTTGCTTGGATCCTTTGGTTTGGGTTTCTCTCTTTTGCAAAGTCTTGACCTATTATCAGTGACACATGTTTACCAGAGGTCAGAAGGATTGAGAGCTGGCAGTGGGCCACTGGTTTCATTTTATGAATGTCATCAGTGGCAGGAACGGTGAAGAGTATGAGCTTGAGGTCTGACAGACTCAGGACCACCTCACATAGTATTATGAGGACTGAATTAGATAGTGAGCATGAAAGTTTTTGGAAAGATCCTGGCAGGTAATCCGTGTGTAGTTAATATGACGAATGTAGTGGAGAAGGAGGGGTGTTGTGTGGAATTGGGAGAAGGCAGGTTCTAATCTAGTTACCGCAGGTTTGCATAGCCCCAAACATGGGACCCTGGGATGCCTGGATGAGGTCCTCGCGTGGCTTCTTGATCTGTCCTCTCCACTCCTTGCCCAAGTGTTCAGAGCAGTGCTATGCTCCCGGGGAATCCTCAGTCCACACTCCTTGCTTGGATTCATTTGAGTGATCCTTTTCTTGTTTGTCAGGATGTGGTTCCAAAATGCCAAGCTTTCACTCATCAGATGGTTCAATTCCTCAGCACCCTGGAACAAACTGGAAAAGTCACCTTTGCTGTCCTAGAACAGGAAATGTCTAAGCTCTTGGATGATATCATTGTCTTTAACCCGCCTGGTAAGTGACCAGTGGGAAGCCACATATTCACATAATCTATGAATTGCTGTCACAGTAAGGCATTGTGGGGTGAGGAAAACGGGCAGGACCCTGCCATTCCCGTTTCCAGAGAGACAGTGGTCAAAGAGCTGCTTAGTCAGCCCTGGAGAGAGGCGGAGTGTTAAGAACTTGAGGAGGAGCTGGCCCTGGCGATGCTGGTGTGAGGTAAAGTGGACTGGGGGTCAAGCTGGACACTCTGGATTTAGTTATTAGAAGGTAGCAGGAAGCCTGCCAGCGAGCAGCATGCCTAGGGGTTTGACTGGGAAGTAGGAGAGCACTTCAGAATCACCTGTAGAATTGTCAAGATACTTTACATGGAGAATTTCTGTTCTTCATGTTTGGTAGACTGGACGACATCCTGGCTGCCTCTCCTGCTGGGAAATCTCAGAGGCCAGAAATGAAGTAAAACGGGGAACAAACCCTTAAAGGTAGATGAAACAAGATGGCTATCACCTGAGCCTTCTCAGAAAATAGCAGGGGTGATAAAGCACAGGGCCTGCCCGAGTTGGCAGCCTAAAAGGAGATCCCATGTGTAAGCCACAGAGTGACATCTTTCCTGCACAGATGAGCCAGAGATGCACATGCTCCTGTGAAAGGAGAGAAAAGACAATTACCTGTTCTGGCCTTGGTATGTGGCAGGGAAAGAGGTCCATTTTGAATATTGGTTAAGGACAAATTTTCTTTTATGTGTCCTCCTGTGGTGCTTAAAATCAAACCCAGGGTCTTATGCATACTAGGCAAGTGCTCTACCATAGATCCACATCCCCAGTCCCTCACATGGTTTTGAAATATGAATTCATACTGGTTAAATTGTCCCCCTGTACCCGCTACAAAAAAAGAAAAAAAGAAAAAGAAAAGTCAGTAGGTACTGGAGAAACTGTGCCACAGTTGGTCATATGTGAGTTGGCCTTGAGGTTTGAACAATAGCTGCCCGGGGAAGGGAGCTGGAAGAGTGTTTTAGGAAAATTTTAATCAGAAGAGTAACAGGATCAGATCTGGTTTTCAGGGAAATGTTTATTGCCCCGGTTGATGATGAACAGGAAGGGGAGAGGCTAGGATCTGTTATGAGGCTTATTGTAGTAATTTGTTACTATGAGTCATAATTAAAAGATAAATTAAAATTGCTTTTTAGTTGAAATTGAGACAAAGACTTAGTCACTAAGAATATTTATACCCATAGAAATATATGAAGAAAAATTCCCAGGCACATTGCTGTTTTTCTTTCTCTCAAGAGTTTTTAAGTTCTTGATTGATAAGAAGTAGATCTTACAGTTGGTAGGGTCTGTTTTACAGTGTATAAGTAGTTTTTTTTGTTGGGTGTGATGAATAAGATCTTCTAACTTTTTACCAGTCCCATGGATGCAAATACTGAATCCTGTGGCAACAAAGCCTTAAGAAAGTTTTGTTTTCTTTTTTTAAAGTACCCAACTCAAAGAGAGCTAGAAGCCATTGGTAAAAATCGTGCTTTTTAAAACTCCCAGTGACATGTATTTCTCATGCTTGAGGGTGAAGGATGCTGCCCCAGTGACCTCCCTTCATGCTTGTGAAATAGAATTTGCTCTTTTTCTGGCAGTTTTCTTTGAAAAACGTGTTTATTTTATAGTCTGTTCACTTTTCTTATTTAAAAAACAAAGAAATAGGGCATGGTAACATGTTCTTGTAGGCCCAGGAGTTTGAGGCCAGCCTGAGCAACATAGATCTCTTTCTTTAAAAAAAAAAAAGGGCGGGGGGAGGGGAGTAAAGGGGCGGGGGAGAAGAAATAGAAGAGCTGCTGTTAGGAATCTTTTCCATACTTTTATATTTGCTTTTAAGCTATAATAATCTTTATTCTATGTAAATCACTCTAGACTATTGATAGCTTGGCAATGGCTGTGTTGGGAGTTGGACTCGGGGGTGGAGGGTACTCTTACTAATTAGCTTATCATATCTACCCAAAGCGCAGCTAAGATTGTAGCACTGTTGTTTTCATGATCACATTCTTGTCCCTATGCCAGCGGCCTGAGAGCATGTCTGTGTTCCCCTTCAGACATGGATAGCCAGACCCGCCACATGGCCCTCAGCAGCCTCTTTATGGAAGTCCTGATGATGATGAACAATGCAACTATTCCAATGGCAGAGTTCCTCCGGGGCAGTATCCGGACCTGGATTGGCCAAAAAGTGCATGGGCTGGTGGTGCTGCCCCTGTTAACAGCAGCCTGCCAGAGCTTGGCATCCGTCCGCCACATGGCAGAGACTACAGAAGCCTGCATCTCCGCCTACTTTAAGGAAGGTTAGGGGACACGTCTTCTGTTGGTCTTTCAGGAAAGATTAAAGCTCTGTCACCAGGAAATATATTTCTAGATTCTACCATTCTAATTTCTGCTCTGTAAATGAATGTTCTGACATATCTGTATTGATGTATATCTATATATCTATATTAATATATATTTTTTTCATAAAGATCTGCAGTTAGCATATGAATCACTCATCCATATCTATTGGTGCCATCACCTATTTCAAGGGACAAAAGCTCTAACTTGTTTTACATTGGTTTTAGAGTGTATCATAAGCAAAGTCATGGTCCTCAAAACGAATATTGTACTCCAAAGTCTATATAATAATGATCACTCTGTTTATTTTCCCCTTTTTTGGGTCAGTTTTGATAAAAGGAGTTTTTATAGAAATGTTTTTTGTTTGTTTGTTTCTGGTCATGCTTTTTAAACTCTTTTGTGAAGAAATCACTCTCTCCTGTCCTTCCTTGCCTTCTTATTCCCTGCCTCTATAAACTTTCAGACTCTGGATTAAGAATTGCTCAGAACAGCCCATCTCAACTCTGATATCCAAATATACATGATACTAGACAGTGGAAGAGAAAGAAGGATATCAGAGCAAGGTTCCAGAAGTGCCCATAACCTGCCATATGTCTTATCCCAACAACCCACAACATTCCATGTCCACCAGTGGAAGTGATATGCACACCACTATGCACCCTGCCCTCACTCTCTGCAGAGCTGAGAATCATTAGGATTAATACTTCTGTTTGAAATTTATTTGTATTATTAAAAAATCAACGTGTGGAGTTATGGCCTGAGCTTTGTGTGTATGTGGTTCTTGGGATCGAACCCAGGGCCTCACACATACTAGGCAGGCACTCTACCACTGAGCCATACTCAGCACACATTTCACTTCTGTGGCTTATAGAGCCAACATAAGAGATGTTACCTTGGCATGAAGCTTAAAGTGAAAAGATTTGTTGCAGTTGTTAAGTAATTAGACTCTTTTTTATGTCTTGATGTCTTCTCTCTTTTTTTTTTTCCTTAGGCTCCCTCAATCAAAATTTAGGATGGGGTCCCATTCTGGTGTCCCTTCAAGTTCCTGAGCTCACTATAGAAGAATTTCTGCAGGAGTGCCTGGCCCTTGGCAGTTATCTGACCCTTTATGTCTACCTGCTCCAGTGTTTGAATAGTGAGCAGACTCTAAGGAATGAAATGAAGGTGCTGCTCATCCTCAGCAAGTGGTTGGAACAGGTGTATCCAAGGTGTGTTGGCTTCTGGCTGCTTTATAAAACTGGTAAGGTACTTGGTTAACTTAGAATTTAAGGATTTAGATAAGAAATTATTTAAGAAGACAGAATTAAGAAAAAACAAACAAGGCTATAAGGTACCATGACACTTGTTTGGAAAAGATTCTTTTCTTGATGGCTTAATTTTCTGAGCAAGCTTTTAATTTCCTAAAATAAGCATTTTGAGCATCAGATTGCAGCTTTCCTATAAAAATCCCTACATCCCAGGGTTGTGAACATTAAGTGAAAGCATGAAACCCAGACACAGTGTCTAGCACAGAGTAAGTAGTCACTAAACTGTAGCATTAACATTTGTTAACACCAATTAGCTTAGGGTTTTAAGGTACTAAATGTCTCCTTTACTTAAAAGTCAAATGTGGACATTCAGTGAAATGGAGTTGGGGGGGAAAAAAAAATCTCACTTCTAATTTTACTCTCTCTGGCACCTTCCCCAGCTCTGCACAGGAAGAGGCAAAGCTATTTCTATGGTGGCACCAAGTCCTGCAGCTGTCCCTGATTCAGACTGAGCAGAACGACTCAGTCCTCACGGAATCTGTTGTCCGAATTCTGCTCATGCTTCAGAGCAGGCAAAACCTCCTGGCTGAGGAGAGGCTCAGCTCTGGGATTTTGGGGGCGATTGGATTGGGCCGGAAGTCTCCCTTGTCCAACAGGTGAGGATGCACCTACCACTGCTTTCTTGGAAGGCCTCAGATATCGGCACCTATTTCAGGGTGGGACTCTGGAGTAGGGTTTTTGATGTAGGAGTTACGTTTTCCAGAAAGACAAAGGGGGAAAACACAATAACCCAAACCTTTATTACATCTTGGTATTCTAAAAAGCATATTTATTTTTTCTTGTTTGCAACAGTTTGAAGTTTAGACAGTGTATTTTAGTGTTATCTCTTCTATGTTGACTTTGTAATCTGATTACACTACTGATTTCTTTTTGGTTTGGAGCCATTGATGGTATGCGAGGTTGGTCATTTCTTAAAGCATGCTGGTACACACCTGTAATTCCAGGGACTCTGGAGGGTAGGCAGAAGGATTGCAAGTTCAAGGCCAGCCTCAGCAAGTAAGCAAGGCTCTAATCAACTTAGGGAGACCCTGTCTGAAAATAACAAATAAAAAGGGCTGGGATATAGCTCAGTGGCCAAATTCCCCTGGGTTCAATCCCCAGTACCAAAAAGAAAAGAAGGACCATTTTGTGAAAATGGAATTTTATAATATGTGGCCTCTGGTGTCTGACTTCTTTCACTTAGCATAACATTCTCAAGGTTCAGCTGTGTTGTTCATGTGTCGATTCTTCATTCCTTTATATAGCTGGATAATGTTCTATCTTATGGATCTACTACATTTTGTTTATCCATTGCCGCAGTCTGGCTGGGCACAATCAGGAGCCACTTGTCAAAAGAAACTAACTTTATTTTTATAACCACACACGCCAAACAAAACAGCCTCTCAGGAAAAACCCTCAGAGCCTCAACTGCCACCACCGGCTTTCCACAAGCCTCTCTCTCCCACACAAGCTTCTCTCCACCTCCCACAATCCTCTTGCTCTTGAGGCCGATTGGCTGGGTCGCGTGGGCGGAGCCAAAAAAGTCCCCCAATGAGCAGCTCCGTGGTCTGAAAGGCAGGGAAACAGCCCAATGAGCCTCACTGCAGAGGAGCCAATCAGCAAGATGTTGCTGGGGCGCTGTGAGCCAATCATCAGCTGGCAGTCTGAAAGTTTGCTGGGGCCCCTTTGGCTGTGGCTCTCAACATCTCATCTCAACACACGCTACAGCATGAAGAAGCCTTGGAAATATTTTGCTAAGCACAATTCACAATAACCAAACTATGTGAGCAGACCAGGTGTCCATCAATGGATGAATGAGTATCGAGAATGTGGAGTGTAAACACAATGGAGATTTAGTCAGCCATAAAGAAGAACGAAAGGATGCCGTTTGCAGGAAAATGGATGGAACTTGAGAGCATTATGTTAAACAAAATAAGTAAAACTCAGAAATTCAAGGGTCGTATATCCTCATATGTGGAAACCAGAGGAGAAAAAGGAAAAAAAGGGTGATGGTAGGGGGGCTCAATGTGAAGGAAGATCCATAGAGTCGATGAAGGGGCCCCAGCAAACTTTCAGACTGCCAGCTGATGATTGGCTCACAGCGCCCCAGCAACATCTTGCTGATTGGCTCCTCTGCAGTGAGGCTCATTGGGCTGTTTCCCTGCCTTTCAGACCACGGAGCTGCTCATTGGGGGACTTTTTTGTCTCCGCCCACGCGACCCAGCCAATCGTCCTCAAGAGCAAGAGGATTGTGGGAGGTGGAGAGAAGCTTGTGTGGGAGAGAGAGGCTTGTGGAAAGCCAGTGGTGGCAGTTGAGGCTCTGAGGGTTTTTCCTGAGAGGCTGTTTTGTTTGGCGTGTGTGGTTATAAAAATAAAGTTAGTTTCTTTTGACAAGTGGCTCCTGATTGTGCCCAGCCAGACTGCGGCATTTGGTGGCCCATACGGGGATTAGTCGCCACGCCTAGGCCTCGAAGCGTTTGAGTGGCTTGTTGTAATGGCCAATGTTTTGGCCATTCTTGACGAGAGATGATGCTAAGGTCTGCACCTGTATCCAGTAGCCCATTAAATTCATGTCCTTGAATATTTAGTTTTAGCATGGGGCGAGAATCTAAATTTAAAGAAAGCATAGCCCAATCTACACCTGTGGAGCCTAATCCCTTGGAACCTCTTTCTACAGTACGACTGGAAAATTTATCATGTAGGCTGGGTATTATTAGTAACTGTGCTATTCTATCTCCTGGTGAAATTACTGATATACCCTTTGGAGAACTGGCTATAATTTTTATTTCACCTTCATAATTGGGATCAATTACCCCAGGACTTATCATAAGTCCTTTTAGAGTAGAAGAGCTGCGTCCCAATAATAAGCCTACTGTTCCTTTGGGAAGAGGTCCTTTCACCCCTGTGGGAATGATTTGAACTCCCATCTCTGGAGTTAGTACTGCTCTGGCGGAGGCGCAGATGTCCAACCCTGCGCTCCCTCTGGTTTGTCTGATGAGGGATCTGATGGACAATGTGTCCTGGGCACTACCCTGATGGGGTTGCTGGGTTCCTCCAGTGCTCCGTATATTTGTGGTTTTGGGCCCTGGAGCATTGGGCCCCCCTGTCCATTTTTTTGGCAATGGAGCCTGATGCCTTTCTCCACGATATCGTGGATAAACACCTGGTCCTTGTTCGTTTTTTGATAATGGAGTACCCTCTATGGTGGTTTGAGAACAGCATTCATTAGCCCAATGTCTCCCTCTACGGCATCGTGGGCAAATACCTGGTATTCTACTCCTTTGATACCTAGTTTTGTTAAACCCTCCTCCAATGGGGCAATTCCTTTTAAAATGTCCTGTTTGTTCACAATTGTAGCATGTTCTTGGCCTGGCATCTAAAGCCTGTTTTACTGCAGCTGCCACAACTTGCTCTTGTTCATTAATGTCTCTACATAATTTAATATATGTGTTTAAATCTTCATGTTTCCGTGGTCTAATGATATCTCTGCACCAACGATTCGCTTGCTCATAAGCCAGGTGTTTTAGTAATGGCATTGCTTGTTCTGTATTCCCCAAAACTCTGGTAGCTGTTTGAATAAGCCTATCTACAAATTCAGCATAAGGTTCATTAGCTCCTTGTATTACCTTAGATAATTGACCTTGTAAACCTCCATGTCCTTGTAAAGTCTTCCATGCCTTAATTGCATCTACAGCAATTTGTGCATATACACCAGGATCATATGCAATTTGTTGCTGCTGATCCTCATAAGGTCCCTTTCCTAACAACATATCTAGATTTCTCTGAGGATAACCAGCTGCTGCATTTCGCCTAGCTGTCTCCTTGCAAAATTCCTCATTGGCAACCTTCCATAACAGGTATTGTCCTCCATTTAGCACAGCTTTACACATATTAGCCCAATCTGCTGGCGTCATGTTCAAGTTGTTAATGGATTCGACCATGCTTACAGTGAAGGGTGCTTGAGGACCATAGGTTGTTACAGCCTCTTTTAGCTGCTTCACTGTTTTGAAATTTAAAACATGGTAAAATCGCTGCCCTCCTGCCTCAAATACAGGGCATGTTAATATTTGAGATCTTGTCTCAGGATCCCAACTATCAACTGCGGGGGTTGGGGACCTCCCAGCATATGGAGGTGGCCTTGTTAGTTGGACACTTACGTCCTCTGGTGATAGAAAGGTGTTAGTAGCAGTCTCCTGTAGAGGTGGTGCTGTTGGTTGGACACTTACACCCTCTGGTGATAGAAAGGTGTTAGTAGCAGTCTCCTGTTGTAACTTTCCCCCTGATGGCTTTTTCTGTTTTACACTTTCTTTCTCTGTCTGACTAGCTTGAGAGGCCTTCTCTTTTAGTTGAATCTTTTCCTCTGTCTGACTAACTTGAGAGACCTTCTCTTTTACTTGAATCATTTCTTCTGTCTGACTAACTTGAGAGACCTTCTCTTTTACTTGAATCAATATGTCTTCTCCTTCCTCTACCATTGTCTGAACTGAAGGCTTTGGACTAAGCAAACAAGATATGAACGTCCACAATGGCAATGTGCCAACTGGCAGAGTCCCTGGGCTTTTCTTTTCTATTCTTTTTAAATCTTCACCATGATGGTTCCATTGTGATATATTTAACAACTCCTCCTTAAAAAGCCATGGGCTACATTTTTGTATTGTATCAACGTATGCCCTGACTGTTCTTGATTTTACTGAGATGCCTCCTTCCTCTAACAATTTACTTAACACTCTTTCAGTTTGTTTTTTACTAATTTCTGATCCCATATTTCTACTATAATACAACCCAACAAGATGACGCCAAACAAAACCGAGACAGAATGAAATAAAAAGGGAACAACAAAAAGTCATTATAGCCTTTCTATCCTCCTGACATGTGCATCCGTCCTTTCTCCCTATCTGTTCCTCAGACGTAAATAGTTTTTCCTCAGATGCGAGCGGTTTTTCTTCCGTCTCACTCATCTCCAGGGACAGGCAACTTAAAACAAAAGTGAAGCAAAATAAAAGAGGAATCTTAAAATGGCTACCCATCCTCTCGCCCTGCCCTCAGGGGCGAGCAGTTTCACTTACCCTCAGTCGCTCCCCGTATGGGCCACCAAATGCCGCAGTCTGGCTGGGCACAATCAGGAGCCACTTGTCAAAAGAAACTAACTTTATTTTTATAACCACACACGCCAAACAAAATAGCCTCTCAGGAAAAACCCTCAGAGCCTCAACTGCCACCACCGGCTTTCCACAAGCCTCTCTCTCCCACACAAGCTTCTCTCCACCTCCCACAATCCTCTTGCTCTTGAGGCCGATTGGCTGGGTCGCGTGGGCGGAGCCAAAAAAGTCCCCCAATGAGCAGCTCCGTGGTCTGAAAGGCAGGGAAACAGCCCAATGAGCCTCACTGCAGAGGAGCCAATCAGCAAGATGTTGCTGGGGCGCTGTGAGCCAATCATCAGCTGGCAGTCTGAAAGTTTGCTGGGGCCCCTTTGGCTGTGGCTCTCAACAATCCATTTATCAGCTGATAGGTAATTGAACTGTTTCAATCTTTTTGGCTTTTGTGGATAATGTTATTATAAATAGTCATGTACAGATTTTTCTTAGCACATCTGTATTCAGTTCTTTTGGATATATACCTAAGAGTGGAATTGCTGGGTCATATGGAGAGTGTATGTTTTACTTATTAAGTAAGTGCCAAAATGGTTTCCATAGTTCCTGCATCGTTTACATTCCCACCAGCAATATATGAGTGTTCCATTATTTCACATCTTTGCCAATACTTTTCATTCTTGGATCTGAATTATGGGCACATTTTTATAATGAAGATTTTCCTAAATAGGCTTATTACACAGTAGATCTGGAAATATGTTTATCTTGTGTTTTAGTAGAAAATATGGTATTTATTTTTAAATGCTCACTCTAATGGTCACTTACATGTTTTTGTCTTTCCCTATCACTTCAGGTTCCGAGTGGCTGCCCGAGGCATGGCTGCCTTCCTTTCAATTCAGGTTCCTTCAGAAGATCAGATCCGATTGAAGCCTGGCTCTGAACTACATTTGACCCCAAAAGCTCAGCAGGTCAGTACAGCTAGCCTGGCTCCAGGCTGCTCCCTCTCCACTCTGCAGGATTTCTGTGCATGGTAAGAGCTGAGCCCCCTTAGCTGCTCTTCTTATGCAGCTTGATCATGTCTAAGCCAGCTGCATGCCATGTGAGATATTAAATACAAGGATCAGATGGAATAGTTGGCAGGTTCTTCACAGGGATCCCAGTTCATAAAATACCGAATACTTGTCACTCACTGCTGGAGAGCTGCTGTTGGAATGAATCCCTAGTGTTTTGCATGAAGCAGCACAGTGGGGCAGCTGAGTTCTCTGAGGGTGGGAAGTGCATTTCAATGAGGTGCATTTCAGGGTGTGTTTGAGTCTTCACCTTTCCTGTGGCCCCAAGATCTGGGGCATTGGGATGCTGCTTTAACTTCCTGAGAGTCACCTGGGCTCCCTTTGCCTGCCTTCCAGTAGACTCAAAGCAATGTCTTTCTGCATGTTCCTTACATACTTGCCATCAAGATTTTCAGACTTGAAAAATGTCGTCTTTTTATAAAAGGATTAATTTTAGGCAGCCTGTCATATTGTACCATTTTGGGGGTTAGATGTAAAAAAGGGTAGGGAGCGGGGAGAGAGAATGATTCCTGCCCCCCCCCCCTCGATTCCCGTCCAACGCTTAAACTGTTCACACAGCTCATACCTTGGTACCAAAATCCCTAGTTTATTTTCAACACTAAGACTTTACAGCTAACCTGGTGATTGATTTCTCAGCTTCTCGGTCACTTATCCTCAAAAAGAAAATCTTCTCCCTTCATGTTTTCTGGACCAACCAAATGATTCTTAATTGATACTCTTTAGTGTCACAGTTCCCAGACATAGGAGTAGGTGGAATTGGAGGACTTCACATGGGGTGGGCGTGCCCCAGTGGGGAGAGGATACTTTCAGAACCCTGGGGTGGGGGGCCCAGCTTGTCAGCTGGAAAATAAAACTCCCCACGCTCAGGAACTACTATTCTGAAATTTTGTTTTTTCCATATACAGTCTCTTTCCCTTTCTCCTAGGAAGGAAAGAAAAATTAAAATTATGGAATAGAAGAATGTTTTCCTTATTTCTTCCTTTGAAAACAGATGTGGGGACATTTTCCTCCCTCAGTTTTGGGTCATTTGTCAGATGGAATAGGGGGAAACTTGACCTGTGCATTATGCCTGTTCACCAATTTAATGACCTTATCTTTTACCCTCAGCAGTATGTAGCAGCTGGTTTCCTTAGAATTTCATTCAATTAGATAGTTGAATGTGTCATTTTGTAACCTAAGAACAGACCCAGCAGCAAGTTACACAGGTGTCACATTAGCAAGGTGCATCTATGGGTTCTGGTTGGCTTCTACGAAGAGAGGGGCAGCTGATCTGGTGGGGACAACCCCACAGGTGGGACTGGGGAGAACGAGGACAGGGCCTACTCTGGAAATGGGTGTGGCAGGTGAGGAATCCATCGGTAAGACCGGGCCGGCTGCTGCAGTGGCTCCCGGTGAGGCAGGGTTGAGAAATAACAGCACAAAATAGGGGATAAGCTTGGGTTGTGGCCACCTCTGGCTGTGTTAGTCAGCGCCTGCCTTCTGGACTCCTCATTCTGGTTCTGTGGGCTTCCCTCCCTCAAGGCTCACAGTGAGACCAGATACTGACGGTAGTGCTGTACCTGTCACAGTCAGGTGGTGTGCATCTGTGGGGTTAACCCTCTGTCTTTTATGTCTTTTAGGCTCTGACTGCTCTTGAATCCATGACACTGAGTAAGCAGTATGTTGAATACCAGGATCAGATTTTGCAAGCTGCCCAGTTTATAAAGCATCCTGGCCATTGCCTCCAAGATGGGAAAAGCTTCCTGGCTCTTCTTGTTAACTGTCTCTACCCAGAAGTGCATTATCTGGACAACATACGGTAGTAACCACAAGGCTCGTGACAAACTCCATCACTGTTTATGTTTACATTTAACTTTGCTGTTGCACAAATAACTTTGCTTACTTTCATTGCAGAGTTCAGTTTAGCCACGGGATGGGTGACTGGAGATGCAATTGGGAGGCATTAAGTGATTCCGTGTGTCCATGTGTGTGTGTGTGTGTTTCACTCTCTGGGGACTTTTTAGTGTTTATGTTCATCCACAACTGAAACTTACTAAGTTCCACTTGGGTATAGAGCCACTCACAGTTGCCAACTGTCCTCATCTCATAAGACCCGCAGAGGGAATTTTCATGATATGTCTCCACCTCTGACTCCCCTGTTTTATTTAAACGTCAAGATTCCTGTGCCAGATCTGACTGCTTTGAGAGTCATATATAACCCTCACTTTGAACCCCATTTGTGTGCTTTTAGTGTGAAAAAAATCAACCTTGAGAATTTCTGTATTTCTCAAATGTGGGGAAATACATAGCCTAAAGGTATTATGTTATTTCTCTCAGAAGGGAGATAAAAATGCTGAATTAAAGTGAGCCATGTGAAAAACTTGACACTATAGTGGACATCAGAGATTGTGATGTGTCTGCTTCCCTCTGACTGTGTATCCTTATGGAAGAGCCTCTGTCTGAATCAACGTGTCAGGCTGGTGCTCTGTGATGAGTGTGCTGGGCACACTCGTGTTTTATTTGGTTCACATGGCAGGGGCTGCAGAGTGCGAGCCCAGAGTCGCTCCATGCCCTTGGGTCCCCTCATTCACCTCACTCCCTCGACATTGAAGTTTGAAATTCTTGATGGACACCAAGGTTGCTATCTAAAGGCCCCACTGTTGAGCAGGGGACTGAGGACTCACTTCTCCAAACCCTGCTAGCTTCTTCCCTCCATATATAAACTCAGATAAAGCTGGTGGACCTGCTGAAACACTTGCCCATGGAAACTGGGCCAGGTCAGGAGAATTTCTGAAATCTGTCTTTTTTTTTTTTCTTCTTTGAGTCGCCTTGTGCCTTCGGCCGCCCTTGACAGTCATTCATTACCAAAGCCTGTCTACAACGTTGCCTCATTGGTGCCTTCTTCTTGCTCATGTTATTTCCCCCAGGAATTAGTCTGAAAATATTTGTCAACATAACTCTTGGCTCAAAATGGATTTTGTTGCCCAGCTTTCATAATGTGTATTTGTAGGTTTTGTGCAGCCCTACAAAAATACCCTCAAATGCCTAAACATTCACCAAAAGCTCTCAGTAGAGAGAGAGGGATATAGTTAGCAGATGTAGAACTCCTACCATATCCCACATATCCCCCGCATCTGGGAGTTTGTAGGAACTTTTCTTTTTCGTTGGACAGAAAATTCCACCTCACAGACATGCCTTGGCACTCCGATAAAGAAAATCTCTGTTCAGCGTTCGAGTTTCGTAGGCCACAGAGAGTCATCTCACAGTGACATGTCTCAGCTTTCCTTGTTTTTGCTTCTCTCTGCTTTCAAAACAGTCATCTTCTTATTCTACGTATGTGAAAATTTTAGAAGCTGCAGACAGTTAAATTGGCCAATTTGGCAACAGTGATTTTATGACAGGAAATAATTTGTGTGCTGTTTTCTTTGAGGAGAATGAAATTATTGATATCCTCAAATGTGAAGTTTTTGAGTGACAGTATGCACATTCTAAAGAAAATTATGATCAAACTGTTAATTTTTGAAAGTTTATAATATTTATACCATATTTAGTTTGTAAAGATTTTAAAAAATAAAGTCAGGCTTTGGTTGTAACTTCTACGAATCTGAATTTCAGGGCTTCTTCACTAACAGAGTATATCAGAGACTGAAGTTGATGTAGATTTTTATAACTGATGTCATCTTATTTACCTGACCTTGTAACTTGAGTTGCAAAGATGGTCAGTAAAACTGCTTGCACTTCTTCATGCTTCCTGTCAGAAGGTTTGCTTATCTCATAGGTATTTAAAGAACATGGCAGTGCTGCTGTCATCTCTGGGGAAGGAAGGCTCTACCTAGGCCACCCTGCCTTCTGCTTGCAGGTAACAAGCCTTTGCTTGAAAAGATAGCCAGCCTTCACAGAGCACGGGGCCACAGTCTGAGAGACAGTGGCAGGTGCTGCATGTCAGCACTGGCACTGGGCAAGACCAAGGCCTGCTTGTGGGCTGAGCAGTGTGGAAGGTGCACACCCTGGATTTCTCCGCACAGTGGCTGGCCATGGCATCTGGCTCAGATAAGGACGTCTGATGCTTTTTGGGAGCAGGAAGGAGGAGACAGTGTTCTGCTCCCAATGAAAAGTGCTGCTCCCATCCTTACCCGCCCTGCAGTAGAGGTCAGAGAGACAGTTCTGTTCCCCCCATCTCCTGGCTCTACTGACTAGAACAGGTGAAGGGCAGAGAGCTGGGAGCCATGGGCCATGGAGGCAGGAAGGTGCTGCTGGATGTGTCTGCACAGTGTGACACTGGCAGGTGGAGCTTGGTCCCACTGTTTCAAAGGTCCTGCACACTCGCCCTCAGCTCTGACGTGTGGCCATTTCTTGATCAGTTTCTTGGCTTAGTCTGTGAATGCCTCTGCCTCCCCAGGGTTAAGCCTGAGTCTCTGAGACTGGAGGGAATTAGTGTAGAGAATGCAAACTTATCTAACCTCCTCCAGTCAAGTGACAGTCTTGTTACTCCTGAGTAGTCACGAAAACCAGTGTGTCCATATTGTATAAGTTAATCATGTCTGTGCCTTTGTGTTTGAATGAAAGGTGGTAACACCATTTTTGTGTGTGGGGTTTTTGTTCCTAAAATTAGTTGTTTCTTCTGGAGCTGGAAGTAAATGTCTAGAATAATCAACATTTAAAAGTCAGTAGGAGCATTCACACACCGGGTGCCCACCACTCGCTCACTCAGTGGGATACTCAGCCTCCCCCACCTGGCCATTGGCCACAGGCCAGCCCTTGTAGGGCCATGCAGGCTGCTGCTGGCGGGTCACATGTGGTTCTGCTCTGACAGCGAGGTGTCCCCTGGAAAGGTTGCGGGTTGGCTGTGGACCTACCTGGCGCAGTCCAGGCTGGCTCCATCTCTTGCTCCCTTCTCAGCACACATTTCCCTTCCCGTCACACCTCTGACACCATGTGGCCCCATCTCTTAGTCCTTTCCAGACTAAATGCCCCACAATCCTTAGTTTTCTACCATGATGTCCAGAGGGCTGCCCCGGGGCACAGTATGGGACTAGGTGAGGCACCTAGAGCACAGTTGAGGAGGTTGGTAATCAACAGTGCCAGGAGAGGGCGCTCCTTCGCCTTCTCTGCCTTGGTGCCTCCCTCTCCTCATCCTGGCCCCTGCCCTGGCATGTCATGCTTGAGGTCAAGCAGTGCAGTTCACTCCTCTGGACACTTGGGCAGTATTGGCTCTAGATGTGACGTATGGTTGGCACATTAAACACATTAAACTCGTGGCGAGTTCAAACTCTATACCTCGGTTTAATATGAGTTGCTGCTGAAGACTGGTCTCATTGCATGGGTGTGAGGCACGTCTCACAAACAAGGTGCTCCACGCTTAGTCCTTTACTGCTGTCTGCCCTCCATGTTGGAAGCGTGTCCCTTTCAAAAGAAACGTCCCCCTACCCTGATCTTCCATTTGCATCTGGGTCATGCTGGGTAAAACTCTTGACATAAGTCAGGCCCTAAGACTGACTTTGTTTCTCCACCATGATACTCGTATTCTGGAGCATCCTGTGACCTGTGCAGCTGTCTCTGAAGTTCCCTTCACTTTGGATAGCTTCCTGATTTCTGATGAGAAAAACTTGAAAAAAAATTACTGATCCTATTTTGGGATAATGAACTTGCTAAGGAATGTTGTTGATTATAACTTGTTTTTAAATGTACCAATGTGATCTCTCACTGAGCACTGAGAGTTAGAATTTATTTTTCTTTCTATGGTTGAAAATCACTAAAGTTGGAGACAAATACTTCAGTGTATTCAACTTTTTCTTCCCACATGTCTAAAGTGGCCTTTAAAAACCTCTACTTTATTTTGATCATTAAATGTGCAATATTCACTTCTTATGCGTTGTTCAATGTTTTACATGCTTGTACAGAAGATGAGTTTTTATATCATGGTGAGAAACAGGAATAAATAAGAATTGATTAAGTAAAATTCTGCAAATAAACTACATTCAGAGTCAATTTACCCATGGTGGGCCTGTCTCATTGTTTTTGGCAAGATTGTTGGCAGGTCATCTTTTTATACATACATCACATGAAGAAAAATTTTAAATTAGTTTGTAATGGCTTTTAGATCTTTACTCTGTGGTGTTTACTTCAGTGGTGAAGCCTCTAATTTCAAAAAGAATTGTCGTGAACCAGAGACTGTCAGAGAGATCAGGAGACCCCTCACAGTCTGTAATGTGGCCTAACCTCTGTAGGAGGTGGGGCTTAAGAGCTGCACTGAGGCTCCCCCTGCCTGAGTGGTGATCTGGTGTGAGGGAGGGAGCTGCCAGAAGGCAGAGCTGCCAGCAGAGGGCAGCGCCCCAGGGGTTGCTAAAAGGGTCTGCTCTGAAAATGGGCCTTCAGTATTGGAATCTCAGGAAATTTCTCCTTAATGTTAATTTTCATGGATTTGTAAGACATGCCTAGAATTGGCGGGAGGGGCTGCACATTCCACTGGGGATTATCATCAATTTGGGATTAACCAAGGATGAGGCCTTCTGGGTGTGGTGGGTCTCATATCGCTCTCTGAGTTGGGCTGCTTTCCAGATAAAAACCACAGGGTTTAAGGGTTGGAAAGTGGCTCATGAGCAGACTTGTTTTCATGGGTGCTGTGCTGAGGGAACAGAAGGCTCCAGCCTGTACCCTGTACCCCTTGGGGAAGTCCAGTCATGAGAACACCAACTCATCTTGGTCATTTCTCTCCTTGACTTTGTGGCTCTAAGAGGAGAGTGGAGAGTCCCAACTGCTGACCCAGCCTGTTGCCCAGGTCTCTGACTTTGCTTGCCAGAGGCCTGAGTGTCCTGAGAGGGCTGGAGAGGGGAGGAGGGGGGGCATGTGCTATCCCTGAGGGGTGGGGCAGAGCAGCTTCTTTATCAGGAGGCCAAGCAAGGCTGCTTGGACTATGTACAGGTTGTTAAAGGGGACTCCAGCTGTCCATGAACCTGCTCCCCATGGCCACGGTGATCTGAAACCACTCCATCAGAGTCCATTCCTGCTTCTTCCACTAAATAAGTCCTGCTGTCAAGTGAAATCCTGCAGCCAAGGGCACCAGATCATTAGCCAGCTCCCCTGTACTCCGGGATAATAATGTGAACAATGTCAGGTGCCCTGGAGAGCAAGTGACCAACTTCTGCTTGCCTAAGAGTCACCTGGAGTCATCTGGATCCTGGTTATAAATAACAAGGTCAAGCTGACATTTGGAGGACTGTTGGGGAAATCTGAATCTGGACCGTAAGGTGGCATTACTGAATTACTGTTAATTTTCTCAGGCATGGTAATGGTAGAGGAGATGGAGGAGAATGCTCTTGTCCTTCAAAGGTGTTTAGGGTAAAGGATTGTGATGTCTGCAGCTAATTTGCAAATGGTCCAGTCAAGCGTGTACACACACACACACACACACATACACACACACAGAGAATGTGAGTAACGGAGGTAGTGATGTGTGGGTGAGCATCTCACTTTTTCAAGTTTGTTGGTGTATGTTTGAAATTGATAACAAAAGGATGGGGCAAAGCCACTTAAAGAATTTGTTTAAAATGTTAGTTCCTCTGCCCTGAGCTTGTGGTTCAGTATGTCCTGGTGGTGCTCAGACTGGGCATTTGAACAAACTCCCAGGCGTTCCTGATGCAGGTGTCCCTTGGAACTCACCAGGGAGACCCTGCTCCAGGCCCAGGGCCCAGCCCAGGATATCCAGTCTCTGAGATGGCAGCGGACAGAAAGTGAAAGCAGCCATGGCAAGTAGTACGAGGGGCTCGGTGCCACACTCACCCCCTTGTGTGCCCTGAGTCCCTTCTGCTATTCTCATGTCTTGAGGGGCAGCACCCAACACTCGGTGCCCTACCTCTTTAGCCCTGGCCACATTCTGTCCCTACCCTCTGGGTCTGGCAACTTCCAACTGCTTATACCATGTGGTATCCAATTTCCTGTTTTTGCTCCGACTGTCCTTTTGTTTATTTTTATTATTTTGTGTGTGTGTGCTGGGGACTGAATCCATGGCCTTGTACATGCAAGGAGGCAAGCGTTCTACCAACCAAGCTATATCCCAGCCCCTGTCCCTTTGTTTAGAATGTTCTTTTTTCCTACCCCCAACCTCCATTCTTCTATTTACACAGCCAACAAGTACTGTCCCCAGGTAGATTTTTCCAGAAGGCTTCCCCAAGATGGGGCCAGTTGCCCTGTTTATGTGATCCCACAGCACCCCTCCTCCACCACCCCCCCCCCAGCTGTCTCTACCCACACATAATTTTCTTTCTTCTCTTCCTTGTGGTGCTGCGGATGGAACTCAGGGCTTCATGAGCACCAGGCAAGTGCTCTGCCACTGAGTTACGATAAGGCTGTGTTGCTCACTAGCTTGAGAGCTTCTGGAGTCTTACTGGGGAGTCACCTATCCTGTTCCCAAATGTCCTCCTTCCAAATTCCACATTGAGTTCTGCTGCCTGGTGTCTTTAGGGTGAACTGGGCAGGTAGTCAGTTCTGGCTAATGAACTGTGATCACCAGTGGGAGGCCCTCCAGGGGGTTCTTTTTGCCTCTGACCCAGCAGTCCTCAACATCAGAGGGGACCCGAGTCCCTGAATAGCAACACAGGAGCAAAGACCATCTGGCAGTTCATGATAAATTCATAGCTTTGGCAAGAAACAAAGCCTTATGTTTCCAGCCACTGTGATTTTAGGGTATGTTACCACAGCACAACCTAGCCCACCTGACTGACTGAGATGCCTTTGTGCCTGTCTGTTTGTTTGTTTGTTTTAGGCAGTGGGTATTGAGCCCAGGGGCACTTGGCCACTGAGCCACATCCCCAGCCCTTTTTATTTATTTTTTTTATTTTGGGAACAGGGTCTTACTAAGTTGTCCAGAGCTTCACTAAAGTTGCTGAGGCTGGCCTCAAACTTGTGATCCTCCTTCCTCAGCCTCCTGAGCCTCTGGCATACAGGTATCACCACCATACCCAGTGCCACCTTCATTTTTAAGGTATCCCTAAACACCTTACCCAATTCATAGCACAAAACAGATACACAAGAAATAATTCCTGTCAGTTTTCCTTGGTTGTAAAACTGGCTTCAAAGACCAAGGAGGTGTTCTAATACACATCTCTCCTTTGTCCCTAACTTATTCCCTGGTGATACAGAACTTTCCATGGAGGTGCTTTTGCATCTCTGAGCAACAAGATACAGATGCCGACTCTTGTGACCTCTTACTAGCTAAGAGAGGCTCCTTGGTGGATCCCACGTTACCATGAGCTGCTACCACCCACTGACCCTGGTGAAGGCTCTGGGTGTGGAGGGGAGCCTGGTAATGTGCTGCTCTCAACCTTCAACCCATCTCCCTCGCCTGTGGCCCTTCCTCTTGACAGCTTACCTGGATCCCACTCCTGCTCTCTTAATAGTACCAACAAATTCACACTGTAGTGTAAATAGGGAAGGCAGCACCCTTCCCTCTTCCCCCACAAAATCATCCAGGCTGAACTGGGGCAGATGGGACAAAATTGCCATTGCTTTTGGACTTCCCACATCCTAGGAGGAAGCATGCTGTGGAGAGAGGTCAGCACTGTCATGAAGCCAGATTTAGACAGGCATCCATCTGTACAGGTAGGTAAATGGAGTCAAGTCGGATCAAGGAGGCCAATTTGAATGAGTCCCTGAAGTTGGAGACTGTCCCTCTGAAATGCCTTCCTCCACCCTATCAAGATAACCTGCCCCTGGGCCAACCTGTTGTTAAGGTAACCTGCCCCAGGAAGTGCCCTTCTCTACAGGGAGTTATAAAGTTGTTAGTTAATGTGTCCTGGGCTGCTCCATCCGTCTCTTCCCCCGTCCATCTGCTTCTCACCTTTTGGCATTCCCACGGAGCACCTCCTGGCCTAGCCACCCATAAGCAGGAAGGAGAGAGATGAGGGTGAGAGCAGGAGAACAAAGGAAGCCTGGGACATATGAAAAAGGTAAAACCCCTCACTTCGTGGAATACCACGATACCAGCTATGACCCCCTTCTCCAACCGGGAGAAGTCTAGGTTACCTCTTTTTAAATAAATCCTGCTTTATGTGTTTGCTTCTGCGTGTTCTCTAATGTCATTCTTCAACATGTGAAGAAGCAGGACTCGTGGGTACCAGCGATATCAGTAGTTGGGTTTTTGTTTTTTTTCCTTTTATGGTACTGGGAATGGAACCCAGTGCCTTACCATGGTAGGTACGTTGCTCTATCATTGAGCTCTATCCACAGCCCTTTACTTCTTTCTTTCTTCTTCTTCTTCTTCTTCTTTTTTTTTTTTTTTTGCCCTTTACATTTTTCAATTTTATTTTTAAAGAGTTTCACTAGGTTTAGGCCTCAAACTTGCTGTCCTGCCTCAGCCTCTGGAGTGGCTGGGGTTCCAAGCATGGGACAAGATGCTTCTTGTAGCTTCTTAATTCATGGGGATCCAGAGCTTTCCTAGGGGCTTCCAGCTTTCAGTCCCTGAGACTAAAGCTTCCAGATGCTTTGAGATAACGGTCTTTGATTTCCTTTCCTTGGGGTCCCAGCTCGAGGTAGCAAGAGGTGGGCAGAGGGTGCAGGACAGTCACAGTGGAGATGGAAGAAGGTAGGACTCCAGGTCTTCCCATGCTATCAGGTTTCCAGAATTTGCTCTTCCTCTGGCCACAGTTTGCACACCCCCATCTTTTGTTTTCTCTTGTGGGCTTTGTTCCCCACAAGGCTGCTGAGAGGGCTACATTCATCCAGGAACTCTGCACATCCAAAGGCTCACACCTGAGATAGGCTCATACTCTCCAAAGTCCCATCACATCTGTTATTTCTTCAGATCTTGATAGACCTACCATTCCCGGGGTGGGGGGAAATGTGGTTTTCCCTGTTCAGCAGTGGATAAGTTGAGACCCAGTGAGTGGAAGAAAGTGCCCTGGTCCACACAGTAGTTTGGTGACAGAGCAGGATGGAGCCTGGGCCTCCAGACCCTGTGGTCGGTTTCCTGTCCTAGATAATTAAGGTTGAGGGGAG